CTCTCCTTCTGCCTCCCCTGTCATCCTCCTGCCTCCCCTGTCCTCCTTCTGCCTCCCCTGTCCTCCTTCTGCCTCCCTGTCCTCCTTATGCCTCCCCTGTCCTCCTCCTACCTCCCCTGTCCTTCCCCTGCCACCCCTGTCCTCCCCTGCCTCCCCTGTCCTCCTCCTGCCTCCCCTGTCCTCCTCCTACCTCCCCTGTCCTCCCCCTGCCACCTCTGTCCTCCCCCAGCCTCCCCTGTCCTCCTCCAGCCTCCCCTGTCCTCCTCCTGCCTCCCCTGTCCTCCTTCTGCCTCCCTTGTCGTCCTCCTGCCTCTGCTCTGTGTTGTATCCCTGTCCCTGGGGGAGCGGTTCCTTTCCCATGGGCTCTGTCAGTAATATGGCCAAATAAACAGGCCTCTAATGAACACTAACAGATTTGGGTTGGGAAGGTCAGCTCTCATGTATACGATTAGAGAGAGAGAGGCTGAGGCACAGTACCAAAGCAGGCCCTGGGGGAGTGCTTTTAAACAGATCAGACAAGAGTAAAGGATACTTTAGCAAAGGCACAGACACCAAACAGCCTGGAAAAGAGAGTGGAGAGAAGTGATGCAGGGGAATATAGTGTTCCTAGCACAGTTTGACTCCAGGCTGAAGGCAGTTTAGTGCCATAAAGAGAAAGAAGTGGAGGAGGCATGTAAAGGAGAGACAGTTTGTAAAAAAACACTTGATTAGCTCGAGGCCCAAAATGGAACAGTTTGTCACTTACTTGGATACACTGTGTTGAAATCTGAAAAAGAAGAGGTTCAATTCTCAAAGTAATATGTGGTGTTGTTATTAAATTAAATTAGAACAGTTCAAGTGTTATTTTTCTCTTACACCACTGACAGACCAACCAAAACATCCGCCCTGCGCAGTACATCACCTGTTGGGTGTCGACGAAGTTGGCGATTCAAGCATTCAACATGTAGAATTGTCGGAAATTAATAGAAAATGACGGCCGATGTTCGGTGGTCAGATGCGATAGGACAGCCACTCCCTGCTAATTACCGTTTGTCTGCTTGGTCTGTTTTCCTCTCTAGAGAAACTACAGTACGATACTGTAGGTCAATGGTAAACATAGAGGGGCTTCATGGCTGTGATAGGATCTATTGAAACAAAGCACAGCCCTGTTAGGTCCAGAGGTAGGCCACAACAGCAGGCAAGTGGGAGACTGGAGCCTGTATGCCTCTGTGTGTGCATGTGTACGCCTGCGTGCCCGTCTGTCTTCAAAGCCACAGTGCCTTTCTGTGCATGGCGACCTCAGAGAGTGACAGATGGCAGATTGGCCCAACAGTATGGAAACCCCCAGAGTGGTGTCTGCTCCTGAGGTCAGGTGTCATGACAACATCTGCTCCCGGCCTGGGCTGATCCTGAGCCGCCTGATGCACACTGCATCAATGACACACACACACATGAGCAAACACATACACACACACACACACACACACACAGAGGGAGAGATCTGTTGCCACGAGTTACTGGTGGCCAGGAAGAAAATATATCCCAGCAGGACAATGGAGGCTACTGGGGCAGGGAGGGAGGAAGGCACGACAGTGAAAGGATAACAACAACAGCATCAGCCTTACTAGAGATCCTCCTGTTCTCCTGTTATGCGACACCACTCTGGCCCGCCACACACCTGATATTTGAACAGCTTCTGATTCCTCTCCTCTTTTCAGCTCTTCTTTATTTAACTTTCAAGCAGAAAGTTTACCTGCTGCCGAGATTAGCGAGCTCTAGATGACACAGCCAGGAGTCTGTTGTAGCAGAAGCTGCCTTTCGCTGTTTGTTCTGAATGGGGCAAACTAAAGACTCCATAAAAGAGTTAGCTGAGTGTCTTTTGTTTTGCCCTTTTATAGTCTTTGTGAGGCATTAAGACGGTTAGCCGTGTGTGTCCTGTAAAACTTATTTTGTGCTGACAGCGTATTTGTCGACCTCTCGCCAAGTTAAAGAGCAAACTGTTAGCATTCTTGGCTAGCGCGTGTTGAGGTTGACTCTGTGCAAACGCCAGCGCCAGAGTGTATTTGAGCAGCGGTGCCACGTGGACCGAGGCAGAGGAGAGGGTGCTTTATGTATTTGTCTTTGAAGCCCCAGTGTGAGAGAGTGGGCTGTGTTGTAAGGAACGGCAGCTCTCTAGGCCTCTGTGTATGTGCTTGTGTGTACATGTGTGTGTGTGTGTATGGGTGCATTTGTGAGAGACGTTGCTCTGTTTGTGTGGACACGCAGGTCTGGGCCCCGTTTCAAAGCTGGTGTGAGTTTTTGCGGAGCCCCGTAAAGTGAGGCTGCCAGAAGCCTCCATTGAGGACTGCAGTCCAGAGGTTCAGGAGACGGGGGAAAGCTTTTTTAGAGTAAACACTAACATTCCTTCCAAAACAGCAACCTCCTCAGTCCTCACTGGCTTCCCACTGCCCCCCCCCCCCCAAAACCATTTCAAATTTCCTTTCATTCAGACAGCTTTTGTTTGTGTCTCTCTGCATCTTTCAAGTGTGTTTGGGGTTTGTTTTTAAAATTCCACTTATAGGATCCTCTTTCACTTGTCGTCAAAACACCCCTCCCCCCACCCCCCCATGGTTGACCATTGAAAAGTAACAAACAGACTCAGAAGGTGTTTGGAGCGAAGACCCAGTCGAGAGAGACTCATAAATCCTAATATGGTGGCTTACAAAACCAGTCAACCCCATGAAAAGAGAGAGTGGGCGAAAACAGTTGGAGGGAAAGAGAGCGAAAGAAGGTTCATGGAGGAGGGGTGAGTGAAAGGACAGTCGCTAGTAAGGAAATTAAAAGAAGACTGAACGAAGGACCAAAAAAAGGGAGTGAGAGAAGACCAGGGATGAGCCAGATAAAAAGGAGAGCAGAAAAAGTTGTTTGTGGACGGAGGGAAGAAGGAACAGAGAGGAGAAGGTTTAACAGCTGAATGCACTCTCAGCTTGGAGGCTCCTGGCCCGGCCTGGCCTGGCCTGCCTGTGGTCAGGTCTGAATGGGGAGGAGAAACAATGGGGCCTCTCATCCTATCCCCCTCCAGGGCTGGGGGGTAGGGGGGCCATTCAGACACCCGCAGCCCAGGCCCTAGCTATTCTCCTGGGGACGGGGGATGGTGGGACGGAGGGAAGAAGATGGGCACGGAGGGCGCAGGATGGAGGGCTGGAGGGAGGGGTGAGTGAGCGGTGGCTAGGCAGCAGCTGCCGTCTCCTCATTAACATGCGCACCTGCTCCCTGGCTGCAGCCTTTTGGGAACGATGGCCCAGAAAGCAACGCATACCCAGCCTCACAACCCCAGTACCAGGCACCCGCTGTGTTTGCAGTGTCCCCCTCTATGGGAGACCTGGGTTGGCTTATAGACTCCCCCTATTTCAGAACTGCATTGCTATGAATGCTGCCTGGCGGAATGCTTCTACATACTTATACATCTGTCATAATTTAAAAAGATAGCGACTTATGTGAATTATCTGAAAAATGAAAGGGCTTGTAGTAAAACTAGAGAGAACAAGGATGAACTGAGGATGAATTATTCTCACCACAGCAAAATAAATGGGACCATGATTAGATGAGTGATTTAGAATAGTCCTAAAATAGCAAGGATGGCAAGGATGGGACTTTGGTAGATGGCCTTTTCTCCTCCTTTGCACTCTATATCTCTGTAGAAAAAAACATCCTAACAAACATGCTCACTGTAACCAAAAAGGGGTGATTCCATGGTATATCCCAGTGAGTGGAAAGGTTGCCTAGCCTAGCATTAAAGCATAGTGACATGCCATCGCATCCTTAATGTTTGTGTAGCTAGCGCCCAGCCTAGCATGTGATGTTTTCTTTCCCTGGTCACCCTAATCCTGTGAGAGAGGGACCCTGTCTAAACACGTCTGTCCCCATAGGGGTCTCTGCTTTGCCCCAGGCCCCCAGTCTCCTCGCTCACACAACCAACGGCCCCCTGGGAATGTTTGGGGACGTGATTTAGCCAGCCCCCCAGGGCTAATAGTAATAGACAACTCTGTTATGGTATTTTGGAGTGACAGAACTTTTAACGTTATTAAAATGTTGCTGAGACGTAACACTATGTAATCAATGACACAAAGTAGCTGTAATCAACAGCTATTAGAGATTTAAATAAATGCAATACTAGTTGCAACTATAGAACAAAAACGCAACAACCTCCAATAGTAAGGACTCTTCATGTTTTTTTCATGTCTTAATGTTTTGCCTTGGGGGAATTGACAAGGAATTAGTGAAAGCTTTGCTAGGAGGATGACTGATATCAAAAGTGTCTGTGTGGCTCTTGATAAAAAAAGTTTACAGTGCTCTCTCTATATCCCTTGTCTCAGAGAGAGAGAGAGAGAGAGAGAGAGAGAGAGAGAGAGAGAGAGAGAGAGTATCCATGATGTTAGCGCTGAGTTTAAAGACTGGTATAGACACTGCCTTGTCCTTTGAATGAATGAGCACTGAAAAAAAGGAGTGGAGTGGAGCATATTTCTCGCTAAGAGCTGTTGATAGGCACCATGGTGGCTACTTTTTATGTCAAAAATGAGACTGGATTACCATTATTGTCCTGGAGTCGCTGTGGTTTATGGCCTAACACATTGTCTGAGAGGACAACAGTGAAAAGGCAAATGTGTGGTTTTGCTGCATAGTTTCTCATGGCTATGTTGCCGTGTTGTAAGAATAGTAGGCAGGACAGAGAGAGAGACAGCATCCTGACTGAGCCATCTGGGTATCTTTCACAGTGAGCAGGGACTAGTTAGTTAGTTAGTTAGTTAGTTAGTTAGTTAGTTAGTTAGTTAGTTAGTTAGTTAGTTAGTTAGTTAGTTAGTTCGTTCGTTCGTTCGTTCGTTCGTTCGTTCGTTCGTTAGTTAGTATCAGGCTGAGGCTGTTTCGCAGGCTGCTGGAGATTTATATTGATGAGCACACAGTAGGGAAATCTCAATTGCCTAAAGTGGCTTTCTGTCCTTGTTTGCGCTGACCTCTGAAAACAGGTGAAAGCAATAAAGTGGATGCCAACTAGGTATTTGCTTTCACCCTTCCTGCTTTCCCACATCTTATATCTACTAAAACAGACGAAGACAGGTGGCATTGCAATGCCCACACATGCTTGACTCGTGTTAACTTAAAAAAAGACATTTCACTATGTGTTTTGTTGTTGTCGGTCCTCACCTGTTGAATACAACTTCCCCTAAACCCTTAATGCTGACACATCCTGCATCTCTCTCTCTCTCTCTCTCTCTCTCTCTCTCTCTCTATTTCTCTCTCTCTCCAGGTGTCGGGATGGATTCGTAGGAAACAGGTGTCAGCACCGGGACCCCTGCACCTACTCTCCGTGTAAAAATGGCGGCTCGTGTCACGTGGTGCCCAATGGGAGCTCAGTGGAATCCACGTGTTTCTGCCGACCGGGCTTCACGGACCGCCTGTGTCTGACGCCAATCGACAACGCCTGTCTCAGCTCTCCCTGCCGGAACGGTGGCACCTGCGATCTGGTCAACCTCCGAGAGTACAAGTGTAGATGTCCCCCTGGCTGGTCAGGTAAACATATTTAATACTCACACTGTAGTCAGAATACTGGAGGGAAAAGCTGCATACTCTAGTAGTAACAAATATCATTACTAACTGGCCTTCTGTTCATTGAAAAATGTAAACTGACCATGGTTACATTACAACTTACTGTAGTGCATTATTTTCCTTAAAATACAAGCAGCTATGTATGTAAAGTAGTGATGGGGGACAGAAAATCGATACAGTTACATGTCGGGATATTATTTTTGACGATATATTGCATTGTTTTGACAATATCGCAATATAATTTTTGTGCTAGTTGGCTGTACCTGCACCAAAACTCCAGTATTTTTCCTTCATAGCTTGTTCTCCATCTTTTTAAATAGGGAGCCTATTTGTTTTCAGCACTTTTATTTCCAATGACTGATCAAAACTTGTTTTCTCATGGCTCTCTCTTGTCTCTCTGCAGCAGACATATGGTGAGCATTATCGAAACATTGAATCGCAATAAAATCACAGTATCAAATCGCAATACATATAGAATTGTGAGAATTTCAATACATATTGTATCGGCACCTAATTATCGTGATAATATCGTATCGTGAGGTCCCTGGCAATTCCCAGCCCTAATGTAAATAAAGTTAAAACTGTGAATGTTTTGGGGGATTTATTAAATTTTTCATCCTTTATTTACAAGATGAGTGTGTCTCCTCCAGGCAAGCAGTGCCAGCAGGCAGACCCCTGTGCCTCTAACCCCTGTGCCAACGGCGGACAGTGCACCCCCTTCGAGTCCCACTACATCTGTTCCTGCACCCCCTTCTTCTACGGACAGACCTGCAAGCAGGACGTCAATGAGTGTGCCCAGAGCCCCTCGCCATGCAAGAACGGAGGGGTGTGTGTGAACGAAGTGGGCACCTACCGCTGCCAGTGTCCCCAGGAGTACACAGGCAAGCACTGTGATACCCGCTACCTACCCTGCAACCCCTCCCCCTGCCACAACGGCGGCACCTGCGTCCAGAAGGGAGACACCACCTACGAATGCTCCTGTGTGCCAGGTACTGTTCTGTTTAATGTGGTCCTGTCTGATCCACTATGGGCAGAAGCCTGTGTGCCAGGTACTGTTCTGTTTAATGTGGTCCTGTCTGATCCACTATGGGCAGAAGCCTGTGTGCCAGGTACTGTTCTGTTTAATGTGGTCCTGTCTGATCCACTATGGGCAGAAGCCTGTGTGCCAGGTACTGTTCTGTTTAATGTGGTCCTGTCTGATCCACTATGGGCAGAAGCCTGTGTGCCAGGTACTGTTCTGTTTAATGTGGTCCTGTCTGATCCACTATGGGCAGAAGCCTGTGTGCCAGGTACTGTTCTGTTTAATGTGGTCCTGTCTGATCCACTATGGGCAGAAGCCTGTGTGCCAGGTACTGTTCTGTTTAATATGGTCCTGTCTGATCCACTATGGGCAGAAGCCTGTGTGCCAGGTACTGTTCTGTTTAATGTGGTCCTGTCTGATCCACTATGGGCAGAAGCCTGTGTGCCAGGTACTGTTCTGTTTAATGTGGTCCTGTCTGATCCACTATGGGCAGAAGCCTACATTTACATTACATTTAAGTCATTTAGCAGGCGCTTGTATCCCGAACGATTTACAATCAGTCCATTCAACTACGAAAAAGTTGAGTTATGTGAGATTATATTAAGTTAGGATTTGACCCTGTACTAACTTTCAACTTAAGTGTTTTCTCCGCCAGTCTATCCACTTCAAGCCATCTTGTCTCAATTAAACATCCAAAACCACTGTGAAATAAACTAGGTGTACTGTCCTCTGTTGTGTAGTGGCTGGTCAAGATGTCATGATGTGAGTACAGGAGGAGGAAACTGTGTGTGTGTGCAGTGGCTCCACAGTGGTGTGTGTGTGTGTGTGTGTGTGTGTGTGTATGCGTGTGTGTGTGTGTGTATGCGTGTGTGTGTGAGCTGTGTGTGAACAGAGGGGAGCAGGAAAGCATTGGGCCTCATTGTGAGGAAATGGCTGAGGGACAACATTCTCACAGCAGAGCAGAGCCTGCTAGTCCTGTAGACAGGGTTACCAGGACTAGTCATCCTCTCTCCCCTCTCTCTGCTCCCCACCCATCACGTCACCACTTCCACCCTGCTCCAAAGCCAGGCTGGGATAGACAGACCTCCACTGAGCTCCTAGCAAGCGCCACACCACTCTCTTTGTGCCTTACACACTATTTTGGACGGCTCTCACAGTAACTCCAGTACGAAAGAGAAATCATTTATATTATGAATCAAGACAAGTACTCCCATCATCAATATTCCAATGAAGCTCAGATTCTACTTCCACAAAATTGGCAGTATTGCCTATTAAATGTCCCTGTCTTTTTCTTCTGCAGTCAGGGTGCCAAACAATAGTGTGCTGGTGTGTTGTGTAATGCCAGGGCAGGAAGGGTAGCTGTGGTCTGGCTGGCTGTTTTTCTGACTGCCACAGACTCAAGGAGGGTTGCCACCGCTGCCATTCATTATCCTCTGAAGAAGGAGAACGTTGACCGCATTAACTGTAAAAGAGTTTCACTTCTCTTGTTTTGAAAGAAACCAACTACGCATTTTTTTAACAAGGAAAAACAAAGAGAGTGATCCAAGGAGACAGAAATATTCAGATATCCAATCTTCCTTGATATTCCCTTTTTATTCATGAAAATCTAACATGATATCTTCTGTTGAGATGGGACTGATATTAAAAACAACAGTGTGTAATATGTGTGTATTTAACATTATGTCCTGTCCTCTCCAGGTTTCTCGGGTCAGAACTGTGACACTAACATTGACGACTGTCCAGGACACGAGTGTCACAATGGAGGAACCTGTGTGGACGGGGTTAACACCTATAACTGCCAATGCAAACCAGAATTCACAGGTAACCATACAGTACCCCCCACCCACCCACTCATCTCGACGCTCCAGGTAGAAGTTGCTCATAAATACAGATCTAGGATCAGATTACTAACCCCCAATCCTAACCTAGATCATGAGGTGAATACAAACATATACTGTATGACCCTGCATCAGTCTTTATGGGATAACTTTGACCCTACTCTACAATGGAAACCCCCTTTCTTTTCATTCTTATTCATCTTTGACTCTATTTTGACCCGTTTGTGTGCACTGTAACCTGTTTACAAGTGCATTTCCCCCATGTTCTCCCCTATAGGCCAGTTCTGTACAGAGGACGTTGATGAGTGCCAACTGATGCCCAACGCGTGCCAGAACGGTGGAACGTGCCATAACATCTACAGTGCCTACCAGTGTGTCTGTGTCAATGGGTGGACGGGTGATGACTGTGGAGAGAATATTGACGATTGCGCCAATGCTGCCTGCGATCAGCGTGCCATCTGCCACGACCGTGTGGCGTCCTTTTTTTGCGAGTGTCCCCATGGTCGCACAGGTCAGCCAATAGACTTTGGTCTTCTTCATTTCTCCTTGTTTTTTAATTGTTCTGACCCTGAGCTTTTCACTCTTGTATATCTACCACCATTATATGCTGAAACTTGTGTGTTTACTACAGTGATACTAAATTGGTAGCCTTTCCTTTTACAGTGCCAGCAGCACATATACTTTCACTGTATTTACTGTAGCTAGTTATTACAAGGTTGAAAAGGAATAACTAAATAAATAACTTTAACGAAGCAAATAACTGTAACGCCTATCAACGTCTCCTGTTGTTCTTGTGCTGTGCCAGGTCTGCTGTGTCACCTGGATGACGCCTGTATCAGTAACCCCTGTCAGAAAGGCTCCAACTGTGACACCAACCCCGTCAACGGCAAGGCCATCTGCACCTGTCCCCTTGGCTACTTTGGCGCCGCCTGTGACCAGGATGTTGACGAGTGCTCACTGGGTAAGTAGACTCAGACCACTGAGGGATGCTTTCATAAACACACATTAGATCAATACAGGAATAGGCTTTATTCTTCATGGGCTTTATTATGCTTGGTTAGTCAAGAACTAGAAATGGGATTTCCTCGACCTCAGAGAGCAGAAACCCACTAATGGGCCAGGGCTGACAGGGCTGGAGGGGAGGCCGGTAGAAATCAGCCAGAGAGCGTCCGAGTAGCAGGAGGGCCGTGAGTAGAGAGGCAGACAGACAGCAACCACTACACAGCAGAGAGGCAGACAGACAGCAGCCACTACACAGCAGAGAGGCAGACAGACAGCAGCCACTACACAGCAGAGAGGCAGACAGACAGCAACCACTACACAGCAGAGAGGCAGACAGACAGCAACCACTACACAGCAGAGAGGCAGACAGACAGCAACCACTACACAGCAGAGAGGCAGACAGACAGCAACCACTACACAGCAGAGAGGCAGACAGACAGCAACCACTACACAGCAGAGATGCAGACAGACAGCAACCACTACACAGCATTGTGAAGGAGTACGCACTGCAACATGTTTGTTAAGATACACTCTATCTCTCTGTGTGTCTAGGTGGCAACCCCTGTGAGCATGGAGGGAAGTGCCTGAACACCAAGGGTTCGTTCCAGTGTAAGTGTCAGCCCGGCTTCTCTGGGGCTCGCTGTGAACACGATGTCAACGAGTGCCTCTCCAACCCCTGCCAGAACGAAGCCACCTGCCTTGACCAGATAGGAGGTTTCCACTGCATCTGTATGCCAGGTAACTGACACACACAAACACACACACACAGGCCCCAACTCATGTACACACACGATCATGAAAGCACACTCTCATGCATGCACACACACGCAAACACACACACACTCACACATATGGTTAGTTACCTACATCAGTATAATTTCTTCTTGTTAGCAAGTTCAAAGATACCATTTCAATCAAAGGATGACCACAATCTAAACCTATATATTTGAAGTCAGGCACTTTGGCAATGTTACTGTACAAATCTCATGGTTATCTATCTAACTAACTAACTAACTAACTAACTAGTTGACTAACTGACTAACTAACTAACTGACTAACTGACTAGTTGACTAACCGGCCCTGTGTCTTGTTTCCCTTGCTAATTGGCTACAGGCTACGAGGGACTGTTCTGCCAGATCAATACGGATGAGTGCGCCAACAACCCCTGCCTGAACAATGGGAAATGTATCGACAAGATCAACACCTTCCATTGCCAGTGCCCCACAGGTGAGCCCCAGCGCGCCGCGGCGGGCTGAGGGGGGTCGATCAACCCCCTGGACGGGACGGGCGCAGGAGGCAGGCTCTAATCCCTGCCCTCAGGCAGGCTTTAGCAGGCCAGCGCCCCACGAGGAGGAAAATCCATAAGGAAGGGCTTGAGGAAGTTTTCACTTAGAACAAGTTTTTACTCTGATGAGTGTGCACTTAAACTTGGTTTGGATGTAGCTAACCACAATAACGTTAATTGAGAGAGAATTAAGGAAAGAAAGACTAAGAATAGCAGCTGAAATAGTGTTGTGTTTTCATGTATTACATTTCTGTGTAGTTGTAGAAGCTGTTGTGGTGAGGTTTGAGTTTTGTGTGTAGTGATTTGTTGCATGTAGAATCTAGATGATTTCATGAGGTATTTCTACAGGGATTTCATTGAGGTTGGACTACAGTATGTGACAAGAGGCATTGAGGGTTTGTTAGCAGAGGAATGCTCTGATAGAAGAACGTGAGGCTTTTTGTTTTCATTCTTTCAGCAGGGCTATTGAGGTGGAAGTAATTCTGAAGGAAAATAGTGCAGTTCTCAGTCGGTTCTGATCAAAGACAGCTCATAGAGAAAGGCAGGAAGCTCCTTGTGTTGAGAAAGTGCAGTTAGGAAGCTGATGAATTAATAGTAGAGCGGTACAGCAAAGAACACAAGAGCTTAGCTGATGAAAAGCCACCCATATCTATAGGATAGGGTAAGGGGGGCAGGAGAGAGGCCTGAATGAGACAGTAGTGAAAGTGGAAGGGGTGGGAGGTGTTGGGGTACTGGAGGGGACTGAGACGCACAGACGGTTATGCTCTAGAAGGGGTTATGGGGTAGGGGCGGGGGCTGAGAGGGGAATTTGGGGACCCCATTGCCTGCTTGAGATGTAAATTTGTTCCTGTGTAAGCCCAGGCCGGGGTAGGGTATGGTCCTCTCTCCTTTAATTTCTGTACACACCATCTCGATGGAAACCCCACTCGTCCCTTTTGAAATGTGTGAATCCAGAAGCCCGGGCTAAATCCCGTCTTTGGCTCTGGGAGGTGTGTGTGAGGCAACATTAGCGTTAGCATGGATGGACACTGAAAATTGAAAGGGCCCTCTGTTGTGAATGGAGCAGAGCTAACAGATAGCCATGTAGCTACTTCCTATTTGGATTAGTGACAACTGGGATGTCTGGCTGGCTGCTTGGCTTAGACCACCTGTGTGTTCCAAAAGCTTCATCTCTTTATCAAACAGAATCCTTCTTTTTACCACTTAGAATTCAAATGTGCTCCTACTGAACACTGAACAAGTTCCTGCGACAGAAGTTGTACCGGTACCCCATGTATATAGCCTCCCTACTGTTATTTTATTTTTTACTTATCAATTTTTTACTTAACTTACTTTTTTTTTTCTTTTTTTTAAACTGCATTGTTGGTTAAGGGCTTGTAAGTAAGCATTTCACTGTAATGTCTACACCTGTTGTATTCGGTGCATGTGGCAAATTACATTTGATTTGATTTAAAGAATAAATAAAAACAGAGATTAGAATAACTCGAGAAAAAAAGGGAGCCTGCTGGTTGATTTTGAATGAAGAGGGATTTGAATAGCTGAGTTCAGAGGTCAAGCTGGCCCTTTTGGGAGAAGCGGGCGGGGAAAGGGGTGAGAGCAGGACGGGAGAATGCACATTGTGATGGAAAAGTTTTGGGGGACAAAAGAGGCAACTGGCTCGGCTTTGCATTACATTGTGCAGACAGTCCCCCCTTTGTCTCTCACCCCTGGTCATGAGGCCTTGGAAGGTTTTCTCCCCTTCTCCCCCCCTCTTTTGGGGAGCAGTGGTGAAAAGGAGGACAAAGAAAAACAGTAAGCTTGTAGTACGGCAGGCGTTTTGATGAATGCAGCCATCTCTGTCATGGAGGGCTCTCATCATAATGTATGTAAACTTCCAGGGATAGACTGGGAATAGTTTGGGCTTGTTAAGATCACTCTAGTGATACACACTCACTCACTCCCTACCTCTTCTTGTTTTTCCAGGCTTTGCTGGGTACCTTTGCCAGATAGATATTGATGAGTGTGCCAGCACGCCTTGCAAGAATGGCGCCAAGTGCACGGACGGCCCTAACAAGTACACCTGTGAATGCACTGAAGGTATAAAAACAGCACATTGTTATATTTAGTAACACATTCCCTCGACTCCAACCCCATTCGATGCATTGAACAGATGTGGGTGGAGCAATGGTGCAAATTAAAAGCTTAATACGTAAGCTTAATAAAGAGCAGTGATATTAGCAGGAGCAGTGTGCGGGTTTCTTCTTTTTACTCATAAAAACAACAACAAAACAACAATCAATGATTTCAAAAGAAACAAAAACTGATTGAATGTTTTCTGGCTCCTGAATAGAATGGAGAGAAATGAGACTGAAGTGACCAACATGTCTTTCTACCAGGTTACACGGGGCAACACTGTGAGACTGACATCAATGAGTGTTTCTCGGACCCCTGTCACTATGGTACCTGTAAGGATGGCCTGGCCTCCTTCACCTGCTACTGTCGCCCTGGTTACACGGGCCGGCTGTGCGAGACCAACATTAACGAGTGTCTGAGTCAGCCCTGTCGGAACGGAGGCATCTGCCAGGACCGCGAGAACTCCTACATCTGCACCTGCCCCAAGGGCACTGCAGGTCAGACGCACGCACGCACGCACGCACGCGCACACACACACACACTAAAAGACTTCTCCTCTCAGCTCGAAACTGTCCTCGACAATAAATAAAATCACCCAGATTTACTTTAATCTGTGAAAATGTTACTATAGAAACTTTGACGCTAATTTCTTTGCTTCTAGGTATAAACTGTGAAGTCAACCTGGACGACTGCAAGAGCAAGCCATGTGACTACGGGACATGCCTCGACAAGATCAACGGCTACGAGTGTGCCTGCGAGCCCGGCTATAGCGGTAAGTAGCTACAGTAGGGGACCAGTTTGTCTGTTTGTGGTACTCCAACCTCTCCTATTCAGACCTCTCAGGTGAGGGCAGGACAAACAAGAGCATAGAGGGTAGGGTGGAGGGATGGAAGAGGGGGAGAGGTGACAGATGGTAAGTGAATGCACTCCTTTTGAGGCCTTCTGTGGCGGTGTCACTTTCCAGACCCCCCCCCCCAACCTGTTGCCTAGACACACAAGCTGGCCTCTCTCACCAGGCTCTGAAAGGACCAACACTCACCGGGGATTTCACAGGAGGAAAGATCCCCTGAAAGATTCCTGAAAGTTGATATTTTAAAAGGGGGGGAAGTTGGTCCGTGCTTTAGGGCTAAATGGCCTCTCTTTATGTTATGCGTGGCACCCGCTGAATGGCGGCGGCATTTCAAGTGGCCAACAAAACCGGACTTAAAAATCCCATGTTTCTCGAGGTGGATACATTTACTGTGGGGATATAGTGCCCATTGTGTGGTCCATTGTCTGGTGTAGCACGGGTTGGGCTTTGTGTTTTACTTCAAAATGATATCTTCATGGATTCTGACCAAGTCCAAACTCCAAAGATTACGACATGATATTATGTTAGAAGTTTCATAAGTTCTAATTATAAGGTGTTATTAATTTGTACAGGTAACTGCCAAAATAAGGGAAACACTTGAGTAAATGAGGGATACAAAGTGTATTGAAAGTAGGTGCTTCCACACAGGTGTGGTTCCTGAGTTAATTAAGCAATTAACATCCCATCATGCTTAGGGTCATGTATTAAAATCCTGGGCAGGCCATTATTTTGGCTACCATGGCTATTACCCCATAGGATGACAATGCCCCCATCCACAGGGCACGAGTGGTCACTGAATGGTATAAGCCATATGCCATGGCTGTCTCAGTCACCAGATCTTAACCCAATTGAACACTTATGGGATATTCTGGAGCAGTGCCTGAGACGGTGTCTTCCAACCATCGTCAACAAAACACAGACTTATGGAATTTCTGGTGGAAGAATGGCGTCGAATCCCTCCGATAGAGTTCCAGACACTTGTAGAATCTATGCCAAGGTGCATTGAAGCTGTTCTGGCTCGTGGTGGCCCAATGCCCCATTACAACACTTTATGTTGGAGTTTCCTTTACGTTGGCAGTTACCTGTAACATTTTCTAACACCAATTGAATCAGTTTGTAAACTCTAAATGTTCCTAGTTCTATAAAGTTGAGACACTACTGTACGAGAGGTCAGAGAAGTAAACATCTTCCTGGGTTCTGGTTCACAGGGACCATGTGCAACATCAACGTTGACGAATGTGCCCTCAACCCGTGTCACAACGGTGGCACCTGCATCGATGGCATCAACAGCTTCACCTGTCTGTGTCCAGAGGGTTACCATGACGCCACCTGCTTCGCCCAGGTCAACGAGTGCCTTAGCAACCCATGTATCCATGGCCACTGTCAGGACAAAGTCAATGGGTGAGTCTGTCTTTCTCATCTGTTTCAATGCCAAGGAAATCACTAAGTTGTGTTTCATTTACAGCTAGAAATCTTCCTTACGTGTATGGTATGAATATATCTACAGTAAATCCCTAAGCATTGATAAAAAGTGTGGATTTTAGGACTCAAAGTGGAAGTTAGTGTCTGTTACTCTGATATTGAGCTTTCCCATTTTTTCCTTAGTTACCACTGTCTGTGTGACAATGGCTGGAGTGGCAAGAACTGTGACATCAACAACAACGAGTGTGAGTCCAACCCCTGCATGAACGGAGGCACCTGCAAGGATATGACCAGCGGATATGTCTGCTCCTGCAGAATCGGCTTCACTGGTGAGTAAATGTGTGTGTACGTGTGTATGGTCCTCGAGATCACACTCCCACCATCAATACATTGTATACTGTTTTGATCTGTTTGGTCTATTTGACCCTGACTCTAACTCAAACTCATGTGCTTGATATCTTCTTGACCTTTTGATTCCAGGTCCAAGCTGTCAGACCAACATCAACGAATGTGCCTCCAACCCCTGCCTGAACCAAGGGACCTGCATCGATGATGTCTCTGCCTACAAGTGCAACTGCCTACTGCCATATACTGGTATGAACATAATATTTGGCTATTGTGAAATATTTGTCTGATTGTCTGTCTAAGCGTAATGTTTTGGTATTTCCTTGCTGTGGGGCTCAAAGTTCTAGCTTCTCTAAGGCATTGGACATACGGGAAAAACATGCTCTGGAAGACCAAGCTGTCAATGAAATTTCAGCAGCAAGATTTCCTCTTGGCTAAAACTCCAGCGATTGTTGTGTTGACGTTGGCCCTCCATGACAACTTGACAAGTGTCCCTGATAACAGTACAGGGAAATATTTTTCAGAAGTCCTCACATCCATTCCTCCCTCGTATTATTTGATAAAACAGATAATGATGGACTGACTGCCTTTGGGCAACCTTTTTTATTTATTATTCTTTTTGGAAAATTCCACCCGGCGTTGAGAGCTGGAATAATAGTGGCTCTGGTTGTGTGATGGAGGGGTGGGAACTGAACGGCCCAGCTGCTTGACACATTTCCTGTTTGCAGACTTCCTGTCTCACAGAACAGCAAATGCCTTGACAATAGCAGGAAACTCCAGCCTGCTTCCTGTCCGTGCTGGGTGTCGTGGAAACAGATAGGGAAATGTCTCCGTAGGCCCAACCAGCTCTGCTCTCTAACACTCACATACTTTTTCACTGTGGGCAAGAAGCCTCCTGATAGCCTCCTGAATGAAGTGTGTGTTTAAATGTCCAATAAAAACATTATTTATGTAGGGCGGTCTATCCAGACACCCACTACTTCCAGTTATGATACTCTAGTTCCGAAAACAATAATGTTAGACGCAGTAATAATATGAGAACAATAGTATTGAACACTTTTCATGTCCAATATCTAAAAGTGTGTGTGGTGTGTGTGTGTATGTGATAGGTGAGAACTGTGAGACCCTGCTGGCACCCTGCAGCCCCAAGCCCTGTAAGAACGGAGGTGTGTGTCAGGAGTCTGAAGACTACGAGAGGTTCTCCTGTGTGTGTCCAGAAGGCTGGCAAGGTGAGCGAGCAATATATTTACAGTAGATTATATGTAATTCCTATGCATGTACAGTGCCTTCAGAAAGTATTCACAGCCCTATACCTTTTCCACATTTTGTTGTGTTACAGCCTGAATAAAACATTTGATTAAATTGAGATTTTGTGTTGCTAATCTACACACAATACCCCATAATGTCAAAGTGGAATTTTGTCTTGAGTCAATAAGTGTTCAACCCCTTTGTTATGGCAAACCTAAATACGTTCAGGAGTAGAAATGTGCTTAACAAATCACATAATAAGTTGCATGGACAAATTCCGTGTTCAATAATAGTGGTTAACATGATTTTTGAATAACTACCCCATCTCTGTACCCCACACATACAATTATCTGTAAGGCCCTTCAATCGAGTAGTGAATTTAAAGCACAGATTCTACCACAAACTCCAGAGGTTTTTCAGAAGGAAACTGCTCAGGGATGTTGACTTTCAAACACCAATGGGACTTTAAAATACTTACAGAGTTTAATGGCTGTGATAAGAGAAAACTGAGGATGGATCAACAACATTGTAGTTACTCCACATTACTAACCTAAATGACAGAGAAAAAGAAGGAAGCCTGTACAGAATAAAAATATTCCAAAACATGTGGCAAAGAAATTAACGTTATGTCCTGAACACAAAGCGTTATGTTTGGGTGCAAATCCAACAAAACACATCACTGAGTAACATTCTTCATATTTTCAGACATGGTGGTGGCTGCATCATGTTATGGGTATGCTTGTCATCGGCAAGGACTAGGGAGTTCTTTAGGATAAAAAAACGGAATACAGCTATAAGCACAGGCAAAATCCTAGAGGAAAACCTGGTTCAGTCTTCTTTCCAACAGACACTGGGAGACGAATTCACCTTTCAGCAGGACAATAACCTAAAACACATGGCCAAATCTACACTGGAGTTGCTTACCAAGATGACGTTGAATGTTCCTGAGTGGCTTAGTTACAGTTTTGACTTAAATCGTCTTGAAAATCTATGGCAAGACTTGAAAATGGCTGTCTAGCAATGATCAACAATCAACTTGACAGAGCTTGAAGAATTTTAAAAAGAAAAATGGGCAAATATTGTACAATCCAGGTGTGCAAAGCTCTTAGAGACTTACCCAAAAAGTCGCACAGCTGTAATCGCCGCCAAAGGTGCTTCTACAAAGTAGTTGCTAAAATGTCTAAAAACATGTTTTCACTTTGTCATTATGGGGTATTGTGTGAAGATGGGTGAAAAAATATATATTTAATCAATTTTGAATTTAGGCTGTAACACAACAACATGTGGAATAAGTCAAGGGGTATGAATACTTTCTGAAGGCAGAAATGTATGTTATCTGTATTATGTTATCTGTATGTTATCATATCAAAATATGTCTATATCAACATATGAAAATGGGCAAATAATCTCAGTGTTGTATAGTAAGCCTCTCCCCTCCCTCCTTTCCACTACCCTCTATAGGCCAGACCTGTGAAGTGGACATTAACGAGTGTGTGAAGAACCCCTGTCTCAATGGGGCCACCTGCGAGAACACCAAAGGCAACTACCGCTGTGGCTGCAAGGCTGGCTACACTGGCCGCAACTGTGAGACCAACATTGATGACTGCAAGCCCAGTAAGTCTCCTATCATCTCATCTTCATGAATTCCTCATAAAAACAGGTTAATATGAGACAGTGGCTGTGTCTCAATACTCTAAAGTGGCTCCCTTCTCCTCTTTTCTTTTTATGACTGAGTTGCTGCCAGTCTGCTAAGTTATTAGCTAACCTCTCTCCCTCCTCTCTTCCCCCATAGACCCCTGCAGCAATGGAGGTTTCTGTCGGGATGAGGTGGACAACTTTGTGTGCACCTGCCTGCCTGGTTTCCGTGGCACTAAGTGTGAGGAGGACATCAACGAGTGTGACAGTAACCCATGTAAGAATGGAGCCAACTGTACAGACTGTGTCAACAGCTACACCTGCACCTGTCCACCTGGCTTCGGTGGGATACACTGTGAGAACAACACACCTGACTGCACTGAGAGGTAAAGAGAACTTGAATTCCTATTTAGTTTGGATTTCTCTTCCTCACATGGCCTGTTGCGTCTCTGTCACAAACGGCGAATGCGTCTCCTAACTACTTTCTCTTGTCCACTTCTGCCCCCTGTGGCAGAAAGTTTAATAACACAAAATGACTCAAATATCCCATTATAGCCCAAGATGTTCACTCTCAATTCACTTTACTAACTGGACTTAAAAATACCCTGTTTTAAAGTGAATTGAATTTGGTTTTTGAATAACACTTCTGGTATTGCTTTGTGGATGTTTTGTTTAACATTTATGTTATTTTTCCCCAGCTCCTGTTTCAATGGTGGGACGTGTTTGGACGGCATCAACACCTACACCTGCCTGTGCCCACCTGGCTTCACTGGCAGCTACTGCCAACACGACATCAACGAGTGTGACTCCAGACCCTGCCTGAATGGAGGCACCTGCCAGGACAGCTATGGCACCTACAAGTGCAACTGTCCCCAGGGCTACACTGGACTCAACTGCCAGGTACAGTACAGGCCCAGTCACACTGACTTTACAGTAGACTAGCTGTAGGCTAAATACCAGGTTGTTATTGTCAAGTAAAATGTGCTTTTATGGATCATGTACTTGGCTACATAAAGGTGGTATAAATAACTGTAGCTAGAAGTTAGTTAACCACTGTGTCTCCTCAGAATCTGGTACGCTGGTGTGACTCGTCCCCCTGTAAGAACGGGGGCACATGTTGGCAGACTGGCACTACTTACAGCTGTGAGTGCCAGACCGGTTGGACAGGGCTCTACTGTGATGTGCCAAGCGTCTCCTGCGAGGTGGCAGCCAAACAGAGAGGTAACACTGGGGGTGTGAAGGAGGGTGTTTGTGTGTCAGTCCTTCTGCATGTATGAGGTGTGTTTGAGGAATGTGTGTGTGTGTTTGTGTTAGCCTCAATCATCACTATGCTATTAATTTCACACCACTAACAAAACACAGACTACATACTGATCTCTGTTCCCCTCCCATCTCTCTGCCCTCCAGGTGTGGAGGTAGTTGCTCTGTGTCGTAACTCAGGCCAGTGTCTGGATTCAGGGAACACTCACTACTGCCACTGCCAGGCGGGCTACACAGGCAGCTACTGTGAAGAGCAGGTGGATGAGTGCATCCCCAACCCCTGTCAGAACGGAGCCACCTGCACTGACTTCCTAGGAGGGTACTCCTGCAAGGTAGGCGGCTCACTAGGAACACAGCACTGTGGCATATGCACATTACATCCAATTGGTACGAATTGTCCTAATTAAGTTACATCAAATTTACACTACCGTTCAGAAGTTTGGGGTCACTTAGAAATGTCCTTGTTTTCCACGAAAACATACATTAAATGAGTTTGAATAGGAAATGTAGCAAAATGCCTAGGAAATGTAGTCATTGACAAGGTTAGAAATAATGATTTTTAATTGAAATAATAATTGTGTCCTTCAAATTTGCTTTCGTCAAAGAACCCTCCATTTGCAGCAATTACAGCCTTGCAGACCTTTGGCATTCTAGTTGTCAATTTGTTGAAGTAATCTGAAGAGATTTCACCCCATGCTTCCTGAAGCACCTCCCACAAGTTGGATTGGCTTGATGGGCACTTCTTACGTACCATAAGGTCAAGCTGCTCCCACAACAGCTCAATAGGGTTGAGATCCGTTGACTGTGCTGGCCACTCCATTGTAGACAGAATACCAGCTGACTGCTTCTTCCCTAAATAGTTATTGCATAGTTTGGAGCTGTGCTTTGGGTCATTGTCCTGTTGTAGGAGGAAATTGAATCCAATTAAGCGGCCTTCACAGGGTATGGCATAGCGTTGCAAAATGGAGTGATAGCCTTCCTTCTTCAAGATCCCTTTTACCCTGTACAAATCTCCCACTTTACCACCACCAAAGCACCCCCAGACCACCACATTGCCTCCACCATGCTTGACAGATGGCATCAAGCACTCCTCCAGCATCTTTTCATTTGGTCTGCGTCTCACAATTGTTCTTCTTTGTGATCCGAACACCTCAAACTTCGATTCGTCTGTCCCTAACACTTATTTGCAATCTTCCTCTGTCCAGTGTCTGTGTTCTTTGGCCCATCTTAATCTTTTATTTTTATTGGCCAGTCTGAGATATGGCTTTTTCTTTGCAACTCTGCCTAGAAGGTCAGCATCCCGGAGTCGCCTCTTCCCTGTTGACGTTGAGACTGGTGTTTTGAGGACCTGTGAGGCGTCTGTTTCTCAAACTAGACACTCTAATGTATTTGTCCTCTTGCTCAGTTGTGCACCGGGGCATCCCACTCCTCTTTCTATTCTGGTTAGAGCCAGTTTGCGCTGTTCTTTGAAGGGAGTAGTACACAGCGTTGTACAAGATCTTCAGTTTCTTGGCAATTTCTCGCATGGAATAGCCTTCATTTCTCAGAACAAGAATAGACTGATGAGTTTCAGAAGAAAGTTATTTGTTTCTGGCCATTTTGAGCCTGTAATCGAACCCACAATTGCTGATGCTCCAGATACTCAACTAGTCTCAAGAAGGCCAGTTTTATTGCTTCTTTAATCAGCACAACAGTTTTCAGCTGTGCTAACATAATTCCAAAAGGGTTTTCTAATGATCAATTAGCCTTTTAAAATGATAAACTTGGATTAGCAAACACAACGTGCCATTGGAACACAGGACTGATGGTTGCTGATAATGGGCCTCTGTACGCCTATGTAGATATTCCATTAAAGATCAGCCATTTCCAGCTACAATAGCCATTTACAACATTAACAATGTCTACACTATATTTCAGATCAATTTGATGTTATTTTAATGGACAACAAAACAATTGCTTTTCTTTCGAAAATAAATACATTTTTAAGTGACCCTGAACTTTTGAACGGTAGTGTAATTGTATCCATTATTTCTCAGGTGCTGGGTGAAATGCATAACAAATGTAGCCTAATGTAGAAATGATACCTAGGCCGAACAGCGATTCATGTGGCCAAAAAAGTGTGCATTTCCTGGTCTTGGTCTCGTAGAAACATTGTCAGTCATGTTCACTTTCCATTGAATGATTTAAATCAGAAAACAAATCAGTGTGTGGGTGTTCTTTCTAAATAATTTTTCCTATCAAACTGTATCCAGACTGATGACAAAAGGTTGTTTATAAACAGACTCACAAACTGCTCATTTATGTACAGTTGAAGTCGGAAGTTTACATACAACTTAGCCATATACATTTAAACTCTGTTTTTCACAATTCCTGACATTTAATCCTAGTAAAAATGCCCTGTCTTAGGTCAGTTAGGATCACCACTTTATTTTAAGAATGCGAAATGTCAAAATAATAGTAGAGAGAATGATTTATTTCAGCTTTTATTTATTTCATCACATTCCCAGTGGGTCAGAAGTTTACATACACTCAATTAGTATTTGGTAGCATTGCCTTAAATTGTTTAACTTGGGTCAAACGTTTCAGGTAGCCTTCCACAAGCTTCCCACAATAAGTTGGGTGAATGTTGGCCCATTCCTCCTGACAGAGCTGGTGTAACTGAGTCAGGTTTGTAGGCCTCCTTGCTCGCACACACATTTTCAGTTCTGCCCACACATTTTCTATAGGATTGAGGTCAGCGCTTTGTGATGGCCACTCCAATACCTTGACTTTGTTGTCCTTAAGCCATTTTGCCACAACTTTGGAAGTATGCTTGGGGTCATTGTCCATTTGGAAGACCCATTTGCGACCAAGCTTTAACTTCCTGACTGATGTCTTGAGATGTTGCTTCAATATATCCACATAATTTTCCTTCCTCATGATGCCATCTATTTTGTGAAGTGCACCAGTCCCTCCTGCAGCAAAGCACCCCCACAGCATGATGCTGCCACCCCCGTGCTTCACAGTTGGGATGGTGTTCTTCGGCTTGCAAGCCTTCCCCTTTTTCCTCCAAACATAACCATGGTCATTATGGCCAAACAGTTCTATTTTTGTTTCATCAGACCAGAGGACATTTCTCCAAAAAGTATGATCTTTGTTCCCATGTGCAGTTGCAAACCGTAGTCTGGCTTTTTTATGGCGGTTTTGGAGCAGTGGCTTCTTCCTTGCTGAGCGGCCTTTCAGGTTATGTCGATATAGGACTCGTTTTACTGTGGATATAGATACTTTTGTACCTGTTTCCTCCAGCATCTTCACAAGGTCCTTTGCTGTTCTGGGATTGATTTGCACTTTTTGCACCAAAGTACGTTCATCTCTAGGAGACAGAACACGTCTCCTTCCTCAGCGGTATGACGGCTGCGTGGTCCCATGGTGTCTATACTTGCGTACTATTGTTTGTACAGATGAATGTGGTACCTTCAGGCATTTGGAAATTGCTCCGAAGGATGAACTAGACTTGTGGAGGTCTTTCTGAGGTCTTGGCTGATTTCTTTTGATTTTCCCATGATGTCAAGCAAAGAGGTACTGAGTTTGAAGGTAGGCCTTGAAATACATCCACAGGTACACCTCCAATTGACTCAAATTATGTCAATTAGCCTATCAGAAGCTTCTAAAGCCATGACATCATTTTCTGGAATTTTCCAGAATTACTTGTGTCATGCACAAAGTAGATGTCCTAACTGACTTGCCAAAATAATAGTTTGTTAACAAGAAATTTGTGGAGTGGTTGAAAAACGAGTTTTAATGACTCCAATCTATGTGTATGTAAACTTCCGACTTCAACTGTAGATCTCTGATGGAAGAGAATTTGCTGTCCTGTGTAGAAAACTGGCAAAACAACCAGGTAAACAGAAACAGCCTTGTTTCATGTCACTCATTGATTTGTCTTTTCCCTCTCCTCTCCTAGTGTGTGCCGGGATACGTCGGTACCAACTGCTCCAATGAGATCAATGAGTGTTTCTCCCAGCCGTGCCAGAACGGAGGCACCTGCATTGACCTGATCAATACCTACAAATGCTCCTGTCCCAGGGGAACCCAAGGTCAGGGCCCTGCCACCCACCTCCACACACTCTTCCACAACACCCCCCTCCCTCTCTCTATCCCTCTTTCCGTGCTCCTCTCCAGCCTCCCACTCTCTCTCTGTCTATTCCTCTCTCTCCCCCCCAGTCTCCACTGTTCCTCTCCGCCCTCTCCCCTCTCTCTCTCTCTCTCTCTCTCTCTCTCTCTCTCTCTCTCTCTCTCTCTCTCTCTCTCCATCCACCACACTTCATTAATTAGGGCTTAACAGCGTCCAGCACATGTCCGAAACTCTCGTCCCCGTCAAACACGGGATTGATTTTTCTCTCGGTCATGAAGGGAGTGTGTCTTGTTGGTCAGCTAAAGTGCTGGTGAAATGAATGTAGCCAAAAAAGTGTGGTTTTATAGAAGCAAACGAGAGAAAACCTTTTGAAACGGTAAATGAAAATGTGTATTGGACAAGTGCAGGTAGTACATCCATCCTCCTTTGATCCCTTATGGTGGTGTCCCAGCTGAGTGTTTTAGAAGAGGCTGACTGTTCCTCTCCTCTCTCCCTCCCGTCCTCTACCTCGCAGGCGTTCACTGTGAGATCAACATAGACGACTGCAACCCCTTCACGGACCCCATCACCAACGAGCCCAAGTGCTTCAACAAGGGGAAGTGTGTGGACAGGGTGGGAGGTTACCACTGCATCTGTCCCGCCGGCTACGTTGGGGAGCGCTGTGAGGGGGACGTCAACGAGTGCCTGTCCAACCCATGTGATACCCGTGGGACACACAGCTGCATCCAGCTCACCAACAACTACCGCTGTGATTGCCGAACTGGATACACAGGTAACATATATAATCTACAGGAGGCAGACATGTTGGATCTGACTGGAGAGTGGGGTTGGGTTTAGTTTCATGTCAATTACTGTCACGATCGTCGGGAACAGAGGACCAAGGCGCAGCGTGGAAGGTGAACATATCTTTATTATTTGAGTAATACCACGAACAAAACGATAAACGATAACGTGACGTCCTCGGTTCAGACACAAACCTAAACAGGAACAAGATCCCACAAACACTGTGGGAAAACTGTCTGCCTAAGTATGGTTCCCAATCAGAGACAACAAGCAACAGCTGATACACGTTGCCTCTGATTGAGAACCACACTGGCCAACCTAGAAATACTAACCTAGAACGAAAAACAAATGAAAACTCACACCCTGGCTCAACATACTAGAGTCCCCAGAGCCAGGGGGTGACAATTACAGTTATTTCATGGGGTTTATATGGGAAAGCAAGGACAAACTGAATTAATTTAGTCTTTTTTTATTGTTGACATTTGTCTGTCTTTTTCAAGACAAATCACTGGCCTTGCAGGAGAAATCCCAACAGTAAAAAAAATTATATTATACCACCTCGTCTCTGTTTTTCTATAGTATATAACCCCAGAAGATAAGTATTTACTCTGTATGGCATTAAATGTTAACCTGTGATTGGCTTATTTATAAGGGGAAGTTTCAGTCCTTGATGCAACCATCTCTCTCTCCCTTACAGGCCAGCGTTGTGACACAGTGTTTGACGGCTGTAAGGGCAAACCCTGTCGTAACGGCGGGACTTGTGCCGTAGCTAGCAACACTCCTCACGGCTTCATCTGCAAGTGTCCACCTGTAAGTTCACACACAACCAAGGCTGCTGGCATATTATACTGTATACAAGACACATACTGTGTATAAAGATATTGAGCAGATGTATTACACTGTGTTGTCATTCATTCAATGTACTGTAATACACTTAATAGTAATAGTAGTACTAGATTGACACATTTCCTCTCCTTCCCCTCTACAGGGCTACACTGGCTCCACCTGTGAGTACGATGCCCACTCCTGTGGCAGTCTCCACTGTCGGAACGGTGGCACCTGCCTCTCCGGAAACAAGAGCCCCAAGTGTCTATGCCCGTCCTCGTTCACGGGGCCAGAGTGTGAATACCCTACAGACAGCCCCTGTAACACCAACCCCTGCTACAACGGGGGAATCTGTGAGTACAGCTCAGAGGCTCCATACTACCACTGCGTATGCCCCACCAACTTCAACGGCCTGCTATGTCACATCCTGGACTACAGCTTCCTGGGTGGGTTCGGCCGTGACATCACTCCCCCGCCGGAGGTGGAGGTGAGCTGTGAGATCCCCCAGTGTGAGGAGAGGAAGGGGAACAAGTTCTGTGATACCTTGTGTAACAACCACGCGTGTGGCTGGGACGGGGGCGACTGCTCGCTCAACTTCAACGACCCGTGGAAGAACTGCACGTCGTCCCTGCAGTGCTGGCGTTACTTCAATGACGGGAAGTGTGACGAGCAGTGCAACAACGCCGGCTGTCTCTATGATGGCTTTGACTGTCAGAACCTGGAGGGCCAGTGCAAGTGAGTGTCATCAGGGTCTAAACACTGAATACTAGCTAAGGGGAGGCCAGTCCTCATGGAGAGCTACTGGCTATGCAGGGTTCTGCTCTAGACCTACTATAAAACACTTGATTCAGCTAATGCTGTAGATAATAGATGATAAATAAAGTCTGAGTAGAGATACAAGCTTTTCTTTAATCATTATACATCCCATTAAAAGCCATACTGAATAATACTCTAATCTCTTGTCTCTCCAGCCCTCTATACGACCAGTACTGTAAAGACCACTATGCGGACGGCCACTGTGACCAGGGCTGCAACAACGCTGAGTGTGAGTGGGATGGTCTGGACTGTGCCAACAACATGCCAGAGAAGCTCGCGGTGGGCCGCCTGGTCATCGTGGTCCACATCATGCCCGACCAGCTCCGGAACAACTCGTTTGGCTTCCTGCGCGAGCTGAGCCGCGTTCTCCACACCAACGTGGTGTTCCGGCAGGACGCCAAGGGAGAGATGATGATCTACCCGTACTACGGCAGTGAGCAGGAGCTGAACAAACACAACATAAAGCGCTCAGTGGGCTGGACAGAGATCCCTGGCACCATGCTCAGCTCCATGAAGAACAGCCTGTATACTATAGCCAATGGAAACAGACGCAGACGCAGGGAGCTGGACCCCATGCTGATCAAAGGGTAAGGATTAGAGAAATGTTCTGGAAACAAACCTCATTTGGAATCTGGATTTTAGCTGAATTTTCATGCAACCCTCACATTGTCATGAATGTAAAATGTGAAAGTCAAGCTAGGACTAAGCTCTTTGTTGTGGAAAGTAAACTGTCCTTTCATATCTTTAGTTTTCCATCGCTATAGCTGATTATATAACAAATATATTAGTGTCTGGCTTTCTAAGAACTTCTGCTAGTTCTCTGAACAGAAACCATTGTGCTCTACTACGTCTCTCTGGGTTTTAGATCAGGTCAAATGTGTATAATATGACTCTGTCCTCCACAGCTCCATAGTGTACCTGGAGATTGACAACCGCCAGTGCTTTCAGCAGTCCACAGAGTGCTTCCAGAGTGCCACCGATGTAGCAGCCTTCCTGGGGGCCCTGGCCTCCAGTGGAAACCTCAACATTCCCTACATCATAGAGGCTGTTCACAGTGAGTTTCTATCTTCTTCCATGCTAACAGTCACCAGGCCAAGAGTACTGCGGCAACACGCCAGGTCTGCACCCCTAATGCCCCCTTAATCATACCTCAGCCCTACACACACACACACACACACACACACACACACACACACACACACACACACACACACACACACACTGAAGGTATTCATCCCCTAGGTCTTAACCCTCCAACACCACAAAAGGGTGATGGGGTGTTCTTTGATTGTGTATTTGGTATTCAACAATGGAACAAATGTAATTGTGAATCACATGAACTAAACAATCAATGCAGCAGTCTGTGTGTAAATCCAATGGCTTCAGGCTCCAAAATGGTTAATTGCCGTAAATCAACTAATCCAGCCCCCTACCCTATCCACATACCATTCTAACACACACACACACACACACACACACACACACACACACACAAACACACACACACACACACACACACACGCACACACACGCACACACGCACACACTCTCACTCTCACACACACACATACACACACACACACACACACACACACATTTATCCCACATTGTAAGGCTGCTGCAACCTTCAGCTTGCTGAATGTAATACCAGGACTTTATGTATCTCTAAGGGTTTGGGTTGGGAGAGTTTATCATTTCAAAATCATTAGTACAAAAAAAAGAGAAGAAGAATTGATCGGGAGTGTGCTAGTCTTTGTTATCTTGAAAATCCTAATAAATCCTTGGTCTTTACAGCTTAAAGCGCGTGCAGTAATTTGAAGTTCATTAATCCCTCCCTTTTTTCCCTTAAAGAAGAAATGGTAGAGTTGTCTCCTGGTACCCTGGGCTGAGAGGGGAGAGGAGGTGGTGGTGGTTTTTTAATTTTTTTATCGCTAGCTCTATTTGATGAAAAGTGGTTAGCAATTCTGATTATTACAGAATAGGAACAACCTTGTTTTACAAACGGCGCTCATCATTCCCGTTGTAGCTCTGGCCGTGGAATACTAGGACTAGGCTCCAGGAGGGGGTTTCACTAGACTAGAGGAGCTGGACTAGCAGTCCTCCTCAGACCAACTCAGCGCCTGCCTGCCTGCCTGCCTGCCTGGGTTCTCAGGCTGCGCCGCTGTCCGACTTACCATGTTGTCCTTTTCCCCTCCAGGTGAGGTTGACCCCCAGCCTCCGTCGGAGCTTTACCCCATTTACGTGGTCCTGGCCGGGCTGGCCCTCCTGGCTTTCGTGGGAGTGGGGATGGTCGCCTCACGGAAGCGTCGTCGCGAGCACGGCCAGTTGTGGTTCCCGGAGGGTTTCAAGACCAGTGAGCCCAACAAGAAGAAGAGGAGGGAGCCGGTGGGGGAGGATTCAGTGGGGTTGAAGTAAGTGTCCCTGGTTTCCATGCGCCACCACATCGTTTTCCCACCATGGGTCACAGTTTGTTTGTTGTGGGTTTGGTCGTTGCAGGGTGTGGAACGGTGAAGAGAGTTTATGGTACTGAGGGATGTAGCTGGCGATGAGAAAGAGGAGGGGACGGGGTGTGTTCGGATCATTAATGATAATGATACAGCAGGTATAGGTAACGGGCACATTAATTGACTTGTCGGAGCGGTGGGGGGGGGTCAATGCTTTTGTTTCAGAGTTGGTGCACTGCCACTAAGGAAGAGGGTTCAGCTGGGATAGTTAGCTAGCTCACTTGCTGTATCAGAATTTTCAATGGGATTTCTCTCTGACCACAGGCCACTGAAAAACCCCTCGGACATATCACTGATGGACGACAACCAGAATGAATGGGGAGAAGAGGAGCCTTCGGACGCCAAACGCTTTAGGGTGAGGAGTCTAAGGACACCAAACACTTTAGGGTGAGGAGTCTAAGGACCCCACATACTGGAATTGGGAGAGAAAGGCGGGAACAAGAGTAGAACATGGACATATAAAGAAATACCTATAGAGAAATAATAAGAAAAGATCTTCAGTCAGGGATTTTCTCTTTATCATAATTGATAATAGTCTTCAAATATCACTAGATTCAAGTTTTTTTATTTATGCATTTACATAGGCTATTCAATCAATTTAATTAGCTTTAATGTAATATCCACCAATGTTTAGATATAGAAAATATAGTCTCATTTGTGTTGGTTTTTGGTTTTATTTTCCTGAATGTCAGCATTTTAGTAAGTAAAAGTTGGCTAGTTAAACATTAGGCTACAAATAGGTTTGAGCTGAAATGCTTTGGCTGCGGTGTGAGATAATTGACTGTCCATCTGCCCCTGATCTGGTTCCAGCAGTTTGAGGAGCAGGCGATGCTGGACCTGGATGACCAGACAGACCACCGCCAGTGGACCCAGCAGCACCTAGACGCGGCTGATCTCCGTATCCCCTCCATCGCCCCCACACCCCCTCAGGGCGAGATCGAGAATGACTGCATGGACGTCAACGTACGGGGACCAGGTGTGTACACAACTGCTCGGTTCATCGTTAGGGAAATTAGGACTGATTTTAACGGTGAACTTCATACCCCTCCTATTTGCCTTCTGACTGATTATGAGGGGAATGTTTTTATTATTAAATGTCATGAAATTACATGACAATATTTGTGGTGAATACAGAATGTTTTACCATTTAACTTGCAGAATATTGTACCATTTAATCAGTCACCTGGTGTGTAGGACTTCAGTAAAACGGTTATGTGGAATTGGTGAATTCTGCCCCAGCTGCGGTGCACAGGTCAAGTCCAAATATTTTTTGAATGGTACATTTCAGTTATCAGTACTGGTGTAGAGTTAGAAAGATGAGAGCTGTACATAATTATGAGTCATTGGAAGTGGCAGGGTACATTTAGATAAAAAGATAAGCTATTATTTTATAACGATTCACATGAGCATAACTCCTAATTAGTTATGCTCATTAAATTAAGTAATTAACATAGTTATTCCTATTTAATTGTATTGTATTGTATTACCTAAAATCTTGCTTTGTATAGAAGTTAAACAAAACTGTCTTAATATCATGTTTTAAGGTATTTTTCTGCCTCCTCAAATATTAGCTGTTTGATTTACACCTTATTTGAGTGAGCAATAGCAAGGGAGAGAGACAGAGAGAGCGTGTGTGTGTATGTGTGTGTAGGAGTAGCTAAAGCCCTGTGTCCTCGGGGTAAGGGGATCCAGATCAAAGCATGCAGCTAGAAGCCATAAACCCAGGGGAAAACTCCCTTCCTGATTTCTGCTTACATTCATCATTGGACAATTAATGGGTCGTTCTCGTCATATGCTTTATTAATAAAACCAATAACAGAACAAAAATCAAGAACACACTTTTATTGAGAGCCAAACCCCCTGAAGAGTGTTTAAGAAAATCTAATGTAAGGCACTCTTCAACAGTAGAGCACAACACACAGCCTGAATCGACCAAATCTGTGAGATCTGGGGGCTTGCTATTATTTTGAAGAGGAGAAACCCATCCAAGTCGACTGGCTGAGCCTCCTCTCAGAGATGATAATGCTCAGTTTTCCATCTGCCTAGGTTTACCCAAGCTCTTTGTCTTCATGCAGCTCCCCAATGCCGGGCTTGATCAGAATCCGTTATCGAAAAGAGAGCTGTGATGATTCACCCAGGCAAATGCATCAAATCCACATTCAATTTGTTTGTTGCTTTGATCTTCCCCACACTTTGAAGTATAGTTTGTACCAGGAACTGGGCTCTGTCTTATGCTGACCCTGAGCTAGTGCACTGGACTGCCAATGCTGAGGTGTGGTCAACTCCTCTGGTACTAAAGTATGGTCTCTCCCTCCCTCTCTCCCTCTGTTCCATCCAGATGGCTTCACCCCCCTGATGATCGCCTCCTGCAGTGGTGGAGGTCTAGAAACAGGCAACAGCGAGGAGGAGGAAGACTCCTCTGCCAACGTGATCAGTGATTTCATTTACCAGGGTGCTAACCTCCACAGTCAGACAGACCGCACAGGGGAGACCGCCCTTCATCTCGCTGCCCGCTACGCCCGCTCTGATGCTGCCAAGCGTCTTCTGGAGGCCAGTGCAGATGCCAATATCCAGGACAACATGGGCAAGACCCCGTTACACGCTGCCGTGGCCGCTGACGCACAGGGCGTCTTCCAGGTGGGGGGTCAAATGCAGATATATTTTGGTTTTTGTGTAGGAAAGAGATCTACTGTATTGGATTGGCAATGTGCACTTGTTTCCTTAGTATCTTTAAAGATAATCTCATACAACAGGGATCATCAACTAGATGGTCGGGGGGCCGGAACATAATTACAAATAATTTGTAGACTGCAAATTGACCGCAAGAAGCCTCAAACAGATATCATATTTGAATAAAACATAATCATTTCAAACCTTGCTTACATTTGTATACGATCACGTGTATCTCTGTTATGCGTGGGAAAACTTGGGAACAGAGTTCCAAAATTAAAATCACTGATTTCCTGGTGTTTTTACAGTCTTTTATGTCCAAGAATGAAAAACACCAAGAAACCACGGGCCGCCAGTTGGGGAACCCTGTCATACAAGGTTAACCAACTCATTGTATCTTTCTGTAGATTTTGATCAGGAATCGTGCCACAGACCTGGATGCCCGCATGCACGATGGCACCACCCCTCTGATCCTGGCAGCCCGCCTGGCAGTGGAGGGCATGGTGGAGGAGCTCATCAACTGCCATGCTGACGTCAACGCTATCGATGACTTCGGTAGGGCTCTTATCTCAATGCTATGTCTCTATGGGCTCCATGGCCTCATCGTATTCATCTAGAGTAAAGGTGAAGCACATTCAATCGATTCATTAAATAAAACATGGAATTTGTCATTGGAAATGGGCAGAAGATAAGGTAAAGTACATGTACTTTAACAAAATGTTTTCTTACTTAGACTGAAATAACGTGGGGATTGGAAAATTGTTATAGTCAGGTTTCTTAAGGTCAGTTTAGACAGGTATGGGTTGTGTACTGAACGTGTGTCTCTGCCTGTCTCTCTCTCTCTCCAGGCAAATCTGCTCTGCACTGGGCAGCAGCAGTGAACAACGTGGAAGCAGCTACCGTACTACTGAAGAATGGAGCCAACAAGGACATGCAGAACAACAAGGTAAGGAATCTCTGCCGCCTGATGGAACACAATATAATACAATATTTCTGTAAGCTACATTCCTTTATCATTTAAGCTTTATACAGGTTATTGTCACTGAGATAAAATCTCTTTAGCAAGAGAGAGCTGTCTGTCTGTGGTCCACTGTAAACACATTTATCTCTGTGTGTCTCTGTATCTGCCTCAGGAGGAGACCCCTCTGTTCCTTGCTGCCAGGGAAGGAAGCTACGAGACGGCCAAGGTCCTGCTGGAGCACTTTGCTAACCGCGAGATAACTGATCACATGGACCGGCTGCCCCGAGACATAGCGCAAGAGAGGATGCACCATGACATCGTCCGTCTCATGGACGAGTACAACCTGGTCCGCAGCCCGCCCATGCACAGCCATGGCCATGGAGGCTCCATGGGCACCACCCTATCCCCTCCTCTCTGCTCCCCCAACAGCTACCTGGGCAGCATGAAGCCCTTAGTCCAGAGCAAGAAGGCACGCAAGCACAGCGCCAAGGGCATCGGCTGCAAGGACAGCAAGGACTTGAAGAACAAGAAGAAAACCTCCCAGGATGGGAAGGGAGGAAGTCTGTTGGACAGCTCAGCTGTTCTGTCCCCCGTGGACTCCCTTGAGTCTCCACACGGGTATATCTCTGACGTGGCGTCCCCTCCCATGATGACTTCCCCCTTCCAGCAGTCCCCGTCCATGTCGCTCAACCACCTCCAGGGGATGTCCGACCCCCACATGGGGGTCAACCACATGGGCATGCCCAACAAGCAGGAGCTAGCGCGCATGCAGTTTGACCCGCTTCCGCCCCGTCTCACCCACCTTCCCTTGTCAGGCTCCAACGGCTCTGGGGGCATGAATGGCCAGTGTGATTGGCTCTCCAGGATGCACGCCAGCATGGGCCATTCCGGACAGTTCAACGCCATGAGGGTTGGTCCTGTCGGGGGGCAGGGCGGTCTGCACCAGGGGGGCGGGCAGCACGGCATGATGACCTCTCTCCACACCGGGCTTCCTACCACCAGCCTGTCCCAGATGTTGAGCTACCAGGGTCTGCAGAACACCCGGCTGGCCTCGCAGCCCCACCCCATGCAGCAGGCCCAGCAGCAGATGCAGCAGCAGATGCAGCACCAACAGAACCTGCAGCAGCAGCTCCAGCAACAGCAACAGAGCATCCAGCTGCAGCACCAGAACTCTAATACTGGCAGCAGTGGCCATGCCAGCAGCCAGAACTTCATCAGCACCGAGCTGAGTGGTTCAGAGATCCAGCAGGGCACAGGGAACCAGGGCTCCATGCCCATCCACACCATCCTGCCCCAGGAGACCCAGATCATGAGCCAGAACCTGCCCAGCACCCAGTACCTTACCCCTCCATCCCAGCATAGCTACTCCGGCCCCATGGACAACACCCCCAACCTCCAGCTACAGGTCCCTGACCACCCCTTTCTGACCCCCTCCCCCGGGTCTCCTGACCAATGGTCCAGCTCATCCCCGCATTCTAACATGTCTGACTGGTCGGAGGGTATCTCAAGTCCACCAACCAGCAGCATGCAGTCTCAGATCGGACATATCCCCGACCAGTTCAAGTAGAGAGTTTGCATTGCTTTGCCAAATGGACTGATGGATATTTTTGTATGAAAAGGCACTCTTGAGAAAACAAAACAAAAAGACAGAGCTATGAACTGATTTGACCGAAAGCTCTTTTTATATGCTTTTATACTAACAGTAAGAATGACCTATGTTTTATTCCTTCTCTTATTATTTATTAATGTCTTATTTATACCTTTTCTTCCACCTGCTTACATAAATGTGGGATCCAAGGTGTCAGGCCATAGTCAGGGCAGAGAAAGTGAAACTTGTAGGGATACTGTAGCTTTGTTTATTTTTATATGTAGTGCTTTTGTCTGCAGTATACTGAGTTATTCAGACATACACTGGGTATTTATTTGTTTAGAAATGTTGCCTTTTCATTTTCACCAGATTTTTTTATAGTATAATCTTAAATCCAGTGTTATTTCCGTTTGTGTTTGAGTTTTGTTAAATATTGAAGAACATTGCATTTATTTGTTGACAGAGCGAACGGTCATAAAAAATAGTCATATTTTTCTCAGCTGTGGTCAGGGATGCTGTATGAATAAATGATCTTATTACAGTAGCTGGTTTCCATGTTCACATTTCAAACATGTCCTCTGACCAAAAGCAAGAATCTGCTAAATAAAGTGCTAGAGTTGTAAGTAGTTCTTGGAAAAATGGAACATAAGCCTCTTGATTGGATTGTCTGTTTGTGTGTGTGTGGCGCTGCGTTTGTATGTGTTGGGGGTGGGGGTATGGTGAGGTAATGTACAGTATAACTCCAGCTTGGAGATTGACAGTTAATAGAACAGGCTTGAGTCTCTAAGTCCTGTGTCCCTTGTTACTTTTAGTCATTCAAGAAATTGTCAAAATGTTATTCTAAATAATTTGGAAATTAACTTTCCCTCTCCCTCCAATTGTTTGAGCCTAAGGCTGGTTTTGTTTCAATGTAAATATGAATATGCATTTCCCATGTAAGCAGGATTTTGTTTCAGAAATCTTAAGTCTTAAGCATGCCATTTGGATAAGAGGTTTCACAATGATCCACAGTAATAAAAACAAAACAATACATACAGAACATATATTTTACTCTGTATCACTGAGGAAGAAATCTGAAAGGTGTATACAAACAACATACAGTGAGGGAAAAAAGTATTTGATCCCCTGCTGATTTTGTACGTTTGCCCACTGACAAAGACATGATCAGTCTATAATTTTAATGGTAGGTTTATTTGAACAGTGAGAGACAGAATAACAAAACAAAAATCCAGAAAAACGCGTGTCAAAAATGTTATAAATTGATTTGCATTTTAATGAGGGAAATAAGTATTTGACCCCTCTGCAAAACATGACTTAGTACTTGGTGGCAAAACCCTTGTTGGCAATCACAGAGGTCAGACGTTTCTTGTAGTTGGCCACCAGGTTTGCACACATCTCAGGAGGGATTTTGTTCCACTCCTCTTTGCAGGTCTTCTCCAAGTCATTAAGGTTTCGAGGCTGACGTTTGGCAACTCAAACCTTCAGCTCCCTCCACAGATTTTCTATGGGATTAAGGTCTGGAGAATGGCTAGGCCACTCCAGGACCTTAATGTGCTTCTTCTTGAGCCACTCCTTTGTTGCCTTGGCCGTGTGTTTTGGGTCATTGGCATGCTGGAATACCCATCCACGACCCATTTTCAATGCCCTGGCTGAGGGAAGGAGGTTCTCACCCAAGATTTGACGGTACATGGCCCCGTCCATCGTCCCTTTGATGCGGTGAAGTTGTTCTGTCCCCTTAGCAGAAAAACACCCCCAAAGCATAATGTTTCCACCTCCATGTTTGACGGTGGGGATGGTGTTCTTGGGGTCATAGGCAGCATTCCTCCTCCTCCAAACACAGCGAGTTGAGTTGATGCCAAAGAGCTCGATTTTGGTCTCATCTGACCACAACACTTTCACAAAGTTCTCCTCTGAATCATTCAGATGTTCATTGGCAAACTTCAGACGGGCCTGTATATGTGCTTTCTTGAGCAGGGGGACCTTGCGGGCGCTGCAGGATTTCAGTCCTTCACGGCGTAGTGTGTTACCAATTGTTTTCTTGGTGACTATGGTCCCAGCTACCTTGAGATCATTGACAAGATCCTCCCGTGTAGTTCTGGGCTGATTCCTCACCGTTCTCATGATCATTGCAACTCCACAAGGTGAGATCTTGCATGGAGCCCCAGGCAAAGGGAGATTGACAGTTATTTTGTGTTTCTTCCATTTGCGAATAATCGCACCAACTGTTGTCACCTTCTCACCAAGCTGCTTGGCGATGGTCTTGTAGCCCATTCCAGCCTTGTGTAGGTCTACAATCTTGTCCCTGACATCCTTGGAGAGCTCTTTGATCTTGGCCATGGTGGAGAGTTTGGAATCTGATTGATTGATTGATTGCTTCTGTGGACAGGTGTCTTATACAGGTAACAAGCTGAGATTAGGAGCACTCCCTTTAAGAGTGTGCTCCTAATCTCAGCTCTTTACCTGTATAAAAGACACTGGGAGCCAGAAATCTTTCTGATTGAGAGGGGGTCAATTACTTATTTCCCTCATTAAAATGCAAATCAATTTATAACATTTTTGACATGCGTTTTTCTGGATTTTTGTTTTGTTATTCTGTCTCTCACTGTTCAAATAAACCTACCATTAAAATTATAGACTGATCATGTCTTTGTCAGTGGGCAAACGTACAAAATCAGCAGGGGATCAAATACTTTTTTCCCTCACTGTAAATATAACATATGTTTTAAGCCCTTACAGACAAATAATAACATAAATATTGAGGAGTTATACAATTATTATTTATTGACTGTTTCTGTGATACAAAATAATCCACAGATGATTATTTGGATGAATGTTGGATGATTTTTTACATGATGTAAAAAGGAAGACTGTGGGGTGTCCTGATTCTATATTGTGTCCTCCCCTGATGCTTTGTGAGATGCTGTGAATGGTATAAGTTCTCAATTTGATTAATTAAAACCCAAGGCTGTAGTATCTGCAATAAAATGTTTCCTTCCTGCAAAGTTGAATTTGCATAAAATGTATTTTTATCCCTCTACCTGACTTTCAATCTGTAAAAAAAATAAAAAATCTTCATATAATAAAAGATACCATTGCGTGTCTTGATTTTAACTTGTCTTCCGTGGTCTTTGCTTTCTTAAAATCAATTGACTGGAGTTATTAGCCCCACCTTGTAGAGTATACCAAGTCTTACAGTTCTTCATCTCAAGATATCAGTTTTGGTCTACTAAATCCAGTCTGTTGTAGTTTACCAATATGGACTCAGCAACCATACAAGCACAATCAAACTCAGGTGATGATATCTGATACAGAGAAACAAAAAGTGAGCCAGAGCAAGAGTAGGTGTGTGAGTGAGAGAGAGAGAGAGAGAGAGAGAGAGAGAGAGAGAGAGAGAGAGAGAGAGAGAGAGAGAGAGAGAGAGAGAGAGAGAGAGAGAGAGAGAGAGAGAGAGAGAGAGAGAGAGACATACCTCCAAATTGATATTGAATGTTATTAGTCGAGTTTTCACACTCAATATTAATCTCTAATTGTCACGCCCTGACATAGAGATCTCTAGTTGGTTTGGTCAGGGTGTGAATATCTATGTGTAGATCTATGTTATCTATTTCTATGTTGGCCGGGTGTGGTTCCCAATCAGAGGCAGCTGTCGATCGTTGTCTCTGATTGGGGATCATACTTAGGCAGCCATGTTGCCTACCTATGTTGTGGGATCTTGTTTCTGGTTTGGCGTGGTTATGTGTAGCCCATTAGAATGTCACGTCACGTTACGTTGCTTTTGTTGTGTGTTTACTTCTTAATTAAACATGTACGCATACCACGATGCACCTTGGTCCAATCCTTTACACGACGAACGTGACACTAATGAATTACAGTTTTACTCATTATGACAGACATTTTGATTTTTTACCACCAACATTCACATCTAATTTATATCTATCTATCTGGACAAATTAGTCAACAGTTGAATTGTATTGTATTTTATTCCCCATGAGAGGCTGATGCTGTAGATTCCATAATGTGATACCTTTAGTGGAGCAATATTTAGTAGTTTTTCCCTCTTGTGTCTTTTAGGAGACTGTATGGAAGGGAGTTTAGTCCAACGGTAGGTATTCCTGTAAATCCACCATGGCTACTCCCGTCTTCAGTAGTTGATCTAGAAGTGTTGGAGAGTCTACAGAAAGATAGGGAGGGTGTTGATCCAGCTGATTTCTTTAAGAGACGTCTGGAAACTGTATATCAGGATTTTGTGGCCATTTACACAGATGGTTCAAAAGATCCAAGGACAGGACGTACTAGGTCAGCATTTGTAGTGCAGGAATGTGGGGTGGAAGTCAGGAAACGTATTACAGATCATCTGGCTGTATATACGGCGGAGCTGATGGCCATACTGTTGGCCTTGCAGTGGGCGGAGCTGATGGCCATACTGTTGGCCTTGCAGTGGGTGGAGGAAGTTAAGCCAGACAGAGTAGTTATTTGCTCTGATTCATGTGCAGTGTTAATGAGTCTCCAGTCCTTTAGCTCACGTAGCAGACAACACCTGCTTTATGAGGTGCTACAAACCCATGGCAGGATTAAACAGATGGGTATTCAGATAAGATTTACTTGGGTTCCAGCCCATGTGAGGGTGGAGGGGAACAAGGTGGTAGATGAACAGGCTAAACATGCACTTGGTAGTGGGGATGTTGATGTTAAAGTGTCAATGAGCGGGACTCGGAAAAGGAGGCGCAAGCGTCACCGCAAAGTTCTCCGTGGAGGCAGAGGCAAAAATAATGATATATAAAGTGATGGTGAAGAGATGGCAGGAGCAGTGGAATATAAGGGAAGACATTTATTTCAAGTACAGAGGAAAGTCGGGGAGGGGAGGACGGCAGGAAGGGACAGAAGAGAGGAGGCTATTTTTACAAGATTAAGGGTGGGACACAGCCAGTTGAATAAGACATTAAACGTGATAGGAAAGCATCCATCAGGAAAGTGTGATTATTGTCTATGGAGCATGTATTGCTACAGTGTGGGCAGTCACACCCGTCGCTATGGGCGGGCCATAGGGGGCCGGGCCCGCCCCCAAAAATGCTTGTGCCCCCCCTCCCCCCAACTTGAGGGAATTTACATTTACATTTTAGTCATTTAGCAGACGCTCTTATCCAGAGCGACTTACAGTTAGTGAGTGCACACACTATTGGTGGTTTGTTGTGACCAAGTGTTGGTGCTAAACTGTGTGTTATTGGATGCTAGCATGCTAGTTAGCTATGGTGTCATAGTTAGCTAGCTGAATAAAGTGGGTTGAGTCTATTCCTTTAAACATTGAACCGCTGTGGTTCACAACAATTCTGATTTCTAAAGGTGGAAGTTGGGAGAGTTTTTGTTCGGGTGGTTCAGTGAAACAATTATAGTTTCTGAGGTGGAAGTTTTGGTGAGGGAGGCCCTGCTCTCTCCTCTCCCAGATGTTTAGTTCATTTCATTCCGATCTCCTCTGCATTATTGTAGCCATTTGCTACAGCCTGTCAACTATGCCTCTGCCTATCCCTGTTCTCTCCTCTCTGCACAGGCTACACAAACGCCTCACACCGCGTGGCTGCTGCCTCTCTAACCTGGTGGTCCCTGCACGCACCCCACACCTGGAGTTCCAGGTCTCAGGCAGCCTCTGGAAGTGCCGTTCTGCTGCCAACAAAGCTGACTTCATCCCCGCCTATGCTAACCTCCAGTCCCTCGACTTCCTGGCGCTGACGGAAACATGGATTACCACTGAAAACACTGCTACTCCTACTGCTCTCTCCTCGTCTGACCATGTGTTCTCGCATACCCCGAGAGCATCTGGTCAGAGGGGTGGTGGCACAGGAATCCTCATCTCTCCCAAGTGGACATTCTCAATTTTTCCCCTAACCCACCTGTCTATCTCCTCATTTGAATTCCATGCTGTCACAGTCACTAGCCCATTTAAGCTTCATATCCTTGTCATCTATCGCCCTCCAGGTTCCCTTGGAGAGTTCATCAATGAGCTTGACGCCTTGATAAGTTCCTTTTCTGAGGATGGCTCACCCCTCACAGTTTTGGGGGATTTCAACCTCCCTATGTCCACATTTGACTCATTTCTCTCTGCCTCCTTCTTTCCACTCCTCTCCTCTTTTGACCTCACCCTCTCACCGTCCCCCCCTACTCACAAGGCAGGCAATACGCTTGACCTCATCTTTACTAGATGCTGCTCTTCTACTAATCTCACTGCAACTCCCCTCCATGTCTCCGACCACTACTTTGTTTCCTTTTCTCTCTCGCTCTCCTCCAACACTACTCACTCTGCCCCTACACAGATGGTAATGCGCCGCCGCAACCTTCGCTCTCTCTCTCCCACTACTCTCTCCTCTTCCATCCTATCATCTCTTCCCTCTGCTCAATCCTTCTCCCTCCAATCTCCTGATTCTGCCTCCTCAACCCTCCTCTCCTCCCTTTCTGCATCCTTTGACTCTCTGTGTCCCCTATCCTCCCGGCCGGCTCGGTCCTCCCCTCCAGCTCCGTGGCTTGATGACTCATTGCGAGCTCACAGAACAGAGCTCCGGGCAGCGGAGCAGAAATGGAAGAAAACTAAACTCCCTGCCGACCTGGCATCTTTTCACTCCCTCCTCTCTAAATTTTCTTCATATGTTTCTGCTGCTAAGGCCACTTTATACCACTCTAAATTCCAAGCATCTGCCTCTAACCCTAGGAAGCTCTTTGCCACATTTTCCTCCCTCCTGAATCCCCCCTCCTCTCTCTCTGTGGATGACTTCGTCAACCACTTTGAAAAGAAGGTTGACGACATCCGATCCTCGTTTGTTAAGTCTAATGACACTGCTGGTCCTACTCACACTGCCCTACCCTATGCTTTGACTTCTTTCTCCCCTCTCTCTCCAGATAAAATCCTGCGACTTGTGACTGCAGGCCGCCCAACAACCTGCCCGCTTGACCCCATCCCCTCCTCTCTTCTCCAGACCATCTCCGGTGACCTTCTCCCCTACCTCACCTCGCTGATCAACTCATCCTTGACCGCTGGCCATGTCCCTTCCGTCTTCAAGAGAGCGAGAGTTGCTCCCCTTCTCAAAAAACCAACACTCGATCCCACTGATGTCAACAACTACAGACCAGTATCCCTTCTTTCTTTTCTTTCCAAAACTCTTGAGCGTGCCGTCTTTAGCCAACTCTCTTGCTATCTCTCTCAGAATGACCTTCTTGATCCAAACCAGTCAGGTTTCAGGACTGGTCATTCAACTGAGACTGCTCTTCTCTGTGTCACGGAGGCTCTCCGCACTGCTAAAGCTAACTCTCTCTCCTCTGCTCTTGTCCTTCTAGACCTGTCTGCTGCCTTTGATACTGTGAACCATCAGATCCTCCTCTCCACCCTCTCCGAGCTGGGCATCTCCGGCGCGGCTCACTCCTGGATTGCGTCCTACCTGACCGGTCGCTCCTACCAAGTGGCGTGGCGAGAAGCTGTCTCCGCACCACGTGCTCTCACCACTGGTGTCCCCCAGGGCTCAGTTCTAGGCCCTCTCCTTTTCTCCCTATACACCAAGTCACTTGGCTCTGTCATATCCTCACATGGCCTCTCCTATCATTGCTACGCTGACGATACACAACTAATCTTCTCCTTTCCCCCTTCTGATAACCAGGTGGCGAATCGCATCTCTGCATGTCTGGCAGACATATCAGTATGGATGACGGATCACCACCTCAAGCTGAACCCTGGCAAGACGGAGCTGCTCTTCCTCCCGGGGAAGGACTGCCCGTTCCATGATCTCGCCATCACGGTTGACAACTCTGTTGTGTCCTCCTCCCAGAGTGCGAAGAGCCTTGGCGTGACCCTGGACAACACCCTGTCGTTCTCCGCTAACATCAAGGCGGTGACCCGCTCCTGCAGGTTCATGCTCTACAACATTCGGAGAGTACGACCCTGCCTTACACAGGAAGCGGCACAGGTCCTAATCCAGGCACTTGTCATCTCCCGTCTGGATTACTGCAACTCGCTGTTGGCTGGCCTCCCTGCCTGTGCCATTAAACCCCTACAACTCATCCAGAATGCCGCAGCCCGTCTGGTGTTCAACCTTCCCAAGTTCTCTCACGTCACCCCCCCTCCTCCGCACACTCCACTGGCTTCCAGTTGAAGCTCGCATCCGTTACAAGACCATGGTGCTTGCCTATGGAGCAGTGAGGGGAACGGCACCTCTGTACCTTCGGGCTCTGATCAGTCCCTACACCCAAACGAGGGCATTGCGTTCATCCACCTCTGGCCTGCTGGCTCCCCTTTCTCTGCGGAAGCATAGTTCCCGCTCAGCCCAGTCAAAACTGTTCGCTGCTCTGGCACCCCAATGGTGGAACAAGCTCCCTCACGACGCCAGGACAGCGGAGTCACTCACCACCTTCCGGAGACATTTGAAACCCCACCTCTTTAAGGAATACCTGGGATAGGATAAAGTAATCCTTCTACCCCCCCCCCCCCCAAAAAAAAAATTTGTAAAGTGGTTATCCCACTGGCTATAGGGTGAATGCACCAATTTGTGAGTCGCTCTGGATAAGAGCGTCTGCTAAATGACGTAAATGTGCCCTTGAGCAAGGCACTTAACCCTAATTGCTCCTGTAAGTCGCTCTGGATAAGAGCGTCTGCTAAATGACTAAAATGTAAATGTAAATGTTTTTATTTTTCATACCCCCCGTGGGAATCGAGCCCACAACCCTGGCGTTGCAAACGCCATGCTCTACCAACTGAGCTATTAAATATACGTACTGTATACGTACTGTATTAAATATACGTACTGTAGGCTAATAATAATTGTGCCCTGCCCTCCCATGCATTTCATATGCCCCCCTTAAGACTGAGGTCTGGCGACGGGTCTGTGGGCAGTATCAGAGGGAAAGAGAGAGGATGAGATTTAGTATGAGGGAGAAGGGGATACAGGAAATTAGTTTAAAGAGTATATTGAGTAGAGCGTCATTAGATATAGTCTCAAATATTTTGTAACCTTTTTTAAGAGAAACGGGGTTGGCAGGTAGGATTTAGTTTCTCCCTGTCTCTGGCCCACACTCCAGTACGGTAGGTGGCGGTAATACACCATAACGTTGGATGCCAACCGATGATAAACCCCACTGAAGAAGAAGATGTGTCTTTTAGGACGTCACAGCTGAGTCGATTGAAAGAACTACAACTTCCACTATGCACAGGGCCAATACGTTGCCTGGGTTCAAGGGTCCATAAACAACATCAGCTGTGAGGAAGCCATGTCATGTGATTTAGACAATGAACATTTCGAAACAGTTATTTACAGAGGCTTTCACCAACAGCCTTTTCAATATGCCAAATCGGGGTTTTATTTGTGTTGTTGTTTTGATCTCCCTCTACTCCGAGACGCAGGGGTATACACACAGGCGTTTTCAGGTAACTTTTTAACCCAGACGTTCAGTGTTCACTGTTACTGGGTTTGACTAATGTCAGGAGCATGGCTGATAGTATGTCTAGCTAGCTCTCATTTCGTAAACGAAGTTCATAGTTACATTATATTCGTAGTACACGTGTTCATAGTTATAGTCTAGTGCTAGCTGGGTATATTCATAATGGCTAAGACTAGAGAGACTGCTGTTGGATTCATTGTTCTTTCATTCACTCTAGCATGTTTATGATCTCAGATGTTACATTATAGGCATCAGGTTTGTTCCTCTGAACATCTCATGCTTTTACATTATTATTACTAGGCCAAGAATCATGAGTACAGCACTGACCCAAAACCCCAGTTTAAAGAGAAATATTTTTCCCAAATAATGGACCACTTCAACTTCAACATTATGGGCAATGGCACCTATGAGCAACGGTACCTAATCACAGGTGAATATCATTGTTATTGCTATTTTGCAGAGTTTGTGCTGGTCTCTCTTATTCAGTCCAACATGCATGCCCACTTTTAACTGTTACCATGCTCTGTGTCCTTCTAGATGAGTACTGGAAGAGAGGTTCTGGACCCATGTTCTTCTACACGGGCAACGAGGGAGACATCTGGGAGTTTGCCCTGAACTCTGGATTCATCACAGAGCTGGCAGCACAGCAAAGAGCCCTGGTCATTTTTGCTGAGCATGTAAGAAGAGGCCATAATGTGTCACATGTTCATGTTGAAGCTTGTGACCATGACAGAACTGGGGAAGTTACTCAACCATGTCACAGAAATAGGCTGGCCTCATATCCACAAAGCATCTCAGAGTAGTAGTGTTGATCTAGCATCATAATATTGTAGATCAGCACTCCTACTTTGAGACGCTTTGTGGATACAGGCCCTAGTCTCAGATCAGTTCTGTTATGATCGTTTTGATACCAGGCTACAGAATGTCCTTGAGAAGGGCAGACAAACACTCAAGTAGAGGTGTTACCTGTAACATGATGCATACAGTTACCTTGAATGTTTGATTAATATTCCACTTTTCTCTCCACAGAGATACTATGGCAAATCACTCCCATTTGGCCAGGACTCGTTCAACATCCCAGAGGTTGGGTTACTCACAGTGGAACAGGCCCTAGCAGACTATGCTATCATGATCACAGAACTGAAACAGCAGCTAGGAGCCTCCGCATGTCCAGTCATTGTCTTTGGTGGAAGGTAAGAGTTTTATTACAGGCAATTGGAAACCAAATGTCTATTGAATGATTTCCGTATTGGTTTCAGTGATCTGAAATCTGTCATTTGTATTCTTTGTAGCTAAATGCAAGTTCCAGGTAGTGGGTTCGATCCCCGGGACCACCCATACACAAAAAAAAAAAATTATGCACGCATGACTGTAAGTCGCTTTGGATAAAAGCGTCTGCTAAATGGCATATTATTATCATTTGTTTCTTGAAAAATGGTACAAAGAAAACTATGCTTTTAGATACAAAATAATTGCAGTGCAAAGTATCTTTTCCCACAATGAAAGCATAATTATGTTCTTTACATATCCAATTAATTCCCAATTTTGTACTTCCAAAGTATCAGACAGAAACTCAATGATACAATGACATCATCAACTTCAGTATAGATAAGAGGCCAGGCTCTCATACAAAGGTTGTCTTCTCTCTCTCGCCTTCAGTTATGGAGGAATGCTGTCGGTCTACATGAGACTGAGGTACCCAAACATTGTAGCAGGGGCTCTGGCTGCCAGCGCTCCCATCCTGTCTACTGCAGGGATGGGGGAATCCAAACAGTTTTTCCAGGATGTCACATCTGTAAGTTCAGACTTACAGTAGATAGTCTCACATTAGCTGGTCTATTTTGTCCCTTAGTTGTAGTGACCAAAGTTTTCTACATCCTTGATTTTTAAATTTCTCTGTTAACATTACCCAATGTTTTTTTTGTGTGTGTAGGATTTCGAGAACTATGCCCCAGAGTGTAGGGATGCTGTAAGAGGGGCGTTCCAGAGGCTGCGAGACCTGGCTCAAATGGAAGGTAAGGTCTGCATGTGTAGCAAATGGGGATCTGTGAAACTCACTCCTCAGCCTGAAGTGTCTCCACTTGCGCTGCTGAATAGCTAGCTTTTTGGTGGCACAACTTAATATGCTTTAGGATGACGGTCACGTGTTTGCGAGGCAGAGGTCCTGGGTTCGAGCCTTGGTATGTGCCGAATCAGGAGGAAACGGTATTCGCTAAGCAAGCAGCGTGACATCCTTTACACATGCACAATATCAGATAAGCCCTCGTAGAATTGGGTTCATCATTTGAATATGCCTTTACAAAGTATTAATGTCATCACTGATACGTATAGGGTTGTATGTCACAATACAACCACTGTGATTTTCCATCATTACAGTAATGCTCATTGTCTCCTTTGCATGTTTGTCCCACTTCAGACTATGGCCGTATCCAGTCAGCGTTCTCCCTGTGCAAGACTCCATCCTCGTATAAGGACATCCACCAGTTGAATGGGCTCTTACGTAATGCCTTCACCCTCATGGCCATGCTGGACTACCCCTACAGCACCCACTTCATGGGTAGCATGCCTGCCAACCCAGTCAAGGTACTGTTGCTCACAGATAACAACTCATTGGAATTTCACCCCTACTATGTTGTTCAACCCATACTATGTTGTTTGTGATGAACTAAGAAGAGAACTATATGTGCTTGTAGGTGGCCTGTGACACCATGTTGGGTGCAGGTGATTTGCTGCATGCCCTAAAAGACACTGCAGGTAAGTAGGCGAGAGGGATGTCCAGTGAGTTCTCCATGAGCCTTCAAGGATTCTGCCAGTTGACTTTTGTATCACTGAGGCATTTCATATCAGTTTCCACTAGAGGGTACTCCTCCTACACATTCCCCAGCTGCTCCTCAGGCAGAATCACTATAAACCATATATCCAAATCAACCCAGAAATCCATACACAAAAATTTATGCACGCATGACTGTAAGTCGCTTTGGATAAAAGCGTCTGCTAAATGGCATATTATATATTATATTATTATATATTTATAATTGATGCTCTCTATAGCAGGTGCTCACATTTCCATATGAAAATGCAATGTTAGGTCTACCAGTAACTGTAATGGTGTAATATGTTTTTGATGTAATGCCAAATCTCCTACAGGGATAGTGTACAACTCTACAGGAGATCTGACCTGCTTTGACCTATACACCCTGTATGTGGAGTGTGCTGACCCAACTGGCTGTGGACTGGGCTTCGATAGCCTGGCCTGGGACTACCAGGTACAGTATACATCACCAAGCTGTTGACATTTGTTCTTTGCTCATCAAGTTGGAAAACTAAGGAGCAGAGCTACTGAAAATGGAATAATTATGGAAATAGTTGGAATTTTTTCTCACTAAGACTGATGTCTTCTCTTTCAGGCCTGCACAGAGATTGAGATGTACTATGAGAGCAACAATGTGAGTGACATGTTCCCTCCTATGCCCTTCACTGAGAAACACAGGGAACAGTACTGCTCCAAGCGCTGGGGGGTGATCCCCCGACCTGGCTGGCTCAAAACCCAGTTTTGGGGTGATGGTAAGAGCTGCCCCCCTCTAATCACCACAGCTACAGATGCAAACTACATACAATCGTGGTCAAAAGTTTTGAGAATGACACAAGTATTGGTCTTCACAAAGTTTGCTGCTCCAGTGTTTTTAGATATTTTTGTCAGATGTTACTATGGTATACTGAAGTATAATTACAAGCATTCCATAAGTGTCAAAGGCTTTTATTGACAATTACATTAAGTTTATGCAAAGAGTCAATATTTGCAGTGTTGACCCTTCTTTTTCAAGACCTCTGCAAACCGCCCTGGCATGCTGTCAATTAACTTTTTTTTTTTTTTACGTCATTTAGCAGACGCTCTTATCCAGAGCGACTTAGAGTTAGTGAGTGCATACATTTTTCATACTGCCCCCCCGTGGGAATCGAACCCACAACCCTGGCGTTGCAAGCGCCATGCTCTACCAACTGGGCCACATCCTGACTGATGGCAGCCCATTCTTGCATAATCAATGCTTGGAGTTTGTTAGAATTTGTGGGTTTTTGTTTGTCCACCCGCCTCTTGAGGATTGACCACAAGTTCTCAATGGGATTAAGGTCTGGGGAGTTTCCTGGCCATGGACCCAAAATGTCGATGTTTTGTTCCCCAAGCCACTTACTTATCACGTTTGCCTTATGGCAAGGTGCTCCATCATGCTGGAAAAGGCATTGTTCGTCACCAAACTGTTCTTGGCTGGTTGGGAGAAGTTGCTCTCGGAGGATGTGTTGGTACCATTCTTTATTCATGGCTGTGTTCTTAGGCAACATTGTGAGTGAGCCCACTCCCTTGGCTGAGAAGCAACCCCACACATGAATGGTCTCAGGATGCTTTACTGTTGGCATGACACAGGACTGATGGTAGCGCTCACCTTGTCTTCTCCAGACAAGCTTTTTTCCGGATGCCCCAAACAATCGGAAAGGGGATTCATCAGAGAAAATGATTTTACCCCAGTCCTCAGCAGTCCAATCCCTGTACATTTTGCAGAATATCAGTCTGTCCCTGATGTTTTTCCTGGAGAGAAGTTGCTTCCTCGCTGCCCTTCTTGACACCAGGCCATCCTCCAAAAGTCTTCGCCTCACTGTGCGTGCAGATGCACTCACACCTGCCTGCTGCCATTCCTGAGCAAGCTCTGCACTGGTGGTGCCCCGATCCCGCAGCTGAATCAACTTTAGGAGACGGTCCTGGCGCTTGCTGGACTTTCTTGGGCGCCCTGAAGCCTTCTTCACAACAATTGAACCTCTCTCCTTGAAGTTCTTGATGATCCGATAAATGGTTGATTTAGGTGCAATCTTACTAGCAGCAATATCCTTGCCTGTGAAGCCCTTTTTGTGCAAAGCAATGATGACGGCACGTGTTTCCTTGCAGGTAACCATGGTTAACAGAGGAAGAACAATGATTTCAAGCACCACCCTCCTTTTAAAGCTTCCAGTCTGTTATTCTAACTCAATCAGCATGACAGAGTGATCTCCAGCCTTGTCCTCGTCAACACTCTCACCTGTGTTAACGAGAGAATCACTGACATGATGTCAGCTGGTCCTTTTGTGGCAGGGCTGAAATGCAGTGGAAATGTTTTTTTGGGATTAAGTTCATTTTCATTTTCAATTAATTGCAATTCATCTGATCACTCTTCATGACATTCTGGAGTATATGCAAATTGCCATCATAAAAACTGAGGCAGCAGACTTTGTGAAAATTAATATTTGTGTCATTCTCAAAACTTTTGACCACGACTGTACACCTTACATAATTTACTTTGTTAGTGTCAGTGTGCTGCTCTGCTCATTTGAAATTCCCATACAGTACACATGGCTTGCTTCTTGAACCGTTATTACCACTTACCAGACGCTTTTATCCAAAGCGACTTACAGTTAATGCGTGCATACATTTCTCGTATGAGTGGCCCCAGCGGGAATCAAACCACCCAATCCTGGCGTTACAAGCGCAATGCTATACTAATGTAGCCATACAGGACCACCTCTCTTTAGTACCACCCTTGTCTGCTTGATATTTCCATAGTAATGTTTCCTCAGTGATGTTTTGTTCTTTATGTTTCTGTTTGTTGCCTTGATCAGCCCTCTCCACGGCCAGCAACATCATTTTCTCTAATGGAGATCTGGACCCATGGGCAAATGGAGGGGTAAGATATGAATCAAATGTATTTATTGAGAGCTACTTTTCTAAACCCTCACATTTTAAATGCTATTCATCAGTGGCTGCGTTTACACAGGCAGCCCAATTCTGATATTTTTGCCACTAATTTGTCTATTGACCAATCACATCTGATCTTTTTCTGATCTGATTGGTCAAAATACCAATTAGTGGAAAAAATATCAGAATTAGGCTGCCTGTCTAAACGCAGCCAGTGATGCATTCAGTCTAGTGTCTCACTTGTAAGATTTTTGTTCTGTAGGTGAGAAAGTCCTTGAGCTCATCACTGATTGCAATCAACATCTCAGAGGGGGCTCACCATTTGGACCTGAGGTGAGAACTTATTAGAAATGTCACTTGACTTTCTTCCACTCAACAATCAACTACTGTAAATTCACACAGTATACAATTATTTTCTCTATAATATTAGTCGCTTATACAGTACCACCACATGGGACTGGTTGCATTTCAATGCTAATGTAATTTCCCAGAGAGGCCAATGCCGCTGATCCAGCATCAGTTATAAAGGCCCGTAAGATGGAGTCAGACATCATCGCCAAGTGGGTGAAAATGGAGGAGAGATACAGATGAAATGCCTTCGACATGGATTGTAATGATCGACAGTGACAGTTGTAAAATGTTGTTCAATAAAGTATTTTAATCTTGACATTTATACAAATGTAAAGCAGGTCCATAGTGTTATTGTAAACCAAGTGACATTGTGACACATTTTGTAAGTTCATGATTTAGACAGTTTTATAGACCCATAACCAAACACTGGTCCCATTAGCCCCCAGCTCTTGGTTTAGCATGTTCATTCCCAAGTTGAAAAACAGTGTACTACTTTCCAGCTGAGTCACTGATGTTGCAGGGTCATAACACACAGGGTGTCCCAAAATACAGTATTGCAAATGACACAGGCGCATAGTTTCATTGAAATGCAGATTTTCACCAATTTGATATTGATTGCAAATGTCTACAATATTGCAATAAAAATAACCATTCTATTCAATCAGATCCGCTTTGGCTGACGTCCGCATAGCGGTTGTTTTGGGAGGTGGAACTGCGCTAGAGCTGTCAAATACACAAGCGGCTCCTGGCATTATACCTAAAGCGGACATCGCCATTGGCTGCACAGAGTCGCATTAATATAAATCCCATACAGCCTTGTTTACAAGTTGGAACACTGGAATGTGAGATGTAATCTACACCTCCATTAGGATGATAGAAACCCTCATTTTGTTGAATGATTTTTCAATTTGAGTGTTTCTATATAGCTTACACTTTCTCGGTCTGAATTTCAAACAGGAGTGGGACGGGTGTGGCTTTGTGACAATGATCAAGAGCAGCTGCTCACCAATTTGACAGCTCCAACACTGTTACACCTCAGACACTCAGATGTTGGCTATCGCAGGTTAACGCTCAATCTGATTGAATCTAGGCCTTATTTTCCCTTGAAGTCCCAGTTGGGTAGGCTTATTTCATATGGTATTAGTGGTTTGAAATAAAATGGTCCTCCACAGCTTGAGGGCTGAGTCAGTCAGAGCAGCAGACTTTGGGCTGGATTTAATCTGTATCATGGAACTATTGCAGAAGATCTGTGTTAAAATGTAAAAGTAATTTCCGATTGAGCCGACATCTGCAGCCTTTACCGTGAATGGGGTCTCCACTAACGCGGGAACACTGCCCAATCGTGCTATGAGACGGATCTGCACCGATACGGATTGAATCCAGCCCTTAATTAACCATGACAATATCACTGTTGACCTTGGTTAGCAGAGAGCTGCCAGCAGGCAGCAGCTGACTTCAGATGCTGTATCAAAATCTCCAATAGCATTTCATTTACATTGTTATAAAACATGGCTTCGGGAAATGGCTTATTTTGTCATTCCTAACAGAATGATGAATTTAGAATAATTCCAGATTCCAGTTATTTTATTAACTAGGATATCTTTGGTGTACAAAAGTTTAGGATCCATTTTGAAGGATTTCTTTAAAAGGAATCAGAAATGACCAGCAGTATACTAACTGATCAGAGATGTGAAAGAGAGATAGGAAGCAGAGAGCCCTTTGTTTCATGATATGTACTGTAAGTCTATGCACAGTTTTGAGCGTTATGGAAGTATACCCAGCAAATGGTTGAAGGACTGTTGGAAAATGACATTCCTTATTTCAAAATCACACCATGATTATGTAACAAATACACATCTTTGCACAACTATTCACGTCAACTATATACATTTCAATAACAAAACAACAATTTATGAATGTCCAAATTGTTTCATAGTGTTGTCTAGAGCAACGTTGAAGGCACAAGTGAAACAACACTAAAGGAGGGGAGAGCTGCACATTCAAATACCGAAGGAAATTACATTTCACACAATACACTTAGGATGTTGAGTTTGGTCTCAATACAAACAGTTAAATAAAATACCACTACAAATAGAATCATCCAAGTGAAAGTGTATATCATATAACATTCACAATAGCTATTTACAGTAATGATGGTGACGTATGGGATCTACAGCCCAGGGCCCCGTTTCCCAAAAGCATCTTAAGGCTAAATTCATCGTTAGGGTCCTATGGTTTTAACGATGAATTTTTTATTAATTTTTTAAAATATATATATTCCCCTTTATTACTTTCCAACCCCGCCACCCTTTCCCCACTTGGAGTAAACTAGTGAACAACAACGCCTAGGCCTCTACTTCCAGCCCATACCCACTATCTACATTTTATGGACAAAGTCAATTTTACAATAATTACATTTTGTTTGTTCTTTCTCCTGAACTTCTTCTACTCTCAACCTCTCCGATCATTTTCATGATGTCCATCCGGTTTGCTTCTATATGCCATATCTTTCTAACTGTGCTCCTTCACAAAAGCTCCCAACCTACAACCCATACACTTATTATGGACACAGCGTGCCTACATTATTAGTTATCTTGTTTTGTTTGTTGTTAGTTGTTATTAGTCCCATCTTTCAATTCCATTCAACACCACCCATCTATCTTTTAACACCATCCATATAGGATTTCTATTTGCCATATATATTTCAACTGTACTGTGATGTCTAACAAAAGTTCTGAACCTTTCTATTCTCTTTGTTTCTACAGATTGTGAATTGAAAATAAATAAAATTGCTAATAGTATTATTATGTTATCGATCGATCGATTGACTGACTTTTCAGATCACCCAGTAGTGCTATCTGCAGGGTTAGCTCCAGGTAAATATTGCAATCCTTTAGCCATTCCTGGACCTGTGTCCAAAAACAAGCTACAAATGGACATTACCAAAACAAATCTAATGATTCTGTCTCTTCGCAGCAAAATCTGCAGAGCTGGGAAGATTGTATCCCCCATATAAATAACATTCTATTGGTAACAAGAATTTTATATAATAATTTAAATTGAAAGATTCAAAGTTTTGAATCCGGTGTCGTTTTGCGTATCAGTTCATAAACACTATGCCATGGGATCGGTACGTCAAAAATCTCTTCCCAACTATTTTGCAATCTATATGGGACGGCTGTCAATCCTTTGGTCCTTAAATGAAACTGATATACCCTTTTATTTATCACAGTTTTCCTTAACCAATTATGTTCTTTAATGCAAGGCCGACAGACAAGTTCCTTACTTTCTCCCCCTTCCACTTTCCTCTTCCATTTTTGCGGTAAGGCTGCAACTATTTGGTTGTAATTTTGGGTAGAGCAGACATTTCCATATGTTTTTGTTAGCTGCATGTGCGACAACTCCACCAGTCCTACCGATGATATCATTTACAAAGATTATACCTTTTTAAAAACATTTTGTCAAAAAAAAAAGTTTTTTTGTCAATTTGTTTATTTGAGTTTAACCACAATATTTGTTGCATTATTTGTTCTGTCGTTTCTGGAGGATTAAATTGAAATTGCAACCAACTTTCTATGGCTTGTTTTAGAAATAGTGATATCTGGGAGATGATTTCCTTTTCAAATAACTGAAAGTGAGTGGTTGTAATCTGAATAAAGGGAAAAAGGCCATTCTTGAACATTGGGTGAGACAATCTTACTCATTTGCTAGAGAACCAGTTCGGATTTAAGTATAACTTTTGTATGACTGAAGCTTTTAGTGATAGGTCTAATGCTTTAATATTTAATCATTTCTGTCCTCCGAATTCATATGTTCATTATGTAAGTAGGCCCGTTTAATTTTGTCTGGCTTGCCGTTCCAAATAAAATGGAATATTTTTTTCTCATATAATTTAAAAAACTGTTCGCTAGGCGTAGGCAGGACCATAAGCAAATAGGTAAACTGGGATAATACTAAAGAGTTAATCAGGGTGATTTTTCCACAAATTGACAGGCACCCACCTTTCCATGGTAGCAAGATCTTATCTATTTTTGCTAACTTTCTATTATAATTTATTGAAGTGAGATCATTTATTTCCTTTGGGATATGTATTCCAAGTATATCCACATCCCCATCAGACCATTTTATTGGTAAACTACATGGCAATGTAAAAATTGTATTTTTTCTTGATCCAATACGTAATATAGTACATTTGTCATAATTTGGTTGTAATCCAGAGAGGTTAGAAAATGTATCTAGATCCTCTGAGGCTGTGGAGTCATTCTAGTTGTGGATTTAAAAGAAAACATGAATCATCAGCGTACAATGACACCTTTGTTTTTAAGCCCTGGATTTCTAATCCCTTGATATTATTGTTGCATCTGATTTGAATAGCTAACATCTCGATGGCCACAATAAATAGATATGCCGATAGTGGACAACCTTGTTTCACTCCTCTTGACAGTTTAAAACATTCTGAGAAATAGCCATTATTTACTATTTTACACCTAGGGTTACTATACATGATTTTGACCTATTTTATAAGAGATTCACCTAAATTGAAATGCTCCAGGCATTTATATATAAACCCCAGTTGTACTTTATCAAATGCCTTTTCGAAGTCTGCTATGAATAACGATGAACTTAGCCTTAACATACTTTTGGGAAACCGGGCCCAGTTCTACTGCTACTCCAGTTTCTGTGGAATAAACCACAATTTTAATTCAGTCTATCCAGATATACTATACCACAATACACTACAAATCAATTCAAATGATAAGAACTAAATTCAGCTTAATCTCACAAATACATTTGTATAACTAAACTACCCAAGTGTCCACACTGGCTTGCTCTAGTTTGATGCCACACAACGTAAAAGGAAATGATGACAAATGATAAGGAAAAATAAGAAAACTGAACATTCATTAAAGATAATAGCAGCTGAGTCAGTCAAACTCAAGGAAATTCAACAATAAGTGCTTGTAGTCCCCATACACAAAAAGGTTCACAGTATGCAAGTAAACCAGACTGTTCTATGCCTGACATGATTTAACATTAAATACTTTTTTATATAAACCATTTCTTAAGAATGTGATCGAGAGACTGGAGAGTGACATGATCCAGGTACACAGGAAGTTCTATCCCAATGCAATGTCATTTCCTGTAAAGCCCAGTATTGTGTCACTGGTCTCCTAGAGTAGAGTTGTATTCTGCCAAACTAGCACCTCCACTTCCTCTCAGGCTTCTGCTGCCTCTGACTAAGACACAGCTTGGAGTTCAGTCACACTCATCTCATTATCTAGTGTTGGTGGACAACATAACCACGATGAGCCAAGTACACAGCTTGGCTGGCTCTCATGTTTTCCACTCTTCCTTCAGAGTAAACAACTGTCATTATCAGAGGACAGACAGACTCCGCACCAGCAATGTGGTGAGAACAGACAAAAAAATAGATATATAATTGCAAGGCTACCATGCCTCAATCTCACACTAGCACTGCTGTCATTCCCCCATGGCTATTACAATCATTTGTTAACGAACAATTAATTCCGTTTATTTTTATTTTTATATATGCATTTTTCCAGAGTTGTCGAGTTGGGAGAGGGTAAACCAACCCAAACTTGAGTCACAGATATATAAAAATGAGTAATGAGATATCTTGGTGTTAGCCAAGCCCTGAGCTGTGATGTATTACTGTATGTATGTGTCCTGTTGACTTGGCCGGTGTGTCGCTTACTCAGCAGAAGGCCAGATGGGCAGGGGGTGGGCCTCTGTGTTGAACACATACTTCTCCAGACTGACCAGCTCCGGGTCATCTGAGAACAGCAGGTAGAAGTACTTGAGAGTCTCCCCCAGGAAGAAGCTCTCCATCTTGTCCCGGGGGCTGGGGTACTCTGGGTCCCGGACGTTGTTGATGGATGTGTAGCCACCAGTAGAAACCTGAGGAGAGACACAGACCAACACAACACACGCTATAAAAGTAGGATCTGTAATCTCTGGGGAAATACTCACTCAATAACCACATACTGAATATCTCATTAACCATGCATTTCTCAGTAGCCTGGTTTCAGATCAGTTTGTGCCGTCTTGCCAACTCCTATGGTCATTGTCACGTCAAACAGATCTGGGACCAGGCTGGTTAATTTACTTACAGTATTAACAGTAGTCTAGGCTGGGTAGTGACTGTTCTCTCACCTTGGTGTACTTGTTGAAGTTCTGGAGGATCTCCCAGCCCCAGTCCCTGTACTTCCTGTCCTTAGTGAACCTGTACAGATAAAACAGGCTCTCCACTGTCTCAGGGCGAAGGAGGTTGTGTCTGTCTGCAAGCTGAGGAGAGGACAGACAGACACGAGAAACAATCACATAGGAAATTGATCATATCCATGAAAAACTTCACAACAGTAAAATAAATGGTCAGAAACCCCACTATACTTCAGTAGTGTATTGTTTAACAATATATCTGCTATGAGGGGAGCACCTCTTTATACCCACCTTGACGTCTACATCTCTGATGCTGCCCTCGTGCATGTTGAAGTGGACGATCTCAGGGCTCAGGCCAGTCTCCATCTGGGCATACATCTGGTAGCAGGTCTCCATCAGCTGCTTGGCCAGCTCCATGTGGTCGGCTGGCAGGCCGTGGTGGGCCCCAAGAGCCAGGGTCCCAGGGAGGAAACACACCAGGTGGTCCTGACAGACAGAGGGTTGGGGAGTCAGTGGAGAAATAGCATGTCCATGTTGCAGAATGGAGCCCACAATCTTTTAATGGAAAAGACTGGAACTACAGTTGGTTGGGAGTTGACACTTGTTTGACTCATCAAAGCGACACATGAGATATTGGAAACATTTAAGTATTGGGTGAAACTGGGCTTTAAATACCCAACCTTAAACAGGATGCATACCTGCCTCAAAGAAAACCTTGAGGTTCCTTTGATTTATAGAAAACAACAGCTCTTTCACCCACACTCATCTGGTGTGCATAGTTCGTATACTAACCATTTTGGGGCTGAACTGACCATGGGACAGCTCCCCTACGAAGGTCAGCCTGTTAGGAGAAGACTTCTTCAGCAGGTTCTTCTTCACTCCCTCCAGGGCCTGCAGGTAATCCTCCAGCAACCTGAAGAACACAGTCACAGCTTTACAGCCAAGTACTCTGGCACACACTGACACAGCATTACAGCCAAACACTGGAGAACACACGTACAGACACAGCATTACAGCCAAACACTGGAGAACACACGTACAGACACAGCATTACAGCCAAACACTGGAGAACACACGTACAGACACAGCATTACAGCCAAACACTGGGTCAGACCAGCCATTACAGCAACACTGGTACAGTACAACACAGCATTACAGCCAAACCACTGGTGAACACACGTACAGACACAGCATTACAGCCAAACACTGGAGAACACACGTACAGACACAGCATTACAGCCAAACACTGGTGAACACACGTACAGACACAGCATTACAGCCAAACACTGGAGAACACACGTACAGACACAGCATTACAGCCAAACACTCTGGAACAGTACCTCCACCAGCATTACGCAAAATGTGTACGGGTGAGAAACTGTATAAAAAACAACACTATCAGCCACACTGGCTACAGACACACATTACAGCCAAACACTGGGAAACCGGACAGACCACATACAGCCAACACTGGTGAACCACGACCAAAGCAACAGCAAACACTGAACACACGTACGACACAATTACAGGGAACAGGGAAAAACACGTATTTGATCAGACACAGCTACAGCCAACACTGATTTTGTCACGTTGGAAAACCGTCAGACACACATACCCAACACTGGAGACACACGTACAGAACAGCATAAGCCAAATGAGACACACGTACGACACCGCATACACCAAAACTGGAAACACAGTACGACACTTACAGCCAAACATGGACCACGTACATACCAGGTTTCAGCATTTGAGAACCAAATCAATTTTACCACAGCATACAGTGGAGACACCGTACAACACAGCATTACAGCCAACCTGGGAACACACGTTTGGGACATGACACAGCATTACAGCAACACTGGAGAACACCGTACAGACAAGATTACATCCAACACTGAGAACACACTACAGACACAGCTTTGGAAACACACGTACAGACAGCATTACAGCACATGGGAACACAGTACAGACCGCATTACACCAAACACTGAGAACACACTTACGACACAGATACAGCAACACTCGGAACGTACTTTATTTGTTGCTCTTATAAAACACTATTGGTTGACTGAAAGAAATGGCCATAACTGTACAATACTTGAGGGAAAAAGTATTGTCCCTGCTGAACTTTCCCATGACAAAGACATGACAGCTATAATTTAAGGTAGGTTATTGGCAAATCATTTCATTTTGAATGGTTTTCTGGATTTTTTTGTTGATTTGTCTCGTCAGTCAAAAACATACATAAAAAATAGAGGATCAATTTCTTGTCAGTGGCAAAGTACAAAATCAGCAGGGGATCAAATACTTTTTTCCCTCACTGTACTTAGAAACATCATCAGCTGAATGGTACTTGTGTAGTTTTCTATTATTGCTTGATAAGTGTCCCATAGAATCTAGTGTCAACACCAACTGATACAGCGCTGAGCCAAGGAAATAAAAATACAATTTCAAAGAAGTACTTTAAACATAGCACAATAACTAAATCTGTCCTCAAGCATCAAAGTCCTCAAGCTGTGCTGGGTCTGTGAGAGCTGTTCCAACTGAGGATAAATGTTTTCTAAAGCAGCTCTGAAGACCTAGTTGTGCATGACGTTAAGCAAATATTCCCAGACAATCATTAATATTTCAGTCTTATGCACAGCCTGATACGGCATACAGCCATTCTGCCATATCCACACAGAATTGCAGGTAACAGAGAAACGGGGCTGTTTAAGTCATGTCAGTTACATCAACGGAGCTGAGGAGATCAAGCTTTAGGACTGTCAAACATGACAGCAAGCTAGAACAGTGACAACTCTGCTGCCTGCCCCCCAGTACTTAGCAGGGAGCCTAGACAAGATGAGTAGGAATCGAGTAGCTAGACCTGACTGTGAATTAGTGTCAGCCTCAAACTCATGACAGCCTTGAGAAAAGTAGACAGGAAAAGTGTTTAGAAAATCCAATCCAACTTACTCTGTCTCCTTCTTGCCTCCCTGTATCCACTGTTTAAGGAGATATTCGTAGTAGCTGTCTGCCCGGGCCCCCAGGGTGAACACCCCTAGATGGGTGAACTGACCACTGTTGGTGTTGATGAACATTGGCACCAGGCCATCCTGCTTCCCTTCCAGCTTGTGGACTTTCTGCATGACCTCATCCACTGCAGCCTGGATGAGAAAGGGGGAAGGAGGAATATGGAAGTTAAAGCTAGAATCCTTAACTGAAACACTAACAAAGCAGTCACCCCGCTTCTGTTTTGGTACAACGCTGAGGAATGGGCCTGGGGAAATGTAACCACTCAAATTCATAGACAGAGCTATGGATGCAAGGACTGATCATCCATGATATTAACAGTATAGTTTTAATCATGTTGAGGATATACAGTGTTTGTTTACATTTTCTTTATTTACAAACATTGGAGTAAAACAAGCTTATATTTTTGGTTCTGATGGGGTACGACAGTTGAACTAAGCTCATGAGGCATTTATAAGTTATCTTTTTCAATAATCAATGAGGTATACATCATTAATCTATAAGTCCAGAAATTGATGTAGCAACTAAGGATTCTAGCTCAAAGTGTTGTCAGAGATAATTGATAAAGTACTGTAGAATCGAACGTTGTACAAAAGGCTGACATTAATCGAGTCCTTTCACTAGAACATTGCTTATGAATATTACCTGGTAGCGTGTGTCCTGGGTGAGGCGACTCAGCTCCCTAAACTCTAGCTGGATGCTGGTAACCTCAGCAACAGTGCTGTCCGACGTCCATCGAGGGGGGTGGGCCGTACCCTTTCCAATGTTCACATCTGAGTAAGGGATCTTGGATGGGGTGTTGAAGGCAGGCATTAACCTTGTTCCTATATCTTTCTGCAAGGTCATCAAAAGAACAACAGAAGGCTGATCAATATGTTTCCCTAGCCAGACCCCCTCCCACAGAAAAACAAGTTATTTCACGAATGAACTCATATGACCAGCAGCAGCATTAGCAGTAGCCCATGAAAGGGTCTTTGAGAGGCAGAAGGAGTGGAAGAGGAAGTGTCAGAGGCCCAGCAGCAGTAACAGCCAGCTCTCTGTATGTCTCTCTGTCTGTATATGTGACTCACAGCCTTGTCCAGGAACAGAGTGTCTCCAGTCAGATGGTAAGTGCTCAGCAAGCCGCCCAGGATACGGATGGTGCTCTCAAACAGGTTCACATCAACGTTCTTATTGAAGGAGAGCTCCGTGGACACCCAGGTCTTAGCCTCCTCAAACTCTGTCCAAAAGAGGCCAACCACAACTTTAGTGGTCTAACTCCATGTAAACTCTCTGATATAGCAGGTATAAAGAAAAGTTGGATCATGAATGTAGGTAGTGTTTCCCCTATATGCATTTAGCAGTGGCGCACCGGCGCTGCTAAATCGTGGCCGCCAAATTAAATATACTGTCATATATTATTTATATACTGTATAATAATATAATAATATACTGTATATAATATACTGTATATATTAAACATTTTTTTTTGGGGGGGGGAATAATTTTTGCGATGGTTAAACGTTTTCAGTGTCAACTTAAACCAGATATAAAGTATGTAGAAAAGATAATGGAGCTATATATTTTTTTTAAATAAGATAATCTTTGAGAACTAACTATCACATTTCTCTCAGCTCCATGGCAAAATGTGTAGAATTGGAGGAAACTAGCTTTACAACTGTCAAATGTTCTCTTTGCTCCATGGCAATATGTGTAGAATTGCAGGAAATTAGCTTTAAAACAGCTAACTTTGCCATCACTGCTGTAAAAACTCCCTAGGGGAAACACTGAAGTACCTTCTTTGAGGTTGAGGATCCACATGGTGTCCAGTGCATCAATCAGGGTCAAGCCCAGGCCAAACCACTCTCCATAGGACTTAGAGATGGGCCTCAGCTCATCTTGGCCCCAAGCAAACTCTTTGTAGCCCTTCCATGCATGTCTGAAAGCATCTCGTACTGCCTCAAGCCTATCGACTTCTGAAACGCACACGCCAAGATAATTAGCTACCATCCAAAGAATTATAAATGAATTACTTCTATTTCCAATAACTAAATCTGCACATTTCCTCTCAAAGCTCTAGTTTGCCCTCTATCAAACTCAACTTGTGGTTAATAAACAACTGTTGTTAATGGTCATGAATGGTGGGCTATGGAGGGTTTGCACACACACAGACAGAGAGACAGAGAGAGAGAGAGAGAGAAAGAGAGAGAGAGAGAGAGAAGCGGCAGAAGCAGGGTACAGACCTGGCTCCTTGTGTGAATGGTCCTCTTGCTCAACCGCTGGGACATCCACCTTGTTCTCTGCTTCCTTGGCAGTTCCTCCTTCGGTGGCTTGGTCAGCCTCAATCAAGGCCCCACGCCTGCTAAATACACATAGGTGTCAGTCAAGATGAGAAGACCAGAAAACATGTTTATATTTGGTTGGAATGGAGTTGTAGTTTCTATTCCGAGTACTCATCACAATCGCTTCCCTAACCCATGCATGCAATAAAGGCTTATGTATCAGAGATGAATTTACTTTCATTATCCATTAGTCATCTCCACTGATTAGAGACTAGTCTTACTTAACAAGTGGCTTCTCTCCCTCCTCTATGTCAGCTTTCTTTGCTTCTTGTATCTGATTCTCCTCCACCTGGATATCTGACCCATTGCCTTTCTTCTGCAGACGATTCTGCAGGCCCGGTGGCCCCCGCTTATCGGGTGCCCTCTTCTGCTTATGAAGGAGGAGACACGTTAAAGGGAGGGAAGTGCTTTAATTCAAAAACATTGCTTACTGAATGTATCACGGCACATATTTCTCACAGCCAAAGGCTAGCTTTAGTAGTAAAGCAGAGGAGTGGAATGTACCAACCTCTGAAGGTGGCTCTGGTACTAGCAGTTGGTTCTGTTTGTCCGACTCAGGTAGGACCTCAGGGATGACAGGTTTCAGAACATGGCCCCCTTCCTCCTTCACAACAACAGTAAGGCCTGAGGAGGTACATAGGGGAGGATGCTCAGTCTCTGGTGCCTCAAAAACAGAGTCACCACCACCATACATCATAACAATTAGATTTTTTTGCTGGCCTTACCTCGGAAGTGTTCTGTGACAGTGGGGTAAGTGGCAATCCCACAAACTAACATGAGAGCCATGGTGAAGAGGATGAGGTTGCGCTGCAATCTGGATAACTGTTTCCATTTCTGTGGAGAAATGGGTGCAAATTGGATGAGATAGAAAATGACAAAGCTGTAAGCACAGAGCGAAAAACACAAAAACTCAGTTACAATTGACTGCACTGGCTTGTCTGTCAGGAGAGACATTCACACTATAAGCAAGAAATACAGAAGAACCACTGAATGCCACAAAGTGCTACATGTCTGATCAACTGTCAGTACCATGCTGCTACGTACTGTACAGAGGCACTGCATTTTCATATTCTTCTGATAAACATCAACATCCTGGTGTCATATCTCCAAAGATTGACAATGACAAGTCTGAGCTACAATCATTTTCTGTTTGAGTGACTATCACATTATATTATGGATATGATGATAATGTGTCTCGAGGCATTTTTTCAATCAAGTTAGTTAACCATTAAAATGTAATGCTGCATTTGCGGTATAAAACATTCAGTGGGATATTTAGTATAGCCTATCAATCAACTGTAAATAGTACATAGTAAGTCATCAGATCAGAGTTTGTGATTAAGATAAGTAGGTTGGTTGACTTCCTTCAGCACTCACTCACCCTCCAGCAGGACTGTCTTTTCCACTGTTTGCTGTTATAGTTGCCACTTCCAGTGAAGGTTAAAGACACAAAGTCCTTCCTTGATGGTGAGTGCATGTCTCCAGCCTACCCCACAGTGAATTCATAGACTCTATGCTGGAGGGGGAAAGTAGGATGCAAATTAGAAGTTCCAGCAGATGCAATACACAGGCAACACAAACTCCCTTCTCTAATTATACAAACTCAACTGTAGAGACATGTGCTTTATTAGACCAAATTACTGAATATTGAGGACACATTATAAATAGGGCTAAATGTTTGCAGGATATAGCATACAATGATGATTTTGTTTCAATTGAGAAATAAAGCATAATATCTGAAAACAAAGCAATGCAGTTTCGTTTACAAACCTTTTATTGATAAATTCTGACATGTTTGAAATTATTTCTGTCAATCACAGCCAACTATTGTTAGTGAGTATTTGAGTGGTCCTTTGTAGCTCAGTTGGTAGAGTATGGCTCTTGTAACGTCAGGGTAGTGGGTTCGATTTCCGGGACCACCCATACGTAAACATGCATGACTGTAAATCGCTTTGGATAAAAGCGTCTGCTAAATGGCATATATTATTATGTTTACATTATTCTCACTGTCACTGTCTTTCCTTATTGCAGCCTGCCAGCCTATTGTCCTAACTATAGAAAATATTGCTTACATTTGTTCCCAAACAGGTCAAATTAGCTTCGAAAGGAAATAAATTACTTTTAGGATACAGTATGCCAGTTGACAAGAGGTAGCTAGCAGATTGTAACGGGCTAATGTGACGCTCAGTCAGTGTTGCCAACTCCTCAGTAAGGAAAGTACCTATTGGCTGTCCTAAAAGTCGCTAAATGACGTCATCACATAATTTGCCATGTGCATGTAATTGTGATGGACGCTGTAGGAGAGAGGAATAACGTCGTGGGAGAGACAAAAAGTGAGTAACAAACACCCTACATATGTTTAGAACTACAAATGAACTTTCTTCTGTCGATTCTTGTTTTTTTTATGTCCATAACATTTTAAACATTTTTTTGTATACAATCTACATTAACAATCTAAATGGACCAAAAAGAGACAATAGAAAAAAACTGTCAATGGCAATGTGAGAAAATGATGGTAACTAGTCTGGCCCTAATTCAGGTTAATTGTTTTTTTTTTTCAGACTTATCACAACCCCCAGGTAATTGGAAACACTTACGTCCGTGGACTCATCGAGGAGGAGGCTGAAACGCTGGTCACCCACATCTGCGACCAACTTTTTCAGAAAGTATGGTGCTAGAACACCATTAATCATTTCTGTGCACTTTGTCCTGTGCATTTTGAAGTGGGTAGCAGCAGTGAAGTCTGAGAAAGCAGCTCTACATGCTTCTCCAATGTGATCACATGCCAGCATGGAACAGTGTTCAGCGATAGCTAATGCCATGGTGGCCTCAGCCTTTTTTGCAGTCAATTTTTTTAACCATAAATGGCAGCTTGTTTTTGGTGGAACTGTTATAAGGCTTTGCCTTTTGAGTATGTTTTTTAGTTGTCATGTGTTTTTTTACATCACTAAGTTTGGCGTAGAAATCAGCCTTACAATACAGGCAGTATGCCCGTGTATCATCTCCAATAAACTGCTTCAACCAGCCTTTGAATTCAGGGTTTGATTCCCACTCCTTTCTGTATTTTTGAGGGTACAATTTAGACTGAGACATGATGAGCTAGCCAGCTAGATGTTTAGCTTATGTCACAGAGAGCCACACACACAGTGGACGAGGTGAGTAAGTGACTGAGGCTGTGTGAGTCAAATGCAGTGATTTATTTTTGTGCAGTGATTTATTTTAGACAAAGAACATTTTACATTTACATCCCGCCCTGAATGTAAGCCAGGGCGAGATCAACCAGCGGCGGCTTCCCGCATGCGCGATTCATTTGCAGTCTGGACGCGGAGGGGTGAACATCTCCTGCTCTGACTGCTGCTGGGAGGGACTGCTGCGCGACGACTGGGCCGCCTGTGAGTGCTTTGGGACGGGGGTGGGGCCTGGCAGCACCCGCTGCTCGTTGAGAAGAGTAAGAGCGATACGTGCTTTCACGTCAGAGTCTCCAATAACACCAGAGATAGTCGCTAGATTTGTCGCTAGTCGCTTTTTTGAAAATGTATCGCTAGAGGGGTATGAATAGTCGCTAAATTGGCAACACTCAGGATAGGTACTGTTTAACGTAGGGACACACTCTTTTCATGCTATTTCACCCGGTGGGCGGTGCTATACGTCACCGTGGGCGTGGGTTTCAAAGTGCAAGGACTGTTCGATGCGCGTTCAACCGAGAAAACTCCGACTGGGACCTCATTCATAAATTAAACTATGGTGGGTTTATAATTCATAGTTTACAATTGCACAGTCATAGATTCATCATTCTGCATTATTTGCACTAACGATAGCTAGCTACCAAGTGGCTGGACCAGTTTTCCGAAAAGTGAACGATGGGTAACGCCAGGTTGTCCTTGCTAGCCAACAAACAACGTCAAATGCCAATCTACCAAGTTTACCTTAATGAAATACATGAAATGTATCATGACTAGATTTAATCTAATTTCACTGCGATTGGTTAGTCAACATGCAATAATACCTGTATAATGTCAATAACTGAGATTAATTTTTTGCGTTGCTGGCTTCATTAAAAACGGTTAATCTGATGGATGTTGTATGTCCTTGGTTTTATTTGTTTGTTGGGCCTATACATGAGGCCAACTTTACCATATTATCCTGGAGGCATAGGTACTTACACACTCAGCCTCATGACTTTGCGTGAATGATATCTCTACTTATTTCTTATTCGAATACACACATTGTTGCAAGTTTTACTGAAAATAAAATAGCTTATTTTCAGCTTGTTTGGGTGCTCAATAAATTGTGTGTAATATTCCATGTGACAATACCAATAAATTATGAATTAGTACAGTCCCTTCATTTATTCACACATTTCCGCTGCTCTGGCACCCCAATGATGGAACAAGCTCCCCCACGACAGCGGAGTCACTGACCACCTTCCGGAGACACTTGAAACCCTAACTCTTTAAGGAATACCTGGAATAGTAATCCTTCTACCCCCCTTTTACTACCACTGTCTTTTGTCTAAACTAACACCTGACTTATTTCACCTGCTAGCACTGACTTGTTTAAAGAAATGTAGTTATTGTGATGGAGATGTAGTTGTCCCTGATTGCACTGACTTTGCTCACAGCTGCTTGTTTGAAGAAGTGTACTTACTGTGATCAAGATGTGGTTGTCCCACTGACCATAATAAGTTAAATGCACCAATTTGTAAATCGCTCTGGATAAGAGCGTCTGCTAAATGACTTAAATGATAAATGTAAAAATGTGTTTAGCTTCTTTCTATTCAGTGGCTGCATGAAATAGTAAACATAACGTGAATTCAGCGATGACATTTGTTTACTTGATCTTTGTGGCTCCCTGATGAAACAGTAACATCCATTATTGTAGTTAGGCTTAGCCAACCTGTATTGTAACCTGTATTGTATGGCTTTAGTGGCGTGTTAAATAGATTCCACTGATCCGGACATGAGCGAGTGCTCAGCTGGTTCTCAACACTGTGTGCACCCATATGCGCGCTGAAATCTACGGCCACCTCGTTCTCGACACTGTGTGCACCTCCCCTCAGCAGCCTCCACTGGTTCCCAAACTTTTTCACTCGGGCCCCCCTTCCAGCATTGGGGAACATCCCCCCCTGCACCACGTCTATTTCTATGGGCACAAGCACTGTCCATGACACAAACTGTTCACACCCCTCTTGTTGGTGGAGATAATTGTGCCGGTTCAAAGCTAATTTTCTTGCAATTCTACTCATTTTGCCATGTCTAATGTGTATTCATGTGATATTTGAATGACTAGAAAATTACAACAATTTATATGGGCTAAAAAAACGAAATATAAAACATTAGCTGACATGGGCTGGTTGATCTGGAGACTTCCGACAAGTTATAAATAGCTCTCTAAGGTATGCAATGACTAACATGACAAGAGGAACTGATTATGCACTACCCAATTTCGAAATTGCACCTTGTGCATTCTACTATAACAACTTTCAAGAGTAAGTTTAAAGCCGGACTGAGTTCCTTTAAAAAATGCAATTAAATAAAAAAAATACAATTTGGGGGGGGCACTACCACCGGTCTATGCCCTTAACGTGAATGGGCAAAAGCGGTGAGGGAGGCGCACTCTTCTCAAATCGAATAGTAATCGGCGCCGCTCGGTCATGTTGTCAACAAGGCAGCATTGTGCATTGTCCAGAAACATGCATCACTTTTCCATAAAATTTACATTTTAGTCATTTAGCAGACGCTCGTATCCAGAGCGACTTACAGTTAGTGAGTGCATACATTTTTATGTTAGAATGTTCAAACTAGTAGTCATTGGGAAGGCAGAGGTAATATATATATATATTTTTTTAAGCAATCACTTTTGCATGTGAAAACACAGAATACTACTCATTACGTCACTTTTGTGTTGAGCCGACTGTGGGCTTTGAACAGGGCACCTGGTTCATGCCAGGGAGCAGCCCGGTTCCAAAATGAATTCAATCAACTTTCACCCGGTGCAAAACACCTACCGGGTTCAGATTAATCGAATCCCATCATTGAAACAGGTGGGTGACCACCCCAAAGTGCTGCATGTCATGATGACACTCCACTGTCTTGATCAATGAGAGAGAAGATTTGAAATAGACAAGATGGCTGCGTACACATTGTCGGATTACTTGGAGCAAAACATTTATTTTAATATCGGAGCATTTTCTAAATTCAAACAAACCACCTGCAACTGGACACGGGCATATTAGAAGATACATGTTTGGCCCAATCGAGAACGAAGATAGTATCGCCAAGTTAAGGCTGGTCGAAAATTCTCTGTGCTTCTCCAAACAGTACCTATCCTGTAACGGCTAATGGAGCATCACATTAGCCCGTTACAATCTGCTAGGTAGAGGAGAGGATTCCTGAAGGCTACTCGCAACAGCTGGGATGTATTCATTACGGAAACAGTTTACCGTTTAAGAACCAAACGGGAGAAAAACAAGAGTTTCTATTGGACAAATTCAGGCAGGTCACACCCCGTTTCGTTCCGTTTTCTTCCGTTTAAGAAATGTTTTACAACATAATCGGCGTAATGAATACGCCCCTGATAATTACGACTGAAAACATCCACGCAAACAAAAACAATGTGCAAGCTAACACAATCAAAACGTAGACTAAAATAAGACGTTGAATTTAGAAATTCATGTACTTTACCTTTTAGTCTACAGTGTATCGTCGCTCGTGCTCTTCGGAGCTCACAATTCCAATGTCCTGGATATTGAGCGAGGCTTGACCGATTCACAGAGCGACTATAGACCGAGGCATTATGAGGCCTACAGCCTAAAAACAAGCAGTTACACGAGTAAAGTTAATTTAATACAAACGAGGAACATGTCTAACAGGAGAAAGGCAAGTGTTCGTTTAAAATGATTGCATACCTTGAAGAGAACGATTCTCTACCCCAGAGCAGCAATGAAATGTATATACATTCCACGCGCTTAGTGCTACAAAAGTAACCTGACCGAACAGAGCGGAAGCAACAAAATACAATCGTTGATACAAGTCTGAGGATGATACATTGTAACTACACGCCTTTCTCGCCAGTCAACACTTCGTCCGATGACTTTAATGAAACGAACATAAGTAGTTAATTTCATTCGAATCTAGTAAAATCACATTGTTGCAAGTTTTACTGAAAATAAGAGCTTATTTTCAACTTGTTTGGGTGCTCAATAAATTGTGTGTAATATTCCATGTGACAATACCAATGAATTATGAATTAGTACCGTCCCTTCATTTATTCACACATTTCCGTCAAACAAAATTACTATTATCTCGGGGGCACAATACAAAACGAGAGAATATGAATGATTGATATTTATTCAAACTTGAAAATAAAAATATGAAAGAAAAATGGCCAGCATATAAATTAAGTAAATCACACAATTAAACACATATCTTGAAACAAAGATGAAACTGAGGAAAAACGTAAAAGATACATTTTTTTTTACAGTACTGCATTGTTCCTCTGTATCAACAGACATCAAAACATCACAATTTCACAAATGGTAGAAATTGTGATTAGGCTACTGCATCGATCAGGTGATGCAATAATGCATACAATATTATCACCAGACAGAATTCATTGTCATAGTTTCTAATAATAATCATAATATTATTAGTCTCCCTAGTTTTTGACCAAGGGATCAATATTGGTATGTTTCTAACTGCAGATGTAAGGGTAGTAGTACATATGACGTAGAGTGAGCATGGAGCTCATACACATAGAGATTAGCTATGTCTCAAATTTGGGACACATTGTTAAATTGCAGCAGTGAAGGTTAATGTGTAAACCACAGTGCTCTTCGTCAAGAACATACCTGAATTAAGTATGGGGAATGTATGTGAAAACAGAATTATTGGAACCTTTAGCATTTAAAGAAACCCCAGTCATTTTAAACCAATTACATAAATAAGCATGTTTTAATATCACAAGTAAAATCAATGTAAACAAAACACAAAGATCATTTCTCTCAAGAATATCCCTGACCTCTGAAAATGTGTAACTGGTCAACCTTTGGATAGAGAAAATATACACTTTTTCCTGTTGGTTGGTACGTCTACTTTGTCTTAGCAATAAACAAGAATGTCATGAGAAGAGAAGAGATACTGATGTCTTTCTCTGTATCTGTTTCTCTCCCATTTCTCTGGGTCATTTCCCCACTGGCTGGTGGTTGTCTCATTGTTGTCTCTGCTCTTGGCAGTCCTTAGAGAGAGTGTCTATCTTCCTTTAGCTGAAGCACACAGGCCCGACAGTGAATCCAAACTCCTGCGTGAGGTCACTGCTGCCAAACACTGCCAGATCTCTCAAGGGAAGCAGATCTAGGTCCTCACTCTCAAACTGGAACACTGACTCACGACGGCCTCCGGAATGTAGCTCCTCAGAGGGCTGCCAAGATAAACACAAAGTACATTAAGCATTGAAGGGACTCTTCACCATCCCTCAACAGCCTCCCCTCCTCATCACCACCACCACCACCATCATAATCTAATACAGTACATGGTAATCATTATAGGCTAGTCTAAAAACATACCACACAATCTTGTAATGTCCCCAGGTAACTCTGTCTTTGTGTGTCTGCCAGGAACTTCACCTCTCTTTCGCCTGGCCCCTGTCTGTTCCCAGGCTGGCAGGAGTAGGTGATGTTCTGACTGGTGAGCCTGCTGTTCAACCTCAGGAACCTCATTTGCACCACGTCGGGTCCTAGATACTCAAACTGGGAGAGGGCATGGAAGGAAGGAAATCGAACCAGAAACATAAAAGCATTTCATTGTACTGTGTACACCACGTATATCCTTTGCATATTGCATATGACAAATAAACTTTGATTTGATTCGATTTGAGAATCATGATTGGTTTTGAGGCTTACCTGAAAGCCTTTTTCCTTTGAACTCAACCAATGAAATGAGTTATTTGTCCCAGAATCCTTCAGCCATGCTTTTACTGGCACCTGAAGTTTGAAGGTATTTCATATGTTATTACATGCATATAGCATATGTTATTACCACATAAGATCTATAGTTCTGTGTGTGGAAGTACCTGAGGCTGGAGCGGAGACAGACAGGTCTTTGGTGCTGCAGTGAAGTCACAGTACACCAGAAGGGCATCAGCTGGGCTGCCCTGGTTAGGATCAATGTAATACATACCTGGAACATGGAACAACCTTTACATCAGAAACGGAGCTGGGTTCAATCTCTGCTGCTGTACAACCACTCCCACACAAACCCAATAAACATATTGTACATTTAAGATGCTTTAAAATAACTGATATCAATATTATGGTATTAGAATATAACGGAGAAGTCGTCACATTGTGGAAGAAGCCCATACCGTTAGTGAAGTTGGGCTGGGAGAGCCAGAGCTCCAAGCAGGTGGTAGCCGGGTGTTCTTTGGTGCCGTCTGGTGGATCTATGAACAAGCGCAGGTCCTGGTGCAATGAATCCAGAAGAGTCTGGATCAGGAGGTAGTTGGGCTTGTCTGACAGGTACATGAGGTCCTGGTCAGGCAGGGGGTGAAACAAGGAAGTGTTGTAAGATAAATAGTAATGGCTGAATTGGCCGGAATGGCATTAGTTTCAAAATTCAAGGGAATTCCAAACTGAAATGAAGTATTTGGATGTGCTTAGATAGATGACCAATGACTTGCCTTGAGTTGTGCCAGAGTGAGGTTCAGAGAAGTTCCAGGGGGGCCAGGAGGTCCAGGGAGGCCCTGACATAAACAAGGAAAAACAAACACAATATGAAAGTTAAACTCATTGCCCGGGTTGCCAGATTGGGTCTGGAATCATTTTGATTTCATTAAACAGGTGTTAAGCGGCTGTTTTTGTAATGTTTTGTGAAGTGAGTAGGGTCATACTCACAGGCAGGCCTCTCACTCCAGCAGGACCTGATTTTCCAGCAAATCCTTTTAGACCCTGATAATTAGGCACATTTAGTCAGTGCCCTCAGTCAATCCACCAATCTCCAAATAATACATGTACAGAACACAAAGGTATGCATAAAAAAACGGAACAAATGTGTGTATTTGTATTTAGAGAACTGTTATATACACATACCTTTTCTCCAAACAAACCCTACAGAAAGAGGAAATTAATCACATTAGCATTTAATTTCTCTGTTTAACTACCTTTACTATATTTTCAGAAATACAAGGGAAATAAAGTAGCATATTGCTGAAAAAGGACAACTTACAGGCAGTCCAGGTAGACCTGGGGTCCCCCATTCCCCATGAGGACCAATGTCTCCCTACAAAGACGGAACACATAAATCACTGTCAATACAACTCAATAGCAATGCCACGATTAATGATGAATACTTAACAGAACACTGAGTCGGAACACACTAGACCAGGGTTCTTCAATTCCGGTCCTGGAGGGCCGAAACACCTCTGTTTTTCATCCTCTCCTTCTAATCAGGGGCTAATTCAGACCTGGGACACCAGGTGAGTGCAATTAACTACCAGGTAGAAATAAAAAACAGAAGTGTTTCGGCCCTCCAGGACCGGAATTGAAGAACCCTGCACTAGACGGACAGATACTAGAAGGTGCATCTTACCTGTTCTCCTTTTAGGCCATCCGTCCCTGTCTGTCCCAAAGGGCCTTGTGTCCCCTGAAACAGACACTCGACTGACTCAATACATCATGGAGCTGTGTCCATTATTACATACAGGAAATGTATAGGGATATGAACATGGGAATGATGGAGGCTAAATGTATCCATAGTGAATCTAAATTAACAATTTTAGTACATCTGTACATCTGACTCAAGTGTAATACGCTTCTTGGGATAAATGAGCTCTAAAGTACCTTCAACCCCTGACCTCCAGGAGGGCCTGTTAGTCCCATCTTCCCCTTCTCTCCCTGTAAGTTCAGGGAAAATACATTAGTCTCACATAAAATGAGCTCAAAGTGCTGTACTTCTTCAATCATATGGTCATCCTGTTGAGGCTTCAGTCAAGGTCTTACCTCTACACCTGGTCCGCCCATTTCACCCTTCTCTTCTTGTAAGCCAGGTGTCCCCTTTGAGAGAAACAAGGGAAGTTATTTCCTGAGTTTTGGGGACCCAGTGATTGAGTTATACAGCTAATCCTCCTGGCATTGAAAAGTGCACACAGCATTTCCAAAACAGATCAAATAACTTACGTAAGGCCCTTGTCTTCCTGGAGGCCCGGTTGAACCAAAATCTCCCCTCTTTCCCTGTAGGCCATAGGAAGGTAAAATCTTGATTAAAATCTGATACCCCGTTGACCTTACACAAACTCTCACCCTTGCAAAACATTAGCATTGTATTAAAGGTCAATAAACATTATACTGTATGTTATGGCGAATGCAAAATCGGGCCAGTTTCTCACGGTCAATAGTGATTACTGACCTTTTCTCCTCTCCCTCCTCTTAAGCCTTTGCTTCCAGTTTTTCCTCGATTCCCCTTACATGGAAACAAAAACAGCTTTTAGAATCAAAATCCATATTAGTTGGAGCGATACATTTTTAACATATGAAAAAGAGAGACTGAATAAGCAATGGTGTAATTCTCACCCTCCTTCCGATGTGTCCGGTCTTTCCTGGATACCCATTTCGACCATCATACCCCTGACAAAAAGAAAGACCCACAATCACATACTACACTAAGTGGACATTATGATATGGCCTTTGATACAGGTAGGATGTCAGAATGGGACAGAGTGCTAAATACTGTATATGTAGTTGTAAAGACAGGTGAAAGGTGAAGCTTAACCTGACCTTTTGACCTTTCTGGCCTAGTCTTCCCTCAGGGCCTGGTCGACCTTTTGGTCCCTGAAGAGCAAAAAAGTTCATGTTGACTTACCTAAAAACGTCATCAGTAGACATTTATTTCTGGTGAAGATATCGGAATATGCCTGTTTAATTTGTATATAAGATCTAACACGTTATTGTAGCACTGACCAAAGGTCCTGGTGGGCCAACAGTTCCCTGAGGCCCCACCTCACCAGGCAAACCCTAAGAGTAGGGATGAGTAGAAAAAAACATAAACCAAAATGTTTACCAACTTATGTCATGTTGCCAAAGACATATCAACACCACAGTTCTCATGTGTCTGTGTTCTTACCTCCAATCCAGGAGACGCTTGGGGCCCCCTGTCGCCTGGAATACCCTCTGGCCCCTGGAGCCAACAGAGACATTCAGACAGTCATCTTAATTAACAATTTAGATGTTCTATAGAAAGAAACATCTCAATCAGCCTCACCTGCTCTCCTGGTTCTCCTTTCTCTCCAGGCTCGCCTTTGGGCCCCTCAAATCCGGGGAAACCCTTTGGACCAATCTCTCCCTGTCTCCCCATGCCTCCCCCCACTCCCTGCAATAAACCATCAAAATGTAATTATGACAGAAATTGTCCATGCAATTTCAGTCAATGATACTGTGCATATGGTTTGAATTGCAATCTTATCAATATAAATTGCAAGATATACTAGGTACCTTTGGTCCAGGTTTCCCCATGTCACCATTCACTCCTCTGATCCCTGACAGCCCCTGTCATTCGAAGACAACAGCTCAATAAAATCCATCAACCTACAGTTACATTACTCTCTATAATTCATACATGAATACATGAAAATGAACAACAATTGTGCTGGCAATACATACCTTAAGGCCTGAGTTTCCAGAGTTCCCAGCCATACCATAAGGGCCTTTGTCCCCCTAGAGAAATGACAACTCCATGTTACTGTACACCTATAAGGCATCATTGTCCCGATCGTGATTAGAGAATTTCAACATCATACTGTACCTTCTGCCCTTGTGGTCCATTAGCCCCAGCCAATCCAAAAGGCCCTGGAACACCCTGGAACAATAACAGGTTGGTAGGCAGAGTATTCTACAAAGCCATTACAGACATTGCCAGTACTGAGTAATAACAGATTTCCTAACTATCATAGGCTTTGCCTTCAATACACGCCAGTCTACTTCAAACCTACTTCCAGCCCAGACAAGCCTGATGGTCCAGCTTCCCCCATCAACCCCACCTGGCCCTGATGAACAGAAACAGAACACTGCTGAAGGGCCACATCTACATATCACACACACACACACACACACACATCACTTCTATTAAACCATCAAACATTAGTATAGAATACACCTTATCAGTCACTTACTCGTAGTCCTACATAGCCCTTCTCTCCCTTCACTCCTCTTTTCCCATTGTCCCCAAGCGCTCCTGAGGGCCCCTCCGACCCAGAGAATCCACAAGGTCCTATGTCCCCCTGGAGAGGAAAAACAACAACATGGAAAGTATCACAATGGGATTTGTATGGCAGAGGAGCAAGAATACATTTTTCAAAGGCTTCTGAAAATCTTAACAGGCGTTTTATCATACATATAGAACCACACATAAAGCATATATTAAGTAGGCCTACTTTATTCTGTTCATTCCATTACCTTTTGTCCTTTAGGACCAGGATCTCCTCTGATGCCGAAACCTCCAATCTCTCCCTGCAACAGACAATCACAGAAAACCATGAAACCACATCCCACCCTGATAATGATCGCAGCCTGTATCTGTAGATGAGCTTAGTAGCGAGGGTAATACAACTGACCTCTTTGCCCCTTGGCCCAGGCTCACCCTGCAGCCCCTGTGAGCCCTGTGGCCCTGGCTCTCCCTGTAGTCCATTCGGCCCTGGCTTTCCAAAGGGACCTGGAGCTCCCTGTCTCACAGCAACATAGATGGAGTCAGCGAGGTGGGGATAGATTAGGGAGAGATCTTATTAACACATTTGAACTGAACTACTGAAAAAGGGAGGAAATCCTATTGTGACGACGTCACTGACCGGTTCCCCCTTCCTGCCAGACGGCCCCTCCTCACCAACTGTTCCTGGGAGACCCTGGGAGGCAGAAGAATACAGTACAGGGTCATCAATGTCAGCAATGATAGCACTATTGCAAAGGTATTGTATGATATACCACACTTGACACCATGAAAACAAAAAAATTGAAAAAACACAACAGCAGTCATATTGGAGGTGGATGGGTATATGACTGTCTAAGAACAGACACAGATCCACTGCCCACCTGCTGTCCGTCCAGTCCAGATGGCCCACTGTCCCCAACAGGCCCTGCTGCTCCCTAAACAGACACAACAGTACATCACTCAATGCATCTACTGACTGTCATGATTCATGCTCGATTCCTTTCAATCTATCATTGGAAAACAGAAAAAGACAAGAGCTAGGGCTGGCATTTGTAAGGGTTGGGGTGAGGTGTGATCCAGGTGCGGTGCAGGATATACAGTAGGCAGTAGGCAGAGATGGTGAAACAAGGATCTTTACTGGTGGTCCCGAAGACAAAATACAAAATAATGGACTTATCACGATAAAAGAAAGACGGAGCAAATAAGTCTCCAAAAACCATCTGACAGCCAAAATACAAAATACTACCTAAGACTGAAACAAATAACAAAACAGGGAGAACACTTCTCAAGTACCTGTACATAGATCTCAGATCAGACACTGAGTAGTACTGCTGGACATAGAGAAACTAGCAGAGAAAACTGAGCAAGGGAACACAGGGAAGTGAGGGCATAAATACACAGGTGAACAGATAGACACAGGTGACACCAATATGATGATGATTAGTCCAGACTGTAAGTGAGGAGGTGCCTAAGGTTGTCGGAGGATGACACCTAGTGGGTCACTCTGGAATTGCGACCCCCCTCTTGTAACAGGCACTGAACTCACCTGCACTCCATTTTCTCCAACCTGCCCCGTCACTCCATCCATCCCAGGAGAGCCCTGGATACAGTAGATAATATACATTACCAGACTCAAGAGTGACTATACATGTATTGATAATACATTTTAATCTCTGTAATGTTCATTAAAATATAAAATCAACAGAATTTTGAATAATACTAAAATATCTTTCTAACTTTGGTACAGGAATAATATACAGGTAGGCCTCCGATGACTATTTTTTTTATTGGAATGAAACAATGAGAAAGATGAAAAGTACCCACTCACTGGAAACCCGGTTGGCCCGGCTGGCCCCTGAGGCCCCAGAGGCCCCTGGCTTCCTGGGGGGCCTGGCTTCCCGGTCCTGCCTTCTGGCCCTGGTATGCCTGGAGGACCCTAAAACCAGTTACATAGCGGTTAGAGCATTGGGCCAGTAACCGAAAGGTCGCTGGTTCGAATACCAGAGCCGACAAGGTGAAAAATCTGTTGATGTGCCCTTGAGCAAGGCACTTAACCCTAATTTGCTCCAGGGGCTCCGTACTACTATGGCTGCCCCTGTAAAACAACACTTCATAGCACCTATCTGGTGAATGTGACAATAAAAACATATTGTTTTATGATTCAACCACAAGACAAATATGGACCATAGTGCATTCACATCAGTCAACCATGGACCTCATAACTTCCTCTGTCTCTAGAAAACAAAATGACCAAATCATCATACAGTTGTCAAAGTGCCATCTAACCACACAAGAGGACAAGGACATGATGTAAAAGTGCTACTCACTGGTGACCCCTGTATGCCATTGAGTCCAGTGTCTCCTTGACGACCCTGAGGTGGATAAACCAGAAAAACATCACAACAGAGTCAGGTTATAACCCCAGGGGAAAACCTCATCCAGTGTGTCTAAAGCTAGTCTGTATGAGTAAAATACGTCTTAAAAAGTGAGCTTCCTTACCTGAGGTCCAGCGGGCCCTCTCTCCCCATGAGATCCCTTTAACCCCTGTAAGACAGATCAAAAACATCAACGTGGTAATAAAAAGGTACCAATGTGTAATATTTCCACCAATATTAGTTTACACTATTCTCTCCATAATGTGAGTGTCAGTACAGTGTCCTCACCGGTGGTCCACTCTTCCCAGGAATACCAGCGGGGCCTCTCACACCAGGTTCTCCCTGAGGTTAGACAGACAGACAGACAGACAGGTGGCATTCAATGAAATCAACAACTATACTAATACTAACATGTTGTTAGAACTGTAGGGGGTATTTTTTTTACCCTCTCTCCAAAATGACCAGGTCTCCCAGTTAAACCCACTGCTCCTGGGTAGCCCTGCACAAGGAATGGGTTTCCACAGTTACGGTTACAGTTGGTTGTTCCACACAAAGTTGGTTGTTGGCAGCAGTAGGTACCACTGCACTAAGATAATAATTGGTTTAAACATCTATCTGTTACACTTTTCTTTGAAAAAATAACAGATTACAGTAACACCTACAGAGCATGAACTCTCACAGCGGGATTATAAAAATACTTTTCTAAACACATTAAGATAAATGAAATGTAGACTGGTTATGGCCACTAGCCATAACACCTTGTTGGGTTTGGACAGGTAACACTTACATACATGCCCACTGGCCCCTGGCGACCCTCCACGCCAGCTTTCCCTGTGAAGCCCTAGTGAACAGACAGAGACTCATTAACGAGTAATGTCGGTAATATTTCGTTCTGAGACAGAGGCTTTTGGCCTACAGTACTCACCCTATCACCAGGTGGCCCAGGACTGCCGTCTTGCCCAGACTTTCCTGGAGGACCCTGTTGGCATCATGAAATAGATACAAACATAGAGGGTAAGAATGAGTAGGTTGAGGGGGAATGTGCAGGTTCAGCAATGATAGGTGAGCGACATTTATTGTTGGACATACCGGAGCACCTGGGGGACCTGCTCGTCCTGGCTCTCCCCCCAGACCTGAGAATCCCTGGATTTATGACAGAGAGGTTAAACACACATTAACTGGTGAATATACAACCATGTACTGTAGCAACAAATCCATACCCTAATTCAATGTGCCCTACCAACATCACATATCAAGACTTTACAAAGCAGTGTTGATGACCTCAGATCATCCACGGCTGTGCCATGCTGAATGTGTCTTACAAGGACACTGACTGACTGAGCCTACAAACCCCTTGGGATGCTCAGGGCCTTGTAAACCTCTTACTGGTACCCTATCTAGTCTTGTCTGTCTGACATTTAGGTGCTCGTATAAAGAGGAGTGCTGTGACAGCAATAACCACCACAGGCCCACAGCAGGCGGTTACATCTGTGTCTAAGGAGGATCATCTGATAATGAACCAATCACACCTCCTCTCTTTATTGCTGTGGTTTATGAGAGTTCAGCAATGATTGAGCAATTTGTGTTTCTGTTCTTTTTACTGTTGACTTTTACTTGTTTAGAGCTGATTGGCTAAAGGGGTGTGACTCACTCTGTCTCCTTTAGTTCCAGGAATACCAGTACAGCCAAGCTCACCCTACAATCACACACAACAACACATTACACATATTATTTAAATCATGCCATACATTTATTTTTTGTACAGATGTAGGATCTTCATTTGAGCCAGTTTGCTACAGCAGGAAAATAATCCTGCAGCAACAGGAAATGTGAATTATTATGTGGATTATAATTCATGGAGATTTTTGTAGGGGCAAATCAAGTCTGACATTTCAAAGTTGAAATTGCAAACTTTAGAAGTCTTTTAAAAAACTCAAATACACTACAAGTTTGCATTTCCTGCTGTGCAGGAAAGTTCTATGCAACATATCTGTACACAGAAATGTTTCCTGAAACTTCAGATTTTTGTGTAGGCTACATATCAATAATGATTGAAATAGCTGGGTTAGTACCTGTTCAAGGAACTGCATTGACAATGCACAGTAGACAATTAAGGAGTCAGTAGAAAATCCTAATAAATTATATTAAAAAATGAAAACTTATAAAATGGGAACCTGTGTACCAGGCTTTCCTTCTGCACCCTCAGTCCCAATGAGGCCTCTAAAACCCTGCAACAGAACACACAGACATACACACAAACACGTCTGGCATACAGTACATACTACACACACAAAGGACAGCTGATTGTTACTATAGCTACAGTATCCATCAAGGATTGTCTGTCAAGTAATATTCATATGAGAATGAGTACTGTTCTCTTACCGGGATTCCAGGTATACCAAAAAGACCAGGCTGTCCAGTATGACCCTGGAAATAGAAGACATCAGAGGGAGAATGTGATTATTCCCCCAGTCCCAACAACATCTTCCAGAGAAGGGTATAGTAATGTATCTACAAAGATTATCTATTACATCAGTGTTTCCCAACTCCAGTCCTCCAGTACCCCACATTCTTGTTGTAGCCCCGGACGAGCAGACCTGATTCAACTTGTCAACTAATCATTAAGCCCTCAATGAGTAGAATCAGGTGAGTTTGTCAGGGGCTACAACAAAAATGTGTACTATTGGGGGTACTGGAGGACTGGAGTTGGGAAACACTGTATTAGAGGAGACAGTTACCCTGGGTCCTTTAGGTCCTGATTTCCCGTTACGGCCTGGAGTTCCCCTGTGGGCCTTAGGTGGAAACAAAGAGAGACATTCAAAATGAAGATTATGAGTCTGTATATGGCATGTGATACAAGAATATGGCATGACATAACTCTCAGTCAGTATTGTATTGTATTGAAACTCAGGTTATAAGACTTCGACATCTTTGGGAAGCTGGCCATTCAATATTGGCTCATTGAATGCAGGTGCAAGTAGACTAGAACAGAGGTGAGGTCTAACAGCAGAGCTCTAGTTGTTCCCTCAGGACATGAAGTTCCCTCAGGAAAAATAAAGTCATTCAAAGTCTAAGTCTAGTTTGTTGTAATCACTCCACCAGACATTGATAAACTCTCCTGACCTTTGACCCCTCCTTTCCAACCACTCCCTGGAGGCCGACTTCTCCGTCTTCACCCTGCATGTGAGAGAAAGGGATCAGAGCCTCTCTCATCAAAGGTTCAAATGAGCCGTGCCATTTCATAAACACAAACTACAGGTATCCAACATAATACTTTATACATTTTACATTAATCATGTATCAGTATGTAACAGCAGAAGAGGTACAGTAGGAGGATGGGGAGTGTTATTAGTGTATGTTGATAAAAGCTGTGAATAGCAGGTGTCATCCTGATGTTTACCGGAATGCCTTGGGGGCCAGCTTGACCTCTGAGACCAGGAAGGCCTGAGAGGCCACTCTGACCCCTCTCACCCTGACGGCCTAGGATCCCTGACGCGCCAACAGAACCCTGACGGAAAAAAATACAAATGGTATCAAAACACCATATGATATGAAGATGTATGTTTTTCAGAAAAAAACATGTTACGAGATCTTCATGAACATGACCTTTGTGATAGTCATGACTATTTTACTACTGCTTCCAAGAAAAGGCTTTCCAAACCCATAATCAAGTCCTTACCCTGTCTCCTTTGGGTCCAGCATCTCCTTTCTCTCCATCTTGTCCTCTGAAGCCCTACAGGAAAAGTCAGATCCGCTCAGATAGGATTCATAGAATAGAGCCTCACTCCTCTCTAAAGATGCCACTTCTGTTTAATAAACAAGATAATAATTATATACATCTTACTGTTCCAGCTGGAACCCCCTTCAGACCTGGAATTCCAGCAGTCCCCTAAAAGACAGACACATAGACAGAGAGAGGAGAGGAGGTAGAGAGACAGTGAAATGTGGATTTCACACAGATGCTTTTGATTCTCTACACTACAGTGTATCCCAGTGTATCTAGCTAGATCTGATCTCAGGCCCATTGTTTGGTGAGATAAAGTAGGGACCATTTTATTATATACTATGTTAAGAGTAAATATAGGTATGACCTCATTCCAATAGGGAAACCCCTGTAAAACAGATTGGCGTTTCCAAAATATGTTTTCCATTTCTGTTGTTTTGGAGCTTGAACTAAAACCAGGAGCTAAAACATGTGAGTGAAATACCAGCTGGCAGAGTTGTAAAATGAGTGAGAAGTCAACTCATATGTTTCTGTATAAAAGCCAGCTTTGAGATGCAAGCCACATGGAGATTTGTGATTTTCAAGAACTTTATTGCTGCAGTGTGGCCATAAGTCAAACAACAAAGCTGGCGAATGAACCTTTTATATTCTGATGACCCAGTTTCAAAACAGCTCTTAGAATCACTTTTCACGATAGTCCATATTGGCATCTTGATTATGCCATGCAGAATGCTGTGTGTGTTTTATCCCAAAACTTGTTTCTCCAAATAAAAATGTAGAGTAATGTGCAGCTCATCCACAAAGGACTCACCATGGGCCCTTCAAGGCCTGGTAAACCCTTCATGCCCATTGGCCCCACTTCACCCTTTAGAGAATCAGAAATAGACAAACATAATCAAATAGACTAAACCAACTCATACTCCTACCAGGTGCCATCAACAAGTGTCTAGGGGATAGAGGCAGGGGTTGATTTATGACTGGGCCTATGTGGGTTTTGACAAGATATTCATTTTATTAAACAGAAGATGAACGTGGCTAAACTTACCATGTCACCTTTTTGACCTGGAAGACCATCCATCCCTGGATGTCCCTGACAACAAAATACATGAGAATATGCAATACTGTTTCAGCAAAATAAATTGTTGACGTATGATGAAGCTATATGTTAAGTAGACCAGTTGTATGCATACACATTGTGTATGTCAGAGCCTGTTTATAAATAGTTCATAAAGTACATCTAAGTCATCATACAGTATGATTGCATGATTGAAATGCTGAACAATATGATTATAAGGCCTGTCCCAGGATCTGAATCACATGGTTATGTCTTTTCATGAGGCCATCTGGATATGGCTAATGTTTCACTAGACTGAGACAAGCCAGGAGATGGATATTTTAAAAGTAGGTTTTCACCTCTACACCGCTGTCTTACAAGGCTTCAGGGAGAGCCCCATTGTCTGCTCTGCTTGCCAGGAGCCAGCGTTCGGTCTGCAGGAGCAGTCATTAGGACTAGACCATGCCAAAAACTAAACAGGTAGCCCCAGACTCAACTGGACATTTACTGAGAGAATACCAGGAAAACACAACAAGTAACCTCCTAGATCTACTGTAGCTGGCAAGAACATTGAGATTTCCACCAGTTCTATTATTGAATCAACTGGAAATGGCTATCTATAATCATATAATTTCACCTATTTTCCTGACACAGTATATCAAAACGCATAAGGATCAAGTGAATATTATAACCACAGAGCCTGTTTATTTGCTGTGCAAATTAGCTGGCATGTCTTACTTGCAGTGGCGGACTGGCCATCTGGCATTTTAGGCAAATGACAGATGGGCGGGTCCATTTTTAGTAGGCATGGGATTTGCCAGGGACCTTACAATACGATATTATCACGATACTTAGGTGCCGATACAATATGTATTGGTATACTCACGATTCTCACAATTCTATATGTATTGCGATTCGATACTACAATTTTATTGTGATTTGATGTTCCAAACATATTGCTCACTATATGTCTGCTGCAGAGAGACAAGAGAGAGCCATGAGAAAAGAAGTTCATCAGTCATGGAAATAAAAGTCCTGAAAATATGTTGGCTCACTATTTATATTGAACAAAAATATAAACTCAACATGAAACAATTTCAAAGGTTTTACTGAGTTACAGTTCATATAAGGAAATCAGTCAATTGAAATAAATCCATTAATCTATGGATTTCACATGATTGCGAATACAAATGTGCATCTGTTGGTCACAGATACCTTAAAAAAAAGGTAGGGGCGTGGATCAGAAAAACAGTTAGTATCTGGTGTGACCACCATTTGCCACATGCAACGCGACACATCTCCTTTGCATAGAGTTGATCAGGCTGTTGATTGTGGCCTGTGGAATGTTGTCCCACTCCTCTTCAATGGCTGTACAAAGTTGCTGGATATTGGCAGGAACTGGAACCCACTGTCGTACACGTCAATCCAGAGCATACAGAACATGCTCAATGGGTGACATGTCTGGTGAGTATACAGGCCATGGAAGAACTCAGACATTTTCAGCTTCCAGGAATTGTGTACAGATCCTTGTGACATGGGGTCGTGAATTATCATGCTGAAACATGAGATGATAGCGGAAGATGAATGGCACAACAATAGGCCTCAGGATCTCGTCATGGTATCTCTGTGCATTCAAATTGTCATCAATAAAATGCAATTGTGTTCGTTGTCCATAGTTTATGCCTCCCCATACCATAACCCCACCGCCACCATGGGTCACTCTGTTCACAACGTTGACATCAGCAAACCGCTCTCCCACACGACGCCATACACGTGGTCTACAGTTGTGAGGCCGGTTGGACGTACTGCCAAATTCTCTAAAACGACGTTGGAGGCGGCTTATGGTAGAGAAATGAACACTCAATTCATTCCTGCAGTAAGCATGCCAATTGCACACTCCCTCAAAACTTGAGACATGTGTGGCATTGTGTGGTGACAAAACTGCACATTTTAGTGTGGCTTTTTTTGTCCCCAGAACAAGATGCACCTGTGTAATGATCATGCTGTTTAATCAGCTTCATGATATGCCACATCTGTCAGAGGAGAAATGCTCACTAACAGGGATGTAAACAAATGTGTGCACAACATTTGAGAGAAATAAGCTTTTTGTGTGTGTGGAAAATGTCTGGGATCTTTTATTTCAGCTCATGAAACATGGGACCAACACTTTACATGTTGCGTTTATATTTGTGTTCAGTGTAAAAAGAAGATGGAGAACAAGCTATAGAATGAAAAATACAGAAGTTTTGGCGCAGGTACAGCCGACTAGCGCTAGCTAACGCTACCTACAGTAGCAAATCTGGATTTTCACACCTACAGTAGCAAATTCTCATCGACGGGGCTGTAGTGGAACAGGTTGAGAGCTTCAAGTTCCTTGGTGTCCACATCACCAATGAACTATCATGGTCCAAACACACCAAGACAGTCGTGAAGAGGGCACGACAAAGCCTATTCCCCCTCAGGAGACTGAAAAGATTTGGCATGGGTCCTCAGATCCTCAAAAAATTCTACAGCTGCACCATCGAGAGCATCCTGACTGGTTGCATCACCGCCTGGTATGGCAACTGCTTGGCCTCCGACCGCAAGGCACTACAGAGGGTAGTGCGTACGGCCCAGTACATCACTGGGGCCAAGCTTCCTGCCATCCAGGACCTCTATACCAGGCGGTGTCAGAGGAAGGCCCTCAAAATTGTCAAAGACTCCAGCCACCCTAGTCATAGACTGTTCTCTCTGCTACCGCACGGCAAGCGGTACCGGAGTGCCAAGTCTAGGTCCAAAAGACTTCTCAACAGCTTCTACCCCCAAGCCATAAGACTCCTGAACAGCTACTCATGGCTACCCGGACTATTTGCACTGCCCCCCCACCCCATCCTTTTTACGCTGCTTCTACTCTGTTAATTATTTATGCATAGTCACTTTAACTCTACCCACATGTACATATTACTTCAACTACCTCAACTAGCCGGTGCCCCCGCACATTGACTCTGCACCGGTACCCCCCTGTATATATAGCCTCCCTACTGTTATTTTATTTTACTTCTGCTCTTTTTTTCTCAACACTTTCTTTGTTGTTGTTTTATTTTTTACTTTTTTTGTTAAAAATAAATGCACTGTTGGTTAAGGGCTGTAAGTAAGCATTTCACTGTGATGTCTGCACCTGTTGTATTCGGCGCATGTGACCAATACAATTTGATTTGAATATATATACATATATTTGTTTACAAATCGATACTTGGAGTCAAATATCAATATAATATCGTCAATAAATAATATTGCGATATGTATATGATATCGCAATATTGTTTCGCCATCACACATTTTTTGCCTAGTGGGCCTGTTTAAGTAGTTTTTTTTTGCGCAAAATGATCATTTTCTGACTAATAATGGGGGCCTCAAGGACTAAAATGGTCCGGTGTGGGGCCTCAAGGAAAAATGCCAGAGCTGATTTCTGGTCCAAGTCCGCCCCTGCTTACTTGGATTCCTCGAAGTCCAGGAGATCCTCTCTGTCCTGACAATCCTATAGGACCCTATGAGAAAAACAATACGCATAAGAATGACTGTTGATTCAATTTGAACAAATGTCTAAAAGAAAAAAGGAAGTCTCAATGATATAATAATAAAACAAAGACACATACTGGGGGCCCTTTACGGCCAAGTGGTCCATCTGGCCCTGCTTCTCCCTGTGAGTAACACAGCAGAGGGACAAACCCTTACACAGGATGGCTGTTACATGGCTGTTTTTCATCTATTGTCAAATAAAATTCAATACCATGCAGTATGTGTCAATCAAAGTTGTTGTGACCACTGCGCTCAGAACAGGTGCGTTGACCAAAATGTAATAGAATTCCAAAATTGTGTAGCTGGTCCGCACTCTCCTGTTGCCAGACATTTTATGGAAGCGGGCCATAGAATGGACTTATGGTGTATTGGTATAGAAAAGGTTCAGGCTAAAGGTGGCAATATTGAAAGAAGTCTCCTGCAGAGAGAGTCCTTTTGGATTTTCACATTACGCACACTATACCCAGGTGGACTTAACGAGGAGATGGATTTGGTGCCCTTTTTGTGACTAGGCTGCTTGTTGCAGGGGGGTTCTGAACCTAGCTTATATTGTTAATTCCTATTTTCCTGTAACTATTTATAGACATTGATGTTTTTCCAATGCATTATAGAAAGTTACTTGTTTGATATTAGATTGTGTATTGTATATTTTAGATGCATTATTGACATGTGTGTCTGTTCCAGGAGCGCACACATGAACGCACCTGTCGGTCGATACCCTTAATGAGCTCACAATAAAGAATCTCACCTTGGGAGGAGACACTGATGACACTGACAAAGGCCGAAATGTTTGTCTATCTACCCACTCCTGAATGAAATAAATACTAAATAGAAACCTTGAATCTCCTTTTTGAGTGCCGACCAGCTACACAATTTTGGTCTGTGCCAATCAATCATCAATCCACTGTGCATTGGTAAATACAGTATACTGACCCTTGAGCCGTTCACCCCCTGTGCTCCTATCATGCCTGTCACACCTGGAGCCCCCTGTTTGGGCACATACAGTACATATGTGAATATGCAAACATAAAAAAACTACCATCGTCCATTGTCTTCCTCTGCAAGTGGTACGTCTGCACTGATTTGTCAAGTGTGTTCTGACTGCGGAGGTAATGTAGGTAGATGTGATAGTAACCGTCAGTGCTTGCATGGGACTCCTACACTCACCATTGGCCCGAGTGGACCTTGGGCGCCATCATACCCAGAATCGCCCTGAAAAACAGTTAACAAGAAGAGAGTCATGTAGAGGGACACCTGTACCAGTTGTTTTTTGTCCGGGGTAACAACAAAAGTGTGAGCTGTTGGGGGTACTGGAGGACTGGAGTTGGGATCCACTGATCTAGGACACCCCACCATCAAATAGTGTGGATGCATGGATTGTAACACAGTTGTGTTCCATAAGGATTATTGATTGTTATGCAAAGTCTTACCTGAGGCCCAAGTGGCCCTGAAAACCCTTGGACTCCTCTTTTACCAACCGGCCCCTGAAATTAAAACAGTTACTGTATGATGCACAAGCTTTATAAACCACAACATCTTTATTACCCACAGTACAGTCAATACAACAGCACTTGTCAGCATTTGAGAGCTGAATTAGGGCCAGAGGATGGAAGTGTTCTACTCACAAGTGGGCCAACAGAACCTGGTTCCCCTGGCTCCCCTTTAGAACCCTGGAGAACATAACAAGTAATATGTCTACACTTGGGGAAAACTACAGTACTAAGCATAGGCTACAAGATGATAATGAAAAGTGAATTAATATATTTAATATAATATATACAATTATTCTAAGTATGCCTATGATAGTGAAACCACAAAAAAATACAAGCATGTTCTAAACAGGCTTGGATGAGTTGAAAAGAAACCAGCTCTAGTGTTGAGTAAAGCGTCAATTTCCTTCCACTAGAGGGCAGTGCAATAACACTTTTATGGACGTGTAGCGCAACATCAGCCTACTTCCACTTTGAGGACAAAATAGGTTTAAAGAGTAGCAATTTTGATATTTAAAAAGTTACCTTCTCTCCAGTCTTCCCTCTGTCTCCACATGGACCTATCTCACCAGTGAAACCCTGTAGTTCAGTGAGGAGAGAGACAGAGGAGACATGCCAGTGATGTTACCATAAACCAGGGCTCTCCAGCCCTGTTCCTGGAGAGCTACCCTCCTGTAGGTTTTCACTCCAACCCTAATCTAGAACACCTGATTCTAATAATTAGCTGGTTGATAAGCTGAACAAGGTTAGTTACAACTGGGGTTGGAGTGAAAACCTACAAGAAGGTAGCTCTCCAGGAACAGGGTTGGAGACTCCTGCTATAAACCAACATGTATGACCATGGGGTTTGCAGTGTCCCCTAGTGCCACCAGCTGGTGACTGGTGGCATGTTTGGGAACCAGGCAGCTTCACACACAAATGTGGAATCGGTCATCATCATCACAGGGGAATAGAACACAGTAACTAACAGACTCTAGATGATGACGGCTTATTAGACGGCTTATTACTAGAGCATGTCTCATGGTTTTCCAGGTTCTGTGACAAGGAAAAGCTCCTGGACCTACTGTCATACTGGTTGTTTCCACTGACTGGGTATACTGTATTAACTGTGAGATCTGACCATAGGCACAGTTTGGAGAAGGGTGCTTGTTTGACAGCCACTTCCCTGCACTAATCGGACATTTTGCTACTGAATAGTACTGAGTACCGTACAGACATGTAGTGTACTGTGCCTTAAACTGGTATTCTCACCTCATCTCCTCTCTCCCCTAGAGGAGCATTCTCTCCCTTATAGCCTATAGGACCCTGAAATAGAAACCATCGCCATTACAGTCATAGAAGTCCATACTTTCTTTCTCATTTCATTCTAATCAAATCTTGTCTTGTATGAGTTGATTTTACTCAGTTAAAATGTATAGACTGACTGTAAATAATGTATCATCTGATTGTCTTTGGTGTTACCTGAAACCCAGGGAATCCCGGTGGTCCTGGCTGTCCATCCAGGCCATGTCCACCATCTCTGCCCCAGGTCCCTGCTCGACCTGACACGCCCTTTGGCCCAGGGTAACCCTGGCACAGACATAACACCAGGCATGATTCATACGTTTAGCTGCTTAGAACAAAACTTCAGAGAAGACTAGGAGATCTCAGATGGCAGACAATACTGAGCCTTGAATGTGCATTAACCACTAGGAGAACATTTGTATAACAAGTTGCTAGTTGTATTGTTAATATTACCATGTCTCCCCTGTGTCCTGGCATTCCTCTATGTCCAGGATCTCCAGGAATGCCCTGCAGAAAAATAAAAAAATATGTTTTATTGTCACATACACGGGATAGGTGGAGAGAAACATCGACTGATTTTTCACCTTGTCGGCTCAGGTATTCGAACCAGCGACCTATCGGTTACTAGCCCAACGTCACCTACACTTGCATGAATGTCTTTGCATTGATAAGTTCATGCAAGGGCATATGACCATAATTCATTTGTGATTAGTGTACTGTAAATGGATATATCACTCACTGGTAGGCCAGGTTTTCCCATTTCCCCTATCGGTCCAGTAGGTCCCTGTTCTGTCTGAGGATTTAATAGGAAGAGGTCCATCAGTAACACACTCAGACACACACAGCCTCTTTGACCCACTGTAGTGCAGCTAGTACACATAACAGAGTTGTGATACTTACAGGCCAGCCTGCCTGCAGCAACTGGAAGAAGGATGATCGCTGGAAAAAAACAAGCAGAGATCATTGGCATAATATAGGACGGAGAGTTGTTACATCATGTGAACGAAACCTGCCTTACGACAATAACACAACTTCCCCATGTCTAGCTAACAACAGCGTGATAAAACTACATTGTAATGCAGACACTGCTGTACTGTATATAATGGCAAGAATGGTAATGTAGTTATTTCTTTATGGAGAACAGATGTGTTAAGCTCCCAGGTAGATTTGGGCTCATACAGGCTCTACTGCAACACTATTACAGTATATGGAATAAGTGCCAGCTACTTCACCCAGATACTGCTGAGAGGGAAACACGCAACTGTTTGCTCAAGGTCAAATCTCAACCATAATTTCTTGTAACACTTACGGCCGTTGCATTGAGATGCAGCCAAATGAAATAAGGGCAAAGTGTTGAGAGCCCCATGCAGTCTCCCTGCCTGCTCAGATGGTAGATAAGGGATGTGGCATTGGCACAGAGCATGCTGTCACTGTAAGCTGTGGGCTGGGTAAGTTGGAGGCAACTGACTCCCACAGAATTACACATAGGGCTTATATGAAACCGCCTTGGCTGCCTCTGCTTGGGTAGTGTTTGTCTTGGCCCAGAGCTCCGGTTCTGGTTCTGCTCCCCAGGGCAGAAGGCTTGCCTTGCATGCCCAGTTAAGGTGAAGCTCAGAAAGGATGAGAGGCCTGGACCTCCCCTAAATCTTGGTCTCCACAGACTGGCCTAGCTAAACTGAAGGGTGAGTGGGGGTTAACAGGCTGTCAGAGCCCCCAGTGTGCTCCCAGCAGCCAGCAACACTGTAGACCATTCACACAGCTCAGGGCCTTTAATCACTGCAGAGAGAGGGGGAATCCAGAGCACATAAGCTGACCGTTGCATCATACTGGCGGTTTCAGTTACAATTCTCCCTCCGCTGACACATCAAGCCTCATTACTGTAGTTAGCTACATCAGAGTGTTCCTGATGGAGCTGGAGACCTGCTTCAGTCTCATTCAGCTGTGGCCATCTAAACAGGCTTTAAGGCTCCAGCTAGAAACCACTGGGAAGGGGTTACACAAGCCAGCCCTGAAATAGAAGCAGGCTTTACCCCCAAAGGATCACAGAGGGCCTTGAGTCTATAAAAACCTGCCTAGGTTTACATTTTCATTACATATGGAAAAACATGCACTTGCCTAATCTAATCACACATCAAGATGTTTATGTGGGAGATAAACACGACTTGAGAAAGTAAAGTTTGAATACAACGTATCCATTTGAAAATGAGATGCAGGGAGCTCTTGTGTATAAAATCCATACTAGTCTTGTGTATGTGTGTATGATTATAAGATACAACTTTTATGTTGTGTCACAAATTCATTGATCCTTAAAATATACTTCCAGTAACTTATCTGCCACGTTGACGCACTTACAGAATTGCAGCAATCAATTTTATTCAAGAAACAAAGCATTTAATTATTTTATGTAAATAATGTAATCAAACTCAACCATTGAGACTAAATATTGTATACAAGATGTCAAAACTGGAGCGATAAACGTTGTAGGGAAAAGACAAAGAGCAAACATATTATCACCCACAAAGCATTCACACACTGAAAACAAAATGTTTACCAAAATAACAATTATTTGGTTTATTTGGATGAAATGTTGATATATACTGGGGAATATAATCGCACAGAGCTTGTTTGTGCTCATAATGAGTGAGTCATGCTAATTTAGCCGGCTAATTTTAGCATTTAGACCTATAGTATCATCATAAGAATAATAAACTCAGCAAAAAAAGAAACGTCCCTTTTTCAGGACCCTTTCTTTCAAAGATAATTTGCAAAAAACTAAATAACTTCACATATCTTCATTGTAAAGGGTTTAAACACTGTTTCCCATGTTTGTTCAATAAACCATAAACAATTAATGAACATGCACCTGTGGAACGGTCATTAAGACACTAACAGCTTACAGACAGTAGGCAATTAAGGGCACAGTTATGAAAACTTAGGACACTAAAGAGGCCTTTCTACTGACTCTGAAAAACACCAAAAGAAAGATGCCCAGGGTCCCTGCTCATCTGTGTGAACGTGCCTTAGGCATGCTGCAAGGAGGCATGAGGACTGCAGATGTGGCCAGGGCAATAAATTGCAATGTCCGTACTGTGAGACGCCTAAGACAGCGCTACAGAGAGACAGGACTGACAGCTGATCATCCTCGCAGTGGCAGACCACGTGTAACAACACCTGCACAGGATCGGTACATCCGAACATCACAGCTGCGGGACAGGTACAGGATGGCAACAACAACTGCCCGAGTTACACCAGGAATGCACAATCCCTCCATCAGTGCTCAGACTGTCCGCAATAGGCTGAGAGAGGCTGGACTGAGGGCTTGTAGGCCAGTTGTAAGGCAGGTCCTCACCAGACATCACTGACAACAATGTTGCCTATGGGCACAAACCCACCATCGCTGGACCAGACAGGACTGGCAAAAAGTGCTCTTCACTGACGAGTCGCGGTTTTGTCTCACCAGGGGTGATGGTCGGATTCGCGTTTATCGTCAAAGGAATGAGCGTTACACCGAGGCCAGTACTCTGGAGCGGGATCGATTTGGAGGTGGAGGGTCCGTCATGGTCTGGGGCGGTGTGTCACAGCATCATCGGACTGAGCTTGTTGTCATTGCAGGCAATCTCAACACTGTGCGTTACAGGGAAGACATCCTCCTCCCTCATGTGGTAACCCTTCCTGCAGGCTCATCCTGACATGACCCTCCAGCATGACAATGCCACCAGCCATACTGCTCGTTCTGTGCATGATTTCCTGCAAGACAGGAATGTCAGTGTTCTGCCATGGCCAGCGAAGAGCCCGGATCTCAATCCCATTGAGCACGTCTGGGACCTGTTGGATCGGAGGGTGAGGGCTAAATGTCTGGGAACTTGCAGGTGCCTTGGTGGAAGAGTGGGGTAACATCTCACAGCAAGAACTGGCAAATCTGGTGCAGTTCATGAGGAGGAGATGCACTGCAGTACTTAATGCAGCTTGTGGCCACACCAGATACTGACTGTTACTTTTGATTTTGACCCCCCCTTTGTTCAGGAACAAATTATTCAATTTCTGTTAGTCACATGTCTATGGAACTTGTTCAGTTTATGTCTCAGTTGTTGAATCTTGTTATGTTCATACAAATATTTACACATGTTAAGTTTGCTGAAAATAAGCCAAGTTGACAGTGAGAGGACGTTTCTTTTTTTGCTGAGTTTATATACAACTGCCTTCAATTACAGCAACCTGGCTGGACTGTGGTATTAAGGAAAGCTGAAATTTCCAGTCCGAAATAGCCTGACTGGGGAGTCTGGTGAGAAAACTGCAATGGCTGAGTCACTGCCAGGGCCGGAGCCAGGGCCGGAGCCAGGGCCAGAGCAGTGGGCGGTGGTGGCTGCTGCTCTACTGTATAGCCTCCAACAGCATATCCAGGTGAACTGGGAGGTCAAGTTATTCTTCGACAGCACAGCACATACACCAAAACTGCATTGTTACATTAAGTTTTATAATACTCCCAGGCAGGCTGCTGTGAGATAGGTGGACACTGGGCAGACAGAAAGAATCTCACCCTGAAGTCCGTCCAATCCTCCTGGGAGTTCCTCCACAGGTAGAGGGTGGGTAGGCCTGGAGGACCTGGGAGGCCTGTCTCACCTCTCCTGCCCTCCTGCCCTCTGACACCCTGAGATCCCTAGGAAAGCAGAGATAAGAGAGCAGTCTATGCCAGTAAGTGATGGTCAACAAAGTGCAAGTCACAACAGGTACAGACATAGGATCTTAATTTGATCACCCTGTTGCAGGAGAACTTTCCTGCAATGCAGGAAATGTAAAACTGTGTATTTGAGGTTTAAAAAAGCTTCTGAAGTTTGTAATTTCCACTTTGAAACTTCAGATGATTTTCCCTTATGTATAGAACCAACACACACACTGAAAAAACACATTCACATACTGTATTTACCATAAAAATGACATTCATAAGTCATTTGGGGTTTACTCATCAATCAGCAGCATTACTGAAACATTTTAAAAACAATTATTTCACCAGTGATCTATTCCCTTACCTTGTCTCCCTTGAACCCAAGATAGCCTTCTTTGCCAGCACATCCCTGTAAACACGACAATGTGGTGAACATAGGGACAGATATCTACAGGAAGTTATAATAATACTGGAACAACCGGCAAAGATCACGGTTTGGCAATAGAACTTAAAGATGATGCAACAGAGTGGCTAAGTGTACATTTTGGTCTGCAGCAGCATATTACTGCCACATCTTTTTGAGATGTTTATTTTCTCTCCTGTAATTTTGTAGAATGCATATGAATCAGTCTGTGTCCATGTCATATGGGTAGATTTAACCACAGCGCTTGTACAGTATTTCCGTAACCTGTACTTATAAGCAATAAAAAATCAAAAGATTAAAGGGAGTTAGTTTTTTTGCATTACGTGAGCTGCAGTGGGGAATATTTGAATTAAAATTAAAGACAATTATTAAACCACTGATGTTTTCATTTTTTCCAATAGAGACAAAGATATCAGTGTTTTACAAGAAAACCATAGCTGAATAAACCCCTGAAGTACTTCTCATGAGGAACAAATGGATGACTATTCTCTATTCTAAGATCCCCACTCATGTCAGTTTATTCTACTTCCTGTCTCCATAAAATAATGTGTTCAGAACATCACTTTGCTTTTATGAAATCACTGACTTTGATTCTATGTGGCATGTAAGTCCTGGTGATATTTAAAGGATCTGAGTTTGAAAACAGATATCTATATGAGCATTTCTGACTCTAAAAACTGTCCCTAAGAGATTCTTACTTGTTTTCCTGGAGGGCCAACTGGCCCTAGAGGACCACTAAGGAGCCTGTAAATCTTGTTGTCAGATCCGACTATGACATCACCCTCACTGGGTGCCACTGTCAGCAAGCCTGTGTGGTCAGAGCCAGCCTTTCCGACCCCCTGACTGTTCCCCTGGCCCCTCTGTGTGAGAGAGCCACTACTAGTCCTTCCCTGCTCCACTGCAGGAGGCAACAGGTTCTCCTCCATGAGCACACTGGGGTCAGGGTGACCAGACTGGGATGGGCTCTTCTGGTCAGAGCCTTTCCTTTGGAAACTGGGGGAGGGGCCGGGGGAGTCCAGGTCGATGATGTCATGTTGTGGTCTGTCTTCTGCGTCTGTGGTGATGTTCTCATCCAAGGCTGTGACTGTATAGGGGGAATTGCTGTCATGGGCACCTGTATCCGTGTGGTGTAGGGTGAGGATAGAGGGGTCTGCATCATCAACTCCCACAAACCCATTCCCTTGTTGTTGTAGGGTGGCTGCGTGCTGGGAGATAGGAGAGTTGCCTTCTGGGAGGGAGGGATCCTACAAAGAGAGAAAGAGAAAACTATGGTTAATGGTTGCAGCCACATAACCAGATCCCCCTGATACACAGTGTCTAGAATGATCACTCACCCATAACAGATACATCTCTATCAAACAGTTCCATCAAATGAACAACAATTGACTGAAACAGCATTAAATAGGTAGACATTTCAACAATTACATGTTCTTTTTTTCACCTCAACATAAAAGGTGCGTACAGATGTAGGATCTTAATTTGATCACTCTTTTGTTGCTGAGAATTTTCCAGCAGGAAATGCAAACTTATTTAAGTTTTAAAAAGGCTTCTAAAGTTTGTAATTTCCACTTTCAAAATTCTGATTTGATTTGCCCCAACGAAATATAATTATAATCCACATAGTAATTCACATTTCCTGTTGCTGCAGGATAATTTTCCTGCTGTAGTAAACTGGCTCAAATTAAGATCCTACATCTCTAATATAAAAACAGTACTGGTCGTTTTTTACTATAACCAATGCTGTGCATCACTTACATAAGTATAAAAATGGGTTATTAAGTCTGGGCCTGATGACCATGAACTTCAAAGAGAAACTGGGATTACATTAGAGATAACTGCACCCAGGTGAGTGGCAGAGCTTCAATCCACCTCACACTGGCCTCTCCTACAGAAGACAATGGGGCCATATGTATATCTGCTATCATCAGCTCGCATTGGATTGCATCTCTCTCTCTCTCTCTCTCTCTCTCTCTCTCTCTCTCTCCCTCTCTCTCTCTCTCTCTCTCCTCTCTCTCTCTCTCTCTCTCTCTCTCTCTCTCTCTCTCTCTCTCTCTCTCTCTCTCTCTCTCTCTCTCTCTCTCTCAGATGAGCAGATACTTGATCTCCCTGGGTCTGAAACTATTTGTCCAACTAATCTCCTCAACCTCCCTATAGCTCTGCCTTTCATCCTCAGGCTGAGCCCTAGAGTGGAAGCACTGTATTGGAGGAGGCAGAGCACTAACAGAACAATAGTGCTGGTGAGAGCCTTGCACACGTCAGGCACAATCTTACTATAGGAGGTTTGATGCCGTATGGAAACACTGTGGGAAAATACACTGTTAACATCTGACAGAGAGGCACCATACTTGGCCCACTGCCAGTGGCTGCAGGAGAATTGAACAGAGTTCGATGAGTGAGTGGGGTCTGGAGGTGTGGAGCTCTGCTCTACAGTGTGAACTGGAGGTGAGCATGTGGCCAGGGAATACAGTACTCTGTAGTCCAGACTCTTTGATCTCTGCAGTAGGCCAATATGGATCCCTGGTATTCATCTCAGCATAATACAGTACATACTTTACAAACTCACATTGATTATAAAGTCATAAATCATGCATGTATCTCTAAACACATCTTACCAGATAGACACACAAAACATTAGAATTCCATAAAATATAATTTGCTTTTCCAATAGTGCAAACAAACACAAAACCCTGGTGACAGATCATTTGTGTAATAGCTAAACATATATAACGTATAAATGAACCTATATAAATATAAACTATCTAGCTATTTGTATGCTTCCCGAACAGTGATTGACTGATGAGATGAGTGCATTATTCCTGTATCATGTAGCAGTGAGGTTTGAATGGGGACCGGTGCATTCTACAGCCAGGAAATGGTTTCATTACGGGGAAGACGTATAGCTGACAAGGTCATCGCTACGGTCAGACTGGAAAATGTAAACAAAGACTATGTCACCCAGAGACTTTAGTATGACAGAGCACCATGTGAGAGACTCCTGAAGGAAGGGCCAGCCCGCTGGCCCCCAGGCAGGGGAGAATCTGTATCCAATGGGCTGACCTAACAGTAAATTATGATGGAGGACCATCAATCTTAGACACAGGTAAGAGGATGATCTTCACCGGCCATGTGTTTAAAAATGCAGCTGGGCAAATACACTCCATCATCCCAAGCTTTATATAATCATCAGAGATGTTATGAGGACGTGTCCTGTATTAGAATTATTCGAGCAGGAAATGGGATATTTGCAGAAGAGTAAAAAGAGGGATGAGCACATGATGTAATTCAAAGAGGAGATACAACAGTGGGGTCAAAGATGTCCCAGGTCCCTAGAATTAATAATGTATATTTGACATTTTCCTTTGTTCTGTGAGTATCATTTCTATACCACATCTTCTGTTGTTGTCACATTCTATTTTAGGATAGATCACTACAGATTACAGAATTTCTGATGTTCTACAACAAGGCCATAAGAAAACCTTTGTTTAAAAAGGATGTACCCACATGTGCTGGCAATGAAGCAGCTTGCTTCATATGGATCTGTTTAGAGGAATCTCTGTCTTCTGGCTAAAGTATAATACCCCATGATGAACTAAATAACACCAAAGAAAATATTTCTAAGGCAAAAACAAGCATGTCAATGTCTATGATAGACGTAAAGTAAACAAACCATGGGCTAATAACCAGGATGAACATACATACACTGTACTACAGTACATCAACACAATCACAACAGTGGATGTTACATCTGGGATTTCTAAGCAGTTCTGTATTTATCACCTGGGGACAATAGTGTTCCTGTAGTCAGCACAGCAGCAAATGTATTTGACATTAAAGTCTACAATCTGATCATCACAACTATGAACTATATAGTAGTGAATTCTCCCTATAGTATCTAAATGGTCTGGTGGTTCCCTACCATGTAAGATGCTCTCCATTGACCCTCCACACACAGTCCAAGGAGGAAATAATCCATCATTAAGCAGCCCAGTATCCAGGTAAAACACTGCATGGCTACAGGACAGTAAGAGATGAGCATCACTCCTACTACACCCCTCCTAGTCCACAGGAGTCTTCCCAGGCAGAGTATGCAGTGCTCTCTCCTAGTGCCCTCCCCGTGAGCAGGAACACATAGACACACCCTGGGCTGAGCTCCCACTCCCAGTCTCCCACCCACAGCTGGGCATGGCTGCCTGGGGTGGGGTGGGTTGGGGTGTGGTGTGGTGGCTGGGTGGGGTGGCTTGGTGATGTGGGGTGGGATGAGATGAGGTGGGGGGGCTGTGTGGGTGGGGTGTGGTGGGGTGGGGTGTGGTGGAATGGGGTGGGGTGGGGTGGCTGGGTGGGTAGGGGTGGCTGGGGTGGGTGGGGTGTGGTGGGCTGTGCCAGGCTAAGCCAGGGGACAGGAGGATGGATGACCATCACCTCATCACTCTATCATGGCTGCCCGAGGCACAGGTGGATCTTAGGACTTCCACCACTAGACTTCTAGTACTAAGTGATATGAATGTATGCGCTAATGTTGTATAATTAAACATACCAAGAGGTGAATGAGATAACTTGGTGGGAAAATAGGAAGGATCACACACATTCTGTAGATGGAGTCCAATTACTACTGGTAAAGAGACTTCAGAGCTGTTGAAATGACACAGCGAGGCCACAGAGACAGATGTAATATATAAAACCACAGCTAATGATCTGACGGAGGCTATTACAATTATTATGCTGGAGACCTACAGCACTCAGAATCAAAGCAGCAGTGACCACAAGGTCATTAAAACAGGAGGGATTATGGGTATTAATGAGAAACCATGGCAATAGCATAAACCAAGGGAAACCACTACAGAATATGCTTTACTTAAGAGTGGGAAAAATCTCTTGAGGTTTTCCCCATTTTCACTAGACTGGAGACATAAGAGGAAAATCCCTTAGCAAATAAACTTCCATCAGTCCCATCACCAATCTACACAGGTTTGCTAACTGCTTCCAGAGCCTCTGTCCATGGAATAAGCTGCTCTCTACACTTACCACATCGAGGCTAAGTATACGCAGTATATAGCATGTGGTTTCCATTAAAACATAAGGTGAGAGAACACATTTTTCTCATGTACATTTTAGCAAGGGTGTGAATAGAGATGGGAGACAATAGGCTAGTAATAAAGCAACCCTTTTTCAGCACCTCCCTCTCTTCTCATATTCTTTTTTATTCGGCTGAAGTGGGTTTAACTAAATGATAGCCCAGTGAATATGATTACAGGTTTCAGTGGTCTGAGGTCAAAGTCGCAGATGATAGACTGGGACGAGAGATGAGAACACAGAGCTGTGTGATACAGTACCAGCTCAGAGCAGAACTCCCACAAGCCTGGGCCATTATTACTCTGCTCACTAGTGAGGTACAGTAGCTTAGCAACCATGAGTCATAACCGCTTCTTTCTTGTTCCTCCGTTTTTGTCATTTCAATGATGTGACTTACAGTATAAGCTACCATAGATGGATGCGTGCAGTACAGCGACAAACCTGTGGATGAATGTCCCAATCTAATATGCTGATAAATGGCAGAACAGTCAAGAAATGTTATTTGGAACCTGCTACTTGGGATACAATGTAATAAAACACCACATAAGGTTGTGAGTCATGAGGTTGTGGTTTGGGAGAAATAGTTGGCAAGTTGTAAATGGTATTGCTCTTGGGCTGATGTCTGATCTAGATTTGCCTTGATTTTTGCTAAATGGCCCCTGACCTGCAAGCTCACCTTTTATTCTATTGCCCCTTGTAAAGTCATCCTCTAATGATGGTTCATTAGCAGGTTAACCTATGTGTTAGTGACAGCGTGGACATCAGATCAACAGTCCCCTCACTTTCACTTTCAGCACAGAGGTTGTAGGGTAATGGATAATGGAAATAGACCTCATCTGATCCTGAGTTTAAGTACTTCTGAATTATGATCCAGAGGCTCTTCGGCACCTTCTGTGGCCCATATCGCTCATCTTAAAAGGACAGAGTGAGTACACATCCTGTGGGGGTATTATGGGGGTCAGACAAGAAAATGTTTGTGTCACACTCAATTTGACCTCTCAACAAGTGAAGTGGAGCCCACAAGGCTGCCTGCAAATCTTAACACTTTGAGTTGAAGTTATAAATCAGTACTTCCCCCCATTTAGTGGTTGACTGATGATCTAAGACAGGTATGGACTGGTGAAACTATCATTGTTATACTAAAGGTATGTTACTCTGGGCATTTGAGGACTCTAAGCAAGCAAGGCCAGTTCAAGAAAACAGTGAAAACCCTTAATGCACTCCTCAAACATGCTGTGTACGTAAAACAGATTAACAAAGGCAGTAAATATTTTTAATGTATAGTACACGCAGAGATAATTTAAACAGAGCATCATCAAGTCTAGAACAGCCATGGGCAACCATATTTCAATAAAACAAAGAAATGCCAACTTGAACACATAATCTATAATGAGGAAAACTTATTGTCAAATGTTTAAAATAACAAGTATACACTGCTAATTCTGAAGTATGCACTTGGTCTTTTTAAGCCTATAGTAAAGAGCCTGCGAGGTGGGTAATGACTTTTGAGGACAGCTGGTAAAAGTACTCTGGATGTATATGTGAGCTGCAGTGCAGTGTGTGAGACCCAGGGCCAGGGCAGCCCCATATCCCTCCCTGATGGGGCGTTTGTCAAAGCCAGCACTGCTTTCAGCACACACACACTGCTCTGAAGAGGCCGGCTGTGAACCAGGCTTTTTCCCAGTACTCTAATGAATCACAGCCTTCCCCATTAGGAAAATAAAACTAGAGCTTTATGGCGACAAATGAGAAATCAGTGGAATCCCCTCACCTCACCTCCATCAATGATACACTATCCAGATTGTTCAGGCAATATCTCTAACCAACCACTCCTTCTGTCACTTATTTGCCTTTCATTGTGTTGTAAGCATAGATTACTACAACTGTTACCACTGGTACACTGGAAGCCTGTTCGAAACACATGTGAGGGACCCATTATCCCCTAATGCACTATCATTCAAAAGAGATTAAAGACTTTAAACACAGGCAAATCAGTGGCTTTTGTCTAAATTGGGCTGACTCACATGGCTTTACATCAACTACTGTTCATGACAATGAAACTTATCTCCCTATCAAAGGTACTCACCATGACAGCATCCACTTTATCTGTGGAACTCTCTCTGGAACTCCCTGTAATGTTTGTGAAGTCATCTAGCAGGTCACCAGAGGACAACTCGACATCCTAAAATATTGAGAAATAAAAATAAAAAGGCAGTAGATGTAAAATAATCGATCTAAATGCATATTGTATAATACATTCTCATTTTTAATCCCAGTATAAATTACATTTACATTTACATTTTAGTCATTTAGCAGACGCTCTTATCCAGAGCGACTTACAGGAGCAATTAGGGTTAAGTGCCTTGCTCAAGGGCACATTAACATCATTTAGCAGACGCTCTTAGCCAGAGCGACTCACAAATTGGTGCGTTCACCCTATAGCCAGTGGGATAACCACTTTACAATTTGGGGGGGGGGGGGGGGGGGGGGGGGGGGGGGGATACATATTGTCTGAATTTTTTATGAAATATAATAATAATAATAAAATATCTTGATATTTCAGAGAGGACTTCAAAGTGCTGTAGTTAGTTAGTACCTGGTGTGTGTGGGGTGTCCTGGGGGAGCGTGGAGCTTTGGGGGCTGGTCCGTCACACACAGGGAGGTGGAGCTTACAGTGGTGTCTGGCTGCGTCGGGGTCACCCATCACAAAGGTCATCTGTCTCAGAGCACCCTGAGACAGACAGACAGACCGACAGGTTGAACAGAATAACAGACAGGTAGAAACCTGAAACTCTGTTGCTGAAAGGTGAAGCCTTCCTTCCTCAGACACACAGGAAGGAAGGCTTCACCTTCCACCTACCACCCCAGCCTAATTACTTACAACAGTCACAGTCTAAAGTACTGGATTATCTCACTGAGATTTATTTAGGACAGGTCAATTGGACAGGCAGTCAAGTGTAAATACCCAAGGAAATCCCAACCCTGACCATGAAGTTCCCATACCATCCCTTCCAACCAGCCCAGCCAGCTGTTCCTAACCTTTACTCTTTGCAGTATAGTAGGCTGAGATCATCTAGATACTTTGGCAGTACTGTGATAGTAATATAGGAACTGACTAGAGCCAATAAGATATGGCAACCAAACTCTGCCTGTGTCCGTCCGTGATGAATTGGCACCGAGAGTAACGGCTCTGGATTAAATTAAAGTGAAGAGGAGCTGGTTTCAGAAGAATCAGTAAACTCTCTCTTGGAGGATTAATGAGCAGGCAGAGAGAATGACCAGATTCCCTATAACTATTTCTGTTTACATTTTGTTACATCACTTAAGATGACAAAGCTCATTGCATGACTGAATTCGAAAGATACATTCTGGATTGATGATATATAGTATTACAACTGCAGAAAACCAACAGCAAATTAAGTGAAATCATTCTCACTGAGTAAGTCAAGCTGACAACTGCCTAGTAATTGGTGAGACGGGACAGTAACTTCTCTCTACTGCCATCGAGTGGCAGGCACCTTCTCTCTGAACATATCTAGTGCTTGAAATCATAATGAGAAATAGAAAAATATTCAGATTATTATTTATTATATACTGTTACATTACTAGTGAATACTGTAGATGAAAGTGAGAGTAACATTTGAGCATCTGAGAAACCCTTACTTCAAATGGGGTCTCAAAGCCCTCTATGATGCCTCCCAGCATCAGCAGTCCATCAGTGGTAATGTCCTGTCCAGGGTAGGTCCAGTTCACCCTCTCCACCAGCTCACAGTCCACATAGAGGGCCAGCCAGCTGGAGGACACACCTACAGAGACCTGGTGCCACAGGCCGTCGGGCAGCATACCTACTGGGAACCTAGAGGGACAGGACGGGAGGGGTTACTGGACTCAGCTTCACAAACTTAATTTACTCGACTTGTATTGCCTGACTTATTATTTTTAGCTCCAAATGGAGCAAAGTACCTCAGCTTCATTTACTTAGATATACTGTACAAAAAGACAGAAAGACAGAATTCATCTTAACTAGGAGGTGAAACTAACAACGTACTCGTAATGTCTGTGGTGAGTGGAGACGAAGGTGACTGTGTGTGGGCTGAGACGGAGCTGCAGCTGGATGTGGCTGTAGGGATTGAGCATGGTGACCAGGCTACTCTCCTCCTGCTGAACACTACGCAGCTCCATCAGCACACTGAACTCATCTACAAACCTGGGAGGGAACACAATATAAATAACTTTAACAAAATGTTAATTTATGTCAGTATAATATAATAGTATGTTATGCAGAATAGTACCTTGGTCCAAATGCCTGGCGTGTGGCCATTGCCAGTGTGGCGTACAGGCCAATGTGAAGAGTCGGACACCTCTGGGTCCCCACAGATAAGGATACATTAGTAGTGTTGACTGCCAGTTGGGACAGGAGCTCCAACACGTTCACCTTCTCTGTAGGAAGAACAGGACAAGACAGCAGCAATTCACTACACCTCTTACACCACTGAGTCCTCCCCTGGCCAACATGACAGATTGAACAGCGTTTCCATCCGGGTCTCATTCTCAGTTCTGCTCCCTTGACATCTCACCTCAAGCCTGCACTTCTCCACATGTAGTCACAGTAGAGCCAGTGTAATCATTTAGCAGAGCAGGGACACAGAGAGCAGTATTTTCTTTGAGTGCACACAGTGGGTGAGAAATGACGCCCTAATATTGTTCATTTATTTTTCAGTGAGGACTGGGGCAGCAGCCCAGAACAGAAACAGCCTTGAATGAAGGATGATGAACAAACAGACACTTTATCACCGCTGCGGAGAGAGGACCTCCGGCCATCAAGACGTTACCAGTAATGGATCCACAAAATGGTGCTGGAGGCATGCACTGTGTCACTTTTATTTTAAATAAGAATAGAATATGTTTCTAAACACTTCTACATGAATGTGGATGCTACTATCATTACGGATAATCCTGATTCATTCAGGATTTTCCGTAATCATGGTAGCATCCAAATGACACAATACATTATTTACCATTCATTTCTATTGGGCACAAAACAATTTGAAACACAACCAAAACAAACAGCAAATGCATCCAACAAATTTGTAGAGTCACAAGCTTGATGTAGTCATTGTGTGCTTGGAATATGGGACCAAATGCTAAACATTGACTACTTTAATACACATATAAGTGAATTTATCCCAATACTTTTGCTCCCCTAAGCCTCAAAGTAATTGTTTGATTTGAAATCCAAACTTTTGAAGTATAGAGTCAAAAGAAGAAAAAATGCTTCATTGCACCACATCTCAGTTATCCTACATGTTGGCTGTTAGTTTCACACCACAGTCTGGTTTTCATGCAGAGTGGGTACATCATCCATTCCATGGTTAACGATGTACGAGAAGCCAAGCAGAGGCTGGCTCAGTGTTTTGTCCTGTTGACCACCCAGCCCCGGCCTTGCCTCCCTGCCAGAAGCTCCCACAGCAACCCTAATGGATGATTCGGAGGTGAGCTGCAGAAATACCCATGGCAGAATTCATTTATCTCGCTTAGTACCCCGGGGAGAGGGGATCTAGAGGAGTACTCCCTAAGTAACTTAGCATGCCTACTATTCATTGTGATGACGGAGTTCGTGAGCTCATTCTCATGTTCTGGCATGCTTCATTTTGGCATGGTTTGACAAAAGCAGAACTTTCAGACAAATTCGATTTAGAAGATAAAGAGTTTGTCATTGCATGAAGTAAAAGTCATAGCTGCCATAATAGTAAAGAAGAAACCTAATGGCTAAAAGTTTAATTTCCAAAAGCTTCCAATTTTGTGAAAAAATAAGTTGATGTATGTTTTCCCAGGCACCTGTTGCATCTATAAATAAACTGATGCTGCAAAAGGAAAACTACTAACAGTGCCTTTTAGCCAGTAGCCAGCTAGGTGGTCATCTGAGAACTAATGCATTATTTAGAGAATAAATGTCCACCCATGATAATGACTCCACACAGCAATGGATAATGTAAAAAAAATATATACATACACTACTGTTCAAAAGTTTGGGGTCACTTAGAAATGTCCTTGTTTTCGAAAGAAAAGCAATTTTTTTGTACATTAAAATAACATCAAATTGATCAGAAATACCGTGTAGACATTCTTAATGTTGTAAATGGCTATTGTAGCTGGAAACGGCTGATTGTTAATGTAATATCTACATAGGCGTACAGAGGCCCATTATCAGCAACCATCAGTCCTGTGTTCCAATGGCACGTTGTGTTTGCTAATCCAAGTTTATCATTTTAAAAGTCTAATTGATAATTAGAAAACCCTTTTGCAATTATGTTAGCACAGCTGAGAACTGTTGTGCTGATTAAAGAAGCAATAAAACTGGCCTTCTTGAGACTAGTTGAGTATCTGGAGCATCAGTAATTGTGGGTTCGATTACAGGCTCAAAATGGCCAGAAACAAATAACTTTCTTCTGAAACTCGTCAGTCTATTCTTGTTCTGAGAAATAATTGCAAAAGGGTTTTCTAATGATCAATTAGCCTTTTAAAATGATAAACTTGGATTAGCAAACACAACGTGCCATTGGAACACAGGACTGATGGTTGCTGATAATGGGCCTCTGTAGATATTCCATTAACAATCAGCCGTTTCCAGCTACAATAGCCATTTACAACATTAACAATGTCTACACTGTATTTCTGATCAATTTGATGTTATTTTAATGGACAAAAAAATTGCTTTTCTTTTGAAAACAAGGACATTTCTAAGTGACCACAAACTTTTGAACATTAGTGTATACAATGACCCAAAGCACAGCTCCAAACTATGCAATAACTATTTAGGGAAGAAGCAGTCAGCTGGTATTCTGTCTATAATGGAGTGGCCAGAACAGTCACCAGATGTTGTGGGAGCAGCTTGACCGTTTGGTACGTAAGAAGTGCCCATCAAGCCAATCCAATTTGTGGGAGGTGCTTCAGGAAGCATGGGGTGAAATCTCTTCAGATTACCTCAACAAATTGACAACTAGAATGCCAAAGGTCTGCAAGACTGTAATTGCTGCAAATGGAGGATTCTTTGACGAAAGCTAAGTTTGAGGGACACAATTATTATTTCAATTAAAAATCCTTATTTCTAACCTTGTCAATGACTACATTTCCTATGCATTTTGCTATGTTTCCTATTCAAACTCATTTCATGTATGTTTTCATGGAAAACAAGGACATTTCTAAGTGACTCCAAACTTTTGAACAGTAGTGTATATATACAGTACCAGTCAAAAGTTTGGACACACCTACTCATTCAAGGCTTTTTTTAATTTTTACTATTTTCTACATTGTAGAATGATAATGAAGACATCAAAATTATGAAATAACACATATGGAATCATGTAGTAACCAAAAAAAGTGTTAAACAAATCAAAATATATTTTATATTTGAGATTCTTTAAATAGCCACCCTTTGCCTTGATGACAGCTTTGCACACTCTTGGCATTCTCTCAACCAGCTTCACCTGGAATGCTTTTCCAACAGTCTTGAAGGAGTTCCCAAATATGCTGAGCACTTGTTGGCTGCTTTTCCTTCACTCTGTGGTCGGACTCATCCCAAACCATCTCAATTGGGTTGAGCTCGGGGGATTGTGGAGGCCAGGTCATCTGATGCAGCACTCCATCACTCTCCTTCTTGGTCAAATAGCCCTTACACAGCCTGGAGGTGTGTTGGGTCATTGTCCTGTTGAAAAACAAATGCAAGTCCCACTAAGCCCAAACCAGATGGGATGGTGTATCGCTGCAGAGTGCTGTGGTAGCCATGATGGTTAAGAGTGCCTTGAATTCTAAATAAATCACAGACAGTGTCAACAGCAAAGCACCCCCACACCATAACACCTCCTCCTCCATGCTTTACGGTGGGAACTACACATGCGGAGATCATCCGTTCACCCACACCGCGTCTCACAAAGCCACAGTGGTTGGACTCCAGACCAAAGGACACATTTCCACCGGTCTAATGTCAATTGCTCGTGTTTCTTGGCCCACGCAAGTCTCTTCTTCTTATTGGTGTTCTTTAGTAGTGGTTTGTTTGCAGCAATTCGACCATGAAGGCCTGATTCACACAGTCTCCTCTGAACAGTTGATGTTGAGATGTGTCTGTTACTTCAACTCTGTGAAGCATTTATTTGGGCTGCAATCTGAGGCTGGTAACTCTATCTTCTGCAGCAGAGGTAACTCTGGGTCTTCCCTTCCTGTGGTGGTCCTCATGAGAGCCAGTTTCATCATAGCGCTTTATGGTTTTTGCGACTGCACTTGAAGAAACTTTCAAAGTTCTTGAAATGTTCTGTCTTGACTGACCTTCATGTCTTAAAGTAATGACGGACTGTTGTTTCTCTTTGCTTATTTGAGCTGTTCTTGCCATAATATGGACTTGGTATTTTACCAAATAGGGCTATATTCTGTATACCAACCCTATCTTGTAACAACACAACTGATTGGCTCAAATGCATTGAGAAGGAAAGAAATTCCACAAATTAACTTTTAACAAGGTACACCTGTTAATTGAAATGCATTCCAGGTGACTACCTCATGAAGCTGGTTGAGAGAATGCCAAGTGTGTGCAAAGCTGTCATCAAGGCAAAGGGTGGCTACTTTAAAGAATCTCAAATATAAAATATATTTTGGCTACAACATGATTCCATATGTATTTTTCATAGTGTTGATGCCTTCACTATTATTCTACAATGTAGAAAATAGTAAAAATAAAGAAAAACCCTTGAATGAGTAGGTGTTCCCAAACTTTTGACTGGTACTGTATATATATATATATATATATATATATATATATATATATATATATATATATAGATAGATAGATAGATAGATAGATAGATAGATAGATAGACAGACAGACAGACAGACAGACAGACAGACAGACAGACAGACAGACAGACAGACAGACAGACAGACAGACAGACAGACAGACAGACAGACAGACAGACAGACAGATAGATAGATAGATAGATAGATAGATAGATAGATAGATAGATAGATAGATAGATAGATAGATAGATAGATAGATAGATAGATAGATAGATAGATAGATAGATAGATAGATAGATAGATAGATAGATAGATAGACAGACAGACAGACAGACAGACAGACAGACAGACAGACAGACAGACAGACAGACAGACAGACAGACAGACAGACAGACAGACAGACAGACAGACAGACAGACAGACAGACAGACAGACAGACAGACAGACAGACAGACAGACAGACAGATAGATAGATAGATAGATAGATAGATAGATAGATAGATAGATAGATAGATAGATAGATAGATAGATAGATAATGATGTCTGTACATGTGTACTGAGAGGATCAAGACATCACAGGCCTCAGGGTTCTCCTTCTTTATTGCCAAGAGTTCCAAAAGCATCTAATTTGACCCTTTCTTCTTGGCAGATGGGTCGTTCTTGAATTACGGTAGCATTTGGCATTGGCATTTTGGAAAAACATGTGCTTGTATTTTCTAGATGTTTTATTTATTAAATGTTTTTGGGTACATCTTCCCATTCTAAATCAACTAATATGGCAGCTTAATGACTTTAAATACTTTTGACCATTATGATAACATTGTGCTACCAGTAGGAGTAGTAGCACCAATGATGGTAACACCAATGAGACATATTAGGTTATTGAGGATTTTCTTAAATGGAGGCCACAGATGATCAAATCTAAGGTCATTAACCCTTAAAAAATAATTTACTCAATTGATATGATTAATAATTTAGCTCACAATGTTATTTCCCTTAATTTAAATTGAGTAACACCAAGTGACACTTTGGATTTAGACACAGAAAATGATCAATGGATTCCTCAAATTTATGACATACTAAAAGGGTGTGATTAGCTAATCATTTTCATTAATATAGACCCCTCCCCCGATAACAGTTTGCCACTGGAGGGAATGCTCAAGGTCCTTGTATATCTTTGTAATGAGTTATTTTTAAGGCGGTAACACCAATGACATAAAACTGAGGGACAGACATTATACAAGTAAAAAAAAAAAGTATTTTAATAGCCTTCTTATTATTATTATTATTACTATTATAATTTTTTTTTTGGGGGGGGGGTGGTTCAGCTTAATATTGCAGATAGATTGTATCTTCTATCAATGTAATTGTCTGCAACACTTCCAATCCCCCATGTTTTTTATATATATACTCCCCTTTATTACTTTTCAACCCTGCCATCCTTTCCCTACTTGGAGTAAATTAGTGAACAACAATGCCCAGGCCTCTACTTCCGGTCTATACTTACTATCTACACCTTATGGACACAGTTAATTTTACAATAATTATATATATATAAATATATATATATTATTATTATTTTATAATTTTTTTGCTCCTGAACTTCTTCTACTCTCAACCTCTCCGATCATTTTCATGATGTCCATCCGGTTTGCTTCTATATGCCATATCTTTCTAACTGTGCTCTTTCCCAAAAGCTCCCAAAATACAACCTATATACTTATTATGGACACAGTATGCTTACATTATTAGCTATCTTTGTTATTATTTGTTGTTATTTGTTATTAGCCCCATCCTTCATCTCTATTCAATACCTCCTATCTATCTCTTAACACCATCCATATAGGATTTCTATTTGCCATATATATTTCAACCGTACTGTGATGTTTTACAAAAGTTCTGAACCTTTCTATTCTCATTGCTTCTACAGATTGTGAATTAAAAATAAAATGTTTTGCTAAAAGTATTATTATATTATTGATCGATTGACTATGACTTTTCAGATCACCCAGTAATGCTATCTGCAAGGTTAGCTCCAGGTAAATATTGCAATCCTTTAGCCATTCCTGGACCTGTGTCCAAAAACAAGCTACAAATGGACAGAACCAAAACAAATGATCTAATGATTCTGTCTCTTCACAGCAAAATCTGCAGAGCTGGGAAGATTGTATCCACCATATAAATAACATTCTATTGGTAGCAAGAATTTTATATAATAATTTAAATTGAAAGATTCAAATTTTTGATCCGGTGTCGTTTTGCGTGTCAGTTCATAAACACTATGCCATGGGATCGGTACGTCAAAGATCTCTTCCCAACTATTTTGCAATCTATATGGGACGGCTGTCAATCCTTTGATCCTTAAGTGAAACTGATATACTTTTTTATTTATTACAGTTTTCCTTAACCAATTATGTTCTTTAATGCAAGGCCGACAGACAACTTCCTTACTTTCTCCCCCTTCCACTTTCCTCTTCCACTTTTGCGGTAAGGCTGCAATTATTTGGTTGTAATTTTGGGTAGAGCAGACATTTCCATATGTTTTTGTTAGCTGCATGTGCAACATAACTCCACCAGTCCTACCGATGATATCATTTACGAAGATTATACCTTTTTTAAACATTCTGTCAAAAAATAAAGGTTTTTTGTCAATTAGTATATTTGAATTTAACCACAATAATTGTTGCATTATTTGTTCTGTCGTTTCTGGAGGATTAAATTGAAATTGCAACCAACTTTCTATGGCTTGTTTTAGAAATAGTGATATTTGGGAGATGATTTCCTTTTCAAATAACTGCAAATGAGTTGTTGTAATCTGAATAAAGGGAAAAAGGCCTTTCTTGAACATTGGGTGAGAAAATCTTACTAATTTGCTTGAGAACCAGTTTGGATTTAAGTATAACTTTTGTATGACTGAAGCTTTTAGTGATAGGTCTAATGCTTTAATATTTAATAATTTATGTCCTCCGAATTCATATTCATTATATAAATATGCCCTTTTAATTTTGTCTGGCTTGCCGTTCCAAATAAAATTGAATATTTTTTTCTCATATAATTTAAAAAACTGTTCGCTAGGCGTAGACAAGACCATAAGCAAATAGGTAAACTGGGATAATACTAAAGAGTTAATCAGGGTGATTTTTCCACAAATTGACAGGTATTTTCCTTTCCATGGTAGTAAGATCTTATCTATTTTTGCTAACTTTCTATTAAAATGTATTGAAGTGAGATCATTTATTTCCTTTGGGATATGTATTCCGAGTATATCCACATCATCATCAGACCATTTTATTGGTAAACTACATGGTAATGTAAATTTTTTATTTTTTAGTGATCCAATGCGTAATATAGTACATTTGTCATAATTTGGTTGTAATCCAGAGAGGTTAGAAAATGTATCTAGATCCTCTATGAGGCTGTGGAGGGATTCTAGTTGTGGATTTAAAAGAAAACATGAATCATCAGCGTACAATGACACCTTTGTTTTTAAGCCCTGTATTTCTAATCCTCAGATCCTTATTATTGGATCTGATTTTAATAGCTAACATCTCGATGGCCACAATAAATAGATATGCCGATAGTGGACAACCTTGTTTCACTCCTCTTGACAATTTAAAACTTTCTGAGAAATAGCCATTGTTTACTATTTTACACCTAGGGTTACTATACATGATTTTGACCCATTTTATAAGAGATTCTCCAAAATTGAAATGCTCCAGGCATTTATATATAAACCCCAGTCAAACTTTATCAAATGCCTTTTCGAAGTCTGCTATGAATAGCAGGCCTGGTTTCCCATATTTTCCATAGTGTTCTATTGTTTCCAATACTTGCCTTATATTATCTCCAATGTATCTTCCATGTAAAAAACCTGTCTGATTAGAATGAATAATATCCGACAATACCTTTTTTATTCTATGCGCTATACATTTGCTAGGATTTTTGCATCACAACACTGAAGTGTAAGGGGCCTCCAATTTTGTAAATGGACTGGATCTTTATATTTTCCACTTGTATCCTGTTTCAGTAATAATGATATCAGACCTTCTTCTTGAGTATCAGATAATCTACCATTTACATAGGAGTGGTTAAAACATGCTAATAACGGTCCTCTTAGTATATCAAAAAAGGTTTGGTATACCTCGACTGGTATGCCATCCAACCCTGGAGTTTTCCCAGACTTAAAGTCTTTAATTGCATCCAGAAGTTCCTCCTCTGTAATTTCACCTTCACATGAGTCTTTCTGTGTGGCTGTTAATTTGACATTATCAATAGAAAAAAAATCTCTACAATTAGCTTCAGTTAGAGGAGATGGAGGCGACTGAAAAGAAAACATATGCTTAAAGTACTTTGTTTCTTCCGTCAAAATATAATTTGGTGAATTATGGGTGACTCCGTCAATTGTAACCAGTTTCATTAAGTTCTTTTGGGTACATTCCTATGTTGAAGATTAAAAAATAATTTTGTTAATTTTTCCCCATTTTAATAGCCTCCTTTGTTTTTATTGATCTATATAATATATTAAATACTTTTGTTCAAAATAATAGATATCTCTAAATCCCCAAAACATGTCACTACACCTCTACACATCACTACTGGGACAAGCCAATTTGCTTACCCTAAGTACATTAAACAATGCATAAGCATAAAGTTTTGCAGTATAAAGGACTTGCATTATGCTTTATAATTGAAAAACAGTTAAATATAAACAAAAACATGTATGATCTGTAACTAGTTGTATTTTAAAGTGTATTTCATGGTTGCAAAGTCAAGGGACGCAAATACCACAGCAATTCAAGAACAACCCGGATATACATACGGAAGCCCATTGCTTTTTTCTGAGTTTCAAGTTGTACTAGTCATATGTACGTGATACACATGGTATTCACCGTCCAACGAAATGCTTACTAGCAGGTTCCTTATCTGGAGTGTGTGTGTGTGTCACAGGAGGCTGCTGAGGGAAGGACAGCTCATAATAATGGCTGGAACTGAGTAAATGGAAACCATGTGTTTGATGTATTTGATACCCTTCCACTGATTCTGCTCCAGTCGTTACCATTAGCTCATTCTCCCGAATTAGGGTGCCACCAACCTCTTGTGGTGTGTGTGTGACTATGTGTGTTTGCGTGCATGCCTGTGCATGTGTGTTCCTGCGTGCATGTGTGTGTGTGGTGAAAACACTCCCATGTTAACTGCAGATCACATTAATCTTTCAGTCGCCTGTCTCTCACATTGCAGCAGTCTCCCTCCAGACCTGGAGGACTCCAGTCACACATGACTACTCTCTGATAACTTGATGAAAAGCCTGCTGTGAGCCACATTCAGCATTCCACAACTCACCAGGGCATATAGTCCACTGTACAGTTACAGCACGGTACTGAACAGAGCAAGGTGTTGAAAACAAGGTGCTTATGGTTGGACATTCCAGCATGCCTGTATTAAGCCTAATCCATTGATTACTGTATTGTTATGTTCCATTACGTGGAGTATGTATTTTTGTAATACAACATTATTATACTGTACAAATCTTCTTATGCATGTATCAAGGTAAATGCCGTAGAGTCGTCAGCGGCTCTTTTTAAACAGCTCAGTATGACATGTAGAGGCTAACAAAAGGGAACACAGCCATATCTGTGGAGTGGGAAAAGGGCATTTCAAAGCCGACTGAATGACTTGCATACAGGTGGGAACAGAAAAACTCTGACAAGCATCTTGAGCCCATGTGCTGAGAGAGGAGCTGGGAAAGGAGGAGATGGTGAAGAGGTGGAGAGACAGGAGGAGAGGAGAGGAGAGGAGAGGAGAGGAGAGGAGAGGAGAGGAGAGGAGAGGAGAGGAGAGGAGAGGAGAGGAGAGGAGAGGAGAGGAGAGGAGAGGAGAGGAGGAGGAGAGGAGAGGAGAGGAGAGGAGAGGAGAGGAGAGGAGAGGAGGAAAGACAGGAGGAGAGGAGAGGAGGAGAGACAGGAGGAGAGGAGAGGTGTAGAGAGGAGGAGAGGAGAGGTGTAGAGAGGAGGAGAGGAGAGGTGGAGAGACAGGAGGAGAGGAGAGGAGGAGAGACAGGAGGAGAGGAGGAGAGACAGGAGGAGAGGAGAGGAGAGGAGGAGAGACAGGAGGAGAGGAGAGGTGGAGAGAGGAGGAGAGGAGAGGTGGAGAGACAGGAGGAGGAGAGGAGGAGAGACAGGAGGAGAGGGGAGGAGGAGAGACAGGAGGAGAGGGGAGGAGGAGAGACAGGAGGAGAGGAGAGGAGGAGAGACAGGAGGAGAGGAGAGGAACAAAGTGGAGAGGAGATTATAGGTCCCTGCCAGTGCCAACACTACAGTACATCCGTACACCACAGGGAACAGCACAAAATACCTGACAAACTAACAAGTAAGACCACAGTAGAGTGGAGTGTGCTTTTGTACAAAGTGAAACATCTAGGCTGGGAAACTGGAAGATAATCTCAGCTGAATAATGTGTTTTAAACCTGTCTGCAGGACAAACACACCCCATCTTGTCTCCACTCTTCCACTATTGACAGAGTTGTGTTTGGCTTGATCCCAAACATCTGACAGAGGCCCAATGGTAGGCCCAGCGCCGAGTGTCAAGAGAGAGAGAGATGTCTTACAGGCTATCCTATGCCATCACCTACAGAGAGACGAACTTGGAGAAGAGTCCCCTAAGCAAGCTGGTCCTGGGGCTCTGTTCACAAACACAAACAGACCCCACAGAGCCCCAGGACAACAACAACAACAACACAATTAGACCCAACCAAATCATGAGAAAACAAAAAGAGAATTACTTGACACATTGGAAATAATTAACATAAAAACAGAGCAAACTAGAATGATATTTGGCCCTAAACAGAGAGTACACAGTGGCAGAATACCTGACCACTGTGACTGACGCAAACTTAAGGAAAGCTTTGACTATGTACAGACTCAGTGAGCATAGCCTTGCTATTGAGAAAGGCCACCGTAGGCAGACCTGGCTCTCAAGAGAAGACAGGCTATGTGCACACTGCCCACAAAATGAGGTGGAAACTGAGCTGCACTTCCTAACCTCCTGCCAAATGTATGACCATATTAGAGACACATATTTCCCTTGGATTACACAGATCCACAAAGAATTCGAAAACAAACCCAATTTTGATAAACTTCCTTATCTACTGGGTGAAATAACACAGTGTGCCATCATAGCAGCAAGATTTGTTACCTGTTGCCACAAGAAAAGGGCAACCAGTGAAGAACAAACACCATTGTAAATACAACCCATATTTATGTTTATTTATTTTCCCATTTGTACTTTAACTATTTGCACATTGTTACAACACTGTACAGTTGTGGTCAAATGTTTTGAGAATGACACAAATACTAATTTTCACAAAGTCTGCTGCCTCAGTTTTGATTTTGGCAATTTGCATATACTCCAGAATGTCATGAAGTGTGATCAGATGAATTGCAATTAATTGCAAAGTCCCTCTTTGCCATGAAAATGAACTTAATCCCAAAAAAACATTTCCACTGCATTTCAGCCCTGCCACAAAAGGTCCAGCTGCCATCATGTCAGTGATTATCTCGTTAACACAGGTGAGAGTGTTGACGAGGACAAGGCTGGAGATCACTCTGTCATGCTGATTGAGTTAGAATAACAGACTGGAAGCTTTAAAAGGAGGGTGGTGCTTGAAATCATTGTTCTTCCTCTGTTAACCATGGTTACCTGCAAGGAAACACGTGCCGTCATCAATGCTTTGCACAAAAAGGGCTTCACAGGCAAGGATATTGCTGCTAGTAAGATTGCACCTAAATCAAACCATTTATCGGAACATCAAGAACTTCAAGGAGAGAGGTTAAATTGTTGTGAAGAAGGCGTCAGGACGCCCAAGAAAGTCCAGCAAGCGCCAGGACCGTCTCCTAAAGTTGATTCAGCTGTGGGATCGGGGCACCACCAGTGCAGAGCTTGCTCAGGAATGGCAGCAGGCAGGTGTGAGTGCATCTGCACGCCCAGTGAGGCAAAGACTTTTGGAGGATGGCCTGGTGTCAAGAAGGGCAGCGAGGAAGCCACTTCTCTCCAGGAAAAATCAGGGACAGACTGATATTCTTCAAAAGGTACAGGGATTGGACTGCTGAGGACTGGGGTAAAGTCATTTTCTCTGATGAATCCCCTTTCCAATTGTTTGGATCATCCGGAAAACATATTGTCCGGAGAAGACAAGGTGAGCGCTACCATCAGTCCTTTGTCATGCCAACAGTAAAGCATTCTGAGACCTTTCATGTGTGGGGTTGCTTCTCAGCCAAGGGAGTGGGCTCACTCACAATTTTGCCTAAGAACACAGCCATGAATAAATAATGGTACCAACACATCCTCCAAGAGCAACTTCTCCCAACCATCCAAGAACAGTTTGGTGACAAACAATGCCTTTTCCAGCATGGTGGAGCACCTTGCCATAAGGCAAAAGTGATAACTACGTGGCTCGGGGAACAAAACATTGAGATTTTGGGTCCATGGCCAGGAAACTCCCCAGACCTTAATCCCATTGAGAACTTGTGGTCGATCCTCAAGAGGCGGGTGGACAAACAAAAACCCACAAATTCTGACAAACTCCAAGCATTGATTATGCAAGAATGGGCTGCCATCAGTCAGGATGTGGCACAGAAGTTAATTGACAGCATGCCAGGGCGGATTGCAGAGGTCTTGAAAAAGAAGGGTCAACACCGCAAATATTGACTCTTTGCATAAACTTAATGTAATTCTCAATAAAAGCCTTTGACACTTATGGAATGCTTGTAATTATACTTCAGTATACCATAGTAACATCTGACAAAAAGATCTCATAACACTGAAGCAGCGAACTTTGTGAAGACCAAAACTTGTGTCATTCTCAAAACCTTTGACCACGACTGTATATAGACATAATAAGACATTTGAAATGTCTTTATTCTTTTGGAACTTCTGAGTGTAATGTTTACTGTTTATATGTATTGTTTATTTCACTTTTGTTTACTATCTACTTCACTTGCTTTGGCAATGTTAACATTCATTTCCCATGCCAATAAAGTCCTTAAATTGAAATTGAATTGAATGGAGAGAGAGAGAGCAGGCTGCATTATCAGTGGAGGAAGGGGATAACATCTAATACCTAAGGAGTTTACTTGACCACAATCCTCTTGTTTAGACAGACTGACAGATTGGAGCTATTGGAAAAACGCCTTGTAGCCTTTGCTGTTCCAACACAGGAACAGAACATGCTTCAGTTGTCATGTCTGTCTGGCAAACCAAACAGGGAATCGTTGCCAGGGTTGTATACTCTGGCTGGTTCATCTTGAATTACTAGTAAATTGTTAGGAACACGTAGACATGAACTCAGTGTTGACTGCCAAATAGTAATCTCAGTCCATTGAGCTGGAAGAGTTCAGTAAAGCCTTTGGGTCTAACGTCTGGCTGCAGTTGCCATTTAATGGTCAATTTGCTCCCCCTGCACTGGTGTGTGTTTCATTTACATGGACGGTTAACTGAATAAGTCTTGTGGGACCCATTATGTTTGTCTGGGGAATCAAGGGGAATAAAAGCTGTGTTTCTTTCCCTTAATTGTGCTCTTAAAGGTAATCAAGGATGGATCGAGTGCACTGGCTGACTAGGGAACTTTTTGATGGGATTGCTGGGTCACATGGCATCATTTAACTCAAACGTAGGATAGCCTGTAAAACAGTATGGTCATGCAACACTGTAACTTTAAATCTATTTTATATCTCTTCACAGTTTATATGATTATTAATGGGGTCCCTGCAGGGTAGCCTAGCAGTTAAGAGCGTTGGGCCAGTAACCAAAAGGTCGCTGGTTCTAATCCCAGAGCTGACTAGGTGAACAATCTGTCGGTGTGCCCTTGACCAAGGCACTTAACCCTAATTGCTCCTGTAAGTCGCTCTGGATAAGAGCGTCTGCTAAATGACTAAAATGTAAATAATGGGTCCTAATTGGGGTTCCATCACTCTTGACCTCCTTGCAGATTATCAGATCTTCAAATTCCTCAAGGCCTTGTTGATTGTGCATTCATGGCTATGAATGGTATGAGTGACATTTTAGGCTTGCAGTGGAGTTTTGCTATGCACCATTCCCCAGAGTGAGATGACACACATATGGAATGGCATCTGCTACACTGCTATGAGACTGTGCCCCAATACTCTCTTCTCTCAGATTTGACCAGATCTGTGTACCTATTGTCAGCACACAGGGGCATTCTTCTTTCAAATTCCCAACATTCTCTTCCAATAAAAATACACCCATCAAATATTTTCAAACTTCCCATTTTCCAGAAGGGTAATATTTCAATACAAAAGGGTGATCCAAAGTACCCAGAAGGTAGCCCAATACCTCTGGGCATTGTGTGTTTATAAATGACCTTGCCAGGGGCCTCATTTATAAAAGTTGTGTATGTACAAAATGTGCCCCAAAACATGTGTGTGGCAGTTTTCATGCAAAATTGGCGTTTATAAAAACTTTACTTGACGTGAGAATGTGTTTCTCCTCCCGCAAACTTTAAACCATGCGTACGCACAGTTTCTAGTGGTTGAAGTATTGCATTGCAAGAAGGCAACAGTAGCCTAGTAGCCTTGTGCAAATGGGGAATATACAGTGCATTCGGAAAGTATTCAGACCCTTTGACTTATTCCACATTTTGTTACATTACAGCCTTATTCTAAAATCGTTTCAATTATTTTTTTTCCTCATCAATCTACACACAATACTGCATAATGACAAAACGAAAAGAGGTTTTTAGAAATGTTTGCAAATGTATTAAAAATAAGTATTCAGACCCTTTGCTATGAGACTCGAAATTGAACTCAGGTGAATCCTGTTTCCATTGATCATCCTTGAGAAGTTTCTACAACTTGATTGGAGTCCACCTGTGGTAAAATCAATTGATTGGACATGACTTGGAAAGGCACACAACTGTTTATATAAAGGTCCCACAGTTGGCAGTGCATGTCAGCGCAAAAACCAAGCCACGAGGTCGAAGGAATTGTCCGTAGAGCTCCAAGACAGGATTGTGTCAATTTTTTGCAGCATTGAAGGTCCCCAAGAAAACAGTGGCCTCCATCATTCTTAAATGGAAGAAGTTTGGAACCAGCAAGACTTTTCCTAGAGCTGGCCGCCTGACAAACTGAGCAATCGGGGGAGAAGGGTCTTGGTCAGGGAGGTGACCAAGAACATGATGGTCACTCTGACAGAGCTCCAGAGTTCCTCTGTGGAGATGGGAGAACCTTCCAGAAGGACAACCATCTCTGCAGCACTCCACCAATCAGGCCTTTATGGTAGAGTGGCCAAACGGAAGCCACTCCTCAGTAAAAGGCACATGACAGCCTGCTTGGAGTTTGCCAAAAGGCACTTAAAGACTCTCAGACCATGAGAAACAAGATTCTCTTGTCTGATGAAACCAATAATTAATTATTTGGCCTGAATGCCAAGCTTCACGTCTGGAGGAAACTTAGCACCATCCCTACGGTGAAGCATGGTGGTGGCAGTATCATGCTGTGGGAATGTTTTTCAGCGGCAGGGACTGGGAGACTAGTCAGGATCGAGGGAAAGATGAACGGAGCAAAGTACAGAGAGATCCTTGATGAAAACCTGCTCCAGAGCGTTCAGGACCTCAGACTGGGGCGAAGGTTCACCTTCCAACAGGACAACGACCCTAAGCACACAGCCAAGACAACGCAGGAGTGGCTATGGGACAAGTCTCTGAATGTCCTTGAGTGGCCCAGCCAGTGCCTGGACATGAACCCGATCGAACATCTCTGGAGAGACCTGAAAATAGCTGTGCAGCGACGCTCCCCATCCAACCTGACAGAGCTTGAGACGATCTGCAGAGAAGAATGGGAGAAACTCCCCAAATACAGGTGTGCCAAGCTTGTAGCGTCATACCCAAGAAGACTTGAGGCTGTAAGCGCTGCCAAAGGTGCTTCAACAAAGTACTGAGTACTTTGCCCTCCATTTGGCAAATCTGACCATAACTCTATCCTCCTGATTCCTGCTTACAAGCAAAAACTAAAGCAGGAAGCACCAGTGACTCGGTCAATAAAGAAGTGGTCAGATGACGCAGATGCTAAGCTACAGGACTATTTTGCTAACACAGACTGGAATATGTTCCGGGATTCTTCCGATGGCATTGAGGAGTACACCACATCAGTGCCGCTTTCGAGGAGTGGGACTCTAACCCGGGCGCTTATAAGAAATCCTGCTATGCCCTCTGACGAACCAGCAAACAGGCAAAGCGTCAATACAGGACTAAGATTGAATCATACTACACCGGCTCCGACGCTTGTCGGATGTGGCAGGGCTTGCAAACTATTACAGACTACAAAGAGAAGCACAGCCGTGTGTTGCCCAGTGACAAGAGCCTACCAGACGAGCTAAATTACTTCTATGCTCGCTTCGAGGCAAGCAACTAGAAGCATGCATGAGAGCACCAGCTGTTCCGGATGACTGTGTGATCATGCTCTCCGTAGCCGATGTGAGTAAGACCTTTAAACAGGTCAACATTCACAAGGCCGCAGGGCCAGATGGATTACCAGGACGTGTACTCCGAGCATGCGCTGAACAACTGGAAAGTGTCTTCACTGACATTTTCAACCTGTCCCTGACTGAGTCTGTAATACCAACATGTTTCAAGCAGACCACCATAGTCCCTGTGCCCAAGAACACTAATGTAAATGACTACCGACCCGTAGCACTCACGTCTGTAGCCATGAAGTGCTTTGAAAGGCTGGTCATGGCTCACATCAACACCATTATCCCAAAAACCATAGACCCACTCCAATTTGCATACCGCCCCAACAGATCCACAGATGATGCAATCTCTATTGCACTCCACACTGCCCTTTCCCACCTGGACAAAAGGAACACCTACTTGAGAATGCTATTAATTGACTACAGCTCAGCGTTCAACACCATAGTGCCCTCAAAGCTCATCACTAAGCTAAGGACCCTGGGACTAAACACCTCCCTCTGCAACTGGATCCTGGACCTCCTGACGGGCCGCCCCCAGGTGGTAAGGGTAGGTAACAACACATCTGCCACACTGATCCTCAACATGGGGCCCCTCAGGGGTGCGTGCTCAGTCCCCTCCTGTACTCCCTGTTCACCCATGACTGCATGGCCAGGCACAACTCCAACACCAACATTAAGTTTGCCGACGACACAACAGTGGTAGGCCTGATCACCGACAACGATGAGACAGCCTATAGGGAGGAGGTCACAGACCTGGCCGTGTGGTGCCAGGATAACAACCTCTCCCTCAACGTGATCAAGAGAAAGAAGATGATTGTGGACTACAGGAAAAATAAGACAGAGCACGCCCCCATTCTCATCGATGGGGCTGTAGTGGAGTAGGTTGAGGTCCTTGGTGTCCACATCACCAACAAACTAACATGGTCCAAGCACACCAAGACAGTTGTGAAGAGGGCACAACAAAACCTATTCCCCCTAAAGAGACTGAAAAGATTTGGCATGGGTCCTCAGATCCTCAAAAGGTTCTACAGCTGCACCATCGAAAGTATCCTGACCGGTTGCATCACTGCCTGGTATGGCAACTGCTCGCCATCCGACCGCAAGGCACTACAGATGGTAGTGCGTACGGCCCAGTAAATCACTGGGGCCAAGCTTCCTACCATCCAGGACCTCTATACCAGGCTGTGTCAGAGGAAGGCCCTAAAAATTGTCAAAGACTCCAGCCACCCTAGTCATAGACTGTTCTCTCTGCTACCGCACGGTAAGCCGTACCAGAGCGCGAAGTCTAGGTCCAAAAGGCTTCTTAACAGCTTCTACCCCCAAGCCATAAGACTCCTGAACAGCTAATCAAATGGCTACCCAGACTATTTGCATTGTTCCCCCCCACTCCTCCCACCCCCTCTTTTACGCTGCTGCTACTCTCTGTTTATTATCTATGCATAGTCACTTTAACTCTACCTACATGTACATATTACCTCAATTACCTCGACTGTGCCCCCGCACATTGACTCTGTACCGGTACCCCCTGTATATAGCTTCGCTACTGTTATTTTACTGCTGCTCTTTAATTATTTTTTACTTTCATTTCAGATGATCTTATATTGTATTTTTTGTGTGATTTGTTTTGGTATTCTTTCTTAAAACGGCATTGTTGGTTAAGGACTTGTAAGTAAGCATTTCACTGTAAGGTCTACACCTGTTGTATTCGGCGCATGTGACAAATAAAATGTGATTTGATTTGACTTCATAATAACAAGATGCAATCATTTGCTGTTAGTGAGAAGAGCGAAAATCTATTTATTTTAACTTTACATTCTAAAATAATTAGAAATCTATTGCAGAATAAATTCCTTACCTGACTGTGATGTTTTCATGTAGGGCTGTTACGGTGAATGTATTACCGCCACACCAGTGTCCACAAGTCATGACCACAGTCAAATTCCACGTGACCGCTTTGTCACAGTAACTAGGCTTCTCCAAGCTCTGATGCTGCTGATGGTCATTACCTACCAAACTTTCTAACAGCCTGGGACTCAGCACTCTATTGTCCCTCTAATCACTCTGACATCAATGCAAATGGTTTCAAAAATCAAATCAAACACTCATGTTGTGCAACATTTCCACAGGCTATGTAATGCATGAGAAAACAGAGTTTTGATGGCCTCTAATAAAAAGAGGAGAATCCCATCAGCTAGGCCTACTATATTTATTTATTAACTTTCCTAATATAAAGCACATTGCTTTATAACAAGAGTATAGCCTACCTGGCTGGCCTGAAAATGAACCATGGGAAAAGCGTCCTCCAGTCGCTATTTAAGTGCATAGATGACGTGTAATTTTTTTTACGCCCTGTTCCGAGACAGGTGCATGATAATGGCCCATTCTAAATCAAAACTAATTTCACACATATATTATTTAGTATATGTAAAGACAACATTAAATTAAGAATAGTCTGATGGGTGACAATATTAGCCTATCACTTGTGAATGATATACTATCACTTGTGAATTATGTATTATCACTTCTGAATTATCATTTACATTACATTTTAGTCATTTAGCAGACGCTCTTATCCAGAGCGACTTACAGTTAGTAATGTGCATACATTATTTTTTATTTTCCCCCATGGGAATCGAACCCACAACCCTGGCGTTGCAAACGCCATGCTCTACATCCCTGCCGGCCATTCCCTTCCCTACCCTGGACGACGCTGGGCCAATTGTGTGCCGCCCCATGGGTCTCCCGGTCGTGGCCGGCTACGACAGAGCCTGGATTCGAACCAGGATCTCTAGTGGCACACTGCGCCACTCGGGAGACCCATGGGGCGGCGCCACTCGGGAGACCACTGCCCCACTCGGGAGATCTCACTTGTGAATGATGTATTATCACTTGAGAATGATGACCAGTGTGTGCAGTAAGTAAGGCAAGAAACAGCGCATGCCTTTTTTTGCGACTTTTTCAAATCATATTCTCACACCTCATGTAGCCTAGCCCATAGGCCTATATGTTTTGATAAGGTTTGTATCACAACTAAAGTGGCCAAATAACTTCTTAAAATTAAGCACATTAATCAGCTTTACAACCGGTGTAGAGCCTATCTGGCATACAGTGAGGGAAAAAAGTATTTGATCCCCTGCTGATTTTGTACGTTTGCCCACTGACAAAAAAAATATCTGTCTATAATGTTAATGGTAGGTTTATTTGAACAGTGAGAGACAGAATAACAACAAAAAAATCCAGAAAAATGCATGTCAACAATGTTATAAAATGATTTGCATTTTAATGAGGGAAATAAGTATTTGACCCCTCTGCAAAACATGACTTAGTACTTGGTGGCAAAACCCTTGTTGGCAATCACAGAGGTCAGACCTTTCTTGTAGTTGGCCACCAGGTTTGCACACATCTCAGGAGGGATTTTGTCCCACTCCTCTTTGCAGATCTTCTCCAAGTCATTAAGGTTTCGAGGCTGACGTATGGCAACTTGAACCTTCAGCTCCCTCCACAGATTTTCTATGGGATTAACGTCTGGAGACTGGCTAGGCCACTCCAGGACCTTAATGTTCTTCTTCTTGAGCCACTCCTTTGTTGCCTTGGTCGTGTGTTTTGGGTCATTGTCATGCTGGAATACCCATCCAAGACCCATTTTCAATGCACTGGCTCCCCCAAGATTTGACGGTACATGGCCCCATCCATCGTCCCTTTGATGCGGTGAAGTTGTCCTGTCCCCTTAGCAGAAAAAAACCCCCAAAGCATAATGTTTCCACCTCCATGTTTGACGGTGGGGATGGTGTTCTTGGGGTCATAGGCAGCATTCCTCCTCCTCCAAACACGGCGAGTTGAATTGATGCCAAAGAGCTCCATTTTGGTCTCATCTGACCACAACACTTTCACCCAGTTCTCCTCTGAATCATTCAGATGTTCATTGACAAACTTCAGACGGGCATGTATATGTGCTTTCTTGAGCAGGGGGACCTTGCGGGCGCTGCAGGATTTCAGTCCTTCACGGCGTAGTGTGTTACAAATTGTTTTCTTGGTGACTATGGTCCCAGCTGCCTTGAGATCATTGACAAGATCCTCCCGTGTAGTTCTGGGCTGATTCCTCACCGTTCTCATGATCATTGCAACTCCACGAGGTGAGATCTTGCATGGAGCCCCAGGCCGAGGGAGATTGACAGTTATTTTGTGTTTCTTCCATTTGCGAATAATCGCACCAACTGTTGTCACCTTCTCACCAAGCTGCTTGGCGATGGTCTTGTAGCCCATTCCAGCCTTGTGTAGGTCTACAATCTTGTCCCTGACATCCTTGGAGAGCTCTTTGGTCTTGGCCATGGTGGAGAGTTTGGAATCTGATTGATTGATTGCTTCTGTGGGTGCCAGGCCCAGCCACTTGGGAGCCAGGCCCAGCCAGTCAGAATGAGTTTTTCCCCACAAAAGGGCTTTATTACAGACAGAAATACTCCGCAGTTTCATCAGCTGTCCGGGTGGCTGGTCTCAGACGATCCCGTAGGTGAAGTAGCCAGATTTAGAGGTCCTTGGCTGGCGTGGTTACACATGGTCTGCGGTTGAGAGGCCGGTTGGACGTACTGCCAAATTCTCTAAAATGATATGGGAGGTGGCTTATGGTAGAGAAATGAACATTACATACTCTGGCAACAGCTCTGGTGGACATTCCTGCAGTCAGCATGCCAATTGCACACTCCCGCAAAACTAGAGACATCTATGGCATTGTGTTGTGTGACAAAACTGCACATTTTAGAGTGGCCTTTTATTGTCCCCAGCACAAGGTGCACCTGTGTAATGATCATGCTGTTTAATCAACTTCTTGATATGCCACACCTGTCAGGTGGATGGATTATCTTGGAAAATGAGAAATGCTCACTAACAGGGATGTAAACAAATTTGTGCACAACATTTGAGAGAAATACGTTTTTTGTGCGTATGGAACATTTCTGGGAACTTTTATTTCAGCTTATGAAACATGGGACCAACACTTTACATGTTGCATTTATATTTTTGTTCAGTATAGATGGATCATCTGGAACATTGTCTTTGTTGGGTATTCTGTGGATAAGAGCACCCTTCCATGAGTCAGGTACCTTTCCATTAATCAGACAGGCATCGAAGATATGTATGAGGGCATGGGAGGACTGGAGCCTTGTGGCCTTTAAAGTCTCTTAAGTGACACCATCTGATCCATTTGCCTTTTTGTTTGGTAGGGAAGTTAAAAAATATATCTACCTCTTCATGGGTGAAATTGCATGTATTTGGGAAATAGTCTGGTTGTAATGTTTCAATAGTTTCACACCAAGAGGCCGTGGTCAGTGGTACACTATCAGATGGGGCTTGACATCTGTCATTACAGTAGTTCTGTACATTAGCAACATTACTAGTAATGGGTGGGGGTCTGGGGTATGCACTGTTGTTCAGAATAATGTCAATCGCTTTAGATTTATGATGTTGCCATAAGTATGCCAATTTCTCACTGCATACCGTTCTCTCACACACACACACAGACAGACACAGACACACATGGAAACACACACAAAACACACACATGCATATTGACACCCCCACACACACACATACAGTTGAAGTCGGAAATTTACATACACTTAGGTTGGAGTCATTAAAACTAGTTTTTCAACCCTTCCACAAATTTCTTGTTAACAAACTATAGTTTTGGCAAGTCGGTTAGGACATCTACTTTGTGCATGACAAAAGTCATTTTTCCAACAATTGTTTACAGATAGATTATTTCACTTATAATTCACTGTATCACAATTCCAGTGGGTCATAAGTTTACATACACTAAGTTGACTGTGCCTTTAAACAGCTTGGAAAATTCCAGAAAATGATGTCATGGCTTTAGAAGCTTCTGATAGGCTAATTGACATAATTTGAGTCAATTGGAGGTGTACCTGTGGATGTATTCAAGGCCTACCTTCAAACTCAGTGCCTCTTTGCTTGACATCATGGGAAAATCAAAAGAAATCAGCCAAGACCTCAGAATTTTTTTTTGTAGACCTCCACAAGTCTGGTTCATCCTTGGGAGCAATTTCCAAATGCCTGAAGGTACCACGTTCATCTGTACAAACAATAGTACGCAAGTATCTATATCCACAGTAAAACGAGTCCTATATCGACATAACCTGAAAGGCCGCTCAGCACTGCTCCAAAACCGGCCATAAAAAAGACAGACTACGGTTTGCAAATGCACATGGGGACAAAGATCGTACTTTTTGGAGAAATGTCCTCTGGTCTTATGAAACGAAAATAAAACTGTTTGGCCATAATGACCATCGTTATGTTTGGAGGAAAAAGGGGGCACTTGCAAGCCGAAGAACACCATCCCAACCGTGAAGCACGGGGGTGGCAGCATCATGCTGTGGGGGTGCTTTGCTGCACGAGGGACTGGTGCACTTCACAAAATAGATGGCATCATGAGGAAGGAAAATTATGTGGATATATTGAAGCAACATCTCAAGACATCAGTCAGGAAGTTAAAGCTTGGTCGCAAATGGGTCTTCCAAATGGACAATGACCACAAGCATACTTCCAAAGTTGTGGCAAAATGGCTTAAGGACAACAAAGTCAAGGTATTGGAGTGGCCATCACAAAGCCCTGACCTCAATCCTATAGAAAATGTGTGGGCAGAACTGAAAAAGCGTGTGCGAGCAAGGATGCCTACAAACCTGACTCAGTTATACCAGCTCTGTCAGGAGGAATGGGCCAAAATTCACCCAACTTATTGTGGGAAGCTTGTGGAAGGCTACCCGAAATGTTTGACCCAAGTTAAACAATTTAAAGGCAATGCTACCAAATACTTATTGAGTGTATGTAAACTTCTGACACACTGGGAATGTGATGAAAGAAATAAAAGCTGAAATAAATCATTTTCTCTACTATTATTCTGACATTTCACATTCTTCAAATAAAGTGGTGATCCTAACTGACCTAAGACAGGGAATTTCTACTAGGATTAAATGTCAGGAATTGTGAAAAACTGAGTTTAAATGTATTTGACTAAGGTGTATGTAAACTCCCAACTTCAACTGTACCTTGAATTTTCACATTCCTTCACACTCTTCACATACGCAGCTGCTACTCTCGTGGTCCTCTGTAGCTCAGCTGGTAGAGCACGGTGCTTGTAACGCCAAGGTAGTGGGTTCGATCCCCGGGACCACCCATACACAAAAAATAAAATAATGTATGCACACATGACTGTAAGTCACTTTGGATAAAAGCGTCTGCTAAATGGCTTATTATATTATATTATCTATGCATAGTCACTTTACCCCTACCTACATGTAAATATGACCTCAACGTACCTGTACCCCTGCAGATTGACTCGGTACCGGTTCCTCTTGTATGTAGCCTCGTTATTGTTATTTAATTGTGTTACTATTTTTCCTTTAGTTTATTTAGCACATTTTTCTTATTTACTTTTAAAACTCTGCATTGTTGGTTAAGGGCTCGTAAGTAAGCATTTCATGGTAAGGTCTACACCTGTTGTATTCGGCGCGTGGTAGTTATAATGCTCGTTCACGCATGCACAGTTTTACGTATTGCATGCGCCACGTTTATAAATCTAAATGTGTGTGTGCGCAGTCTTTTCAGAAATTGCGCGTGCAGATATTTAGTGTAAAATGTATGCAATGCTTAGAAATGAGGCCCCTGGCTTCCTAGAACAATTATTACAACAATAAACCGTTCATTTACCAAAATGAACCCATTCCTAAACCATTAGTAAATCCACATAACCACTCTAAATGCAGTAGCCTACATCACTCATCAGTATCATGCAACAACAACTGGGGCCTCATTTACAGTATCAACCATGCATCCATTTCTAACAACATTCTGGTGTACATGGTGGAGATTCTAGAATTTGCGTGCGCAACAAATTATTGTTGTCGCACGCAACATATACACTCTTTCATTCACCTTTTATGGTAACAAAAATGACCTCATTTGCTGTATGATTTGGAGGTGTTGAAACTGGGCCATGACAGTTCATAAAAGAAAGCGCAAATGGCAAATTTGATCTAATTTCTGTAGAGGTGTGAGCAGAATGTTGTTATCTTTTGCAGTGACTTCAAAAAATAAATAAGGCATGCTGCCTATAGCGAGTGCCAAACACTGGCCACGCATTCTGCAAGATTGATTGACTGTTGAACAATTTAAAACTAAATGCTGCCTACAGCCTACATTTCAATGCAAAATATGAATTGTTGTTAAATATTTTGTTTATCAATACATGACTGTGTTTCTATCTCCTGCCTTGGTATAGGCTCTGAGATTAAATAGGCTATTATGTCCCGCTCCTATCGCACAGCAATACTATAGCCTACCCATACTGTCATAGGCTACCGGTCTACACTACATGACCAAAAGTATGAGGACACCGGCTCATCAAACATTAATTCCAAAATCATGGGCATTAATATAGAGTTGGTCCCCCCTTTGCTGCTATAACAGCCTCCATTCTTCTGGGAAGGCTTTCCACTAGATGTTGTTACATTGCTGAGGAGACTTGCTTCCATTCAGCCACAAGAGCATTAGTGAGGTCGGGCACTGATGTTGGGCGATTAGGCCTGGCTCGCAGTCGGCATTCCAATTCATCCCAAAGGTGTTCGATGGGGTAGAGGTCAGGGCTCTGTGCGGGCCAGTCAAGTTCTTCTACACCGATCTCGACAAACCATTTCTGTATGGACCTCGCTTTGTGCACAGGGGCATTGTCATGGTGAAACAGGAAAGGGCCTTCCCCAAACTGTTGCCACAAAGTTTGAAGCACAGAATCGTCTAGAATGTCATTGTATGCTGTAGCGTTAAGATTTCCCTTCACTGGAACTAAGGGGCCTAGCCCTGAACAATGAAAAACAGCCCCAGACCATTATCCCTCCTCCACCAAACTTTACAGTTGGCACTGTGCATTGGGGCAGGTAGAGACTCCTGGCATCCGCCACACCCAGATTCGTCCATCTGACTTTCAGACGGTGAAGCATGATTCATCACTCCAGAGAACGCGTATCCACTGCTCAAGAGTCCAATGGCTGCGCGCTTTACACCACTCCAGCCGATGCTTGGCATTGCGCATGGTGATCTTAGGCTTGTGTGCGGCTGCTCGGCTATCGAAACCCATTTCATGAAGCTCCAGACGAACAGTTCTTGTGCTGACGTTGCTTCCAAAGGTCATTTGGAACTCGGTAGTGAGTGTTGCAACCGAGGACAGACAATTTTTATGCGCGCTATGCAATTCAGCACTCGGTGGTCCCGTTCTGTGAGCTTGTGTGGCCTACCACTTCGCGGCTGAGCCGTTGTTGCTCCTAGACGTTTCCACTCCACAATAACAGCACTTACAGTTGAGCGGGGCAGCTCTAGCAGGACAGAAATTTGACGAACTAACTTGTTGGAAAGGTGGCATCCTATGACAGTGCCACGTTGAAAGTCACTGAGCTCTTCAGTAAGGCCATTCTACTGCCAATGTTTGTCTATGGAGATTGCATGGCTGTGTGCTCGATTTTATACACCTGTCAGCAACGGGTGTAGCTGAAATAGCTGAATCCACTAATTTGAAGGGGTGTCCACATACTTTTGTATGTATAGTGCATTAACTTTCTAGCATGGTTGGCTATTGAATGAGCGGGAATAAACCAGTCATGTCAGAAAAGGAGAGACATACCATACCCTGCAATATGATTTTGATAAAAATACAATTTATATTGTAGCGAATTCGAGGGGTAACCTCGACTAGGACTCAAACCCAGGTCCAGCGACTGGCAAGCGAACAACTTAACCATTACGCCAAGAGGTCCGAACCCCTTTATGAGGTCGCTAGATGTTGGTTTAAGGTCGTTACAATATATTAGGCGACATGATGCTATGCAATCTTCTTACCAATGGCAAATGCATCTGTTTTATTATTAGGCCTACATTTTTATGTTTTTATTATCCTACCAGTATTATAATTCCTGTGCATCAAACAACTCAATTTCCCCCAAAATAACAGTATTTGCTTGCAATACAGTTGATCAACCACTAGAAGTTGTGCGTAAGCATGGTCTGAGATTTGCGTGGAGATACACACACTTTCCCGTCAAGTTCAACATTTATAAATACCAACAACCTCTGTGGGTAAACTGAGGTTTAGAGTATTTTTTTTGCGCACACACCTTTGATAAATAAGGCCTCTGGTCTGTGACAAATGGGGAATGAATGAGGGTTAGCACTGAGCTTTGCCCTGATAGAACCTGAGCAGAGTCATAAGCCGTGAGCCCTGGGGCATGTCCTGTTTAGTCCATCAGTGAGGCCAGGACCAGGTCGTGCAGTGCAGTGCAGTGATTGGTTTAGGGCTCCGAGGCTGCCTGGATCTGGGTTCACGCTGGGTTACAGGAGGGCTCTGCAGCCCATCCATCAGCTGTCTGTCTGCTTTGGGCTTTGGGCTCCCACAGCCTCTCACACTACTCTGACTGTCCAGTCTGTCACATAGGGCCCAGTAGCCAAGACTGAAAAGTAGAGGTTAGAGAGAGGCATCCTTTCACGAACTCAGTACACTACTACTAATTAATACCATATGGTTAATGTATTAAGTACAACGAATGAATACATTACGAGGATGTTTTGAAATCCAGTGATGCACTACTTTAGTCACTTTGAACATGTTCTCATCTATGTCAGCCAGAAGGAATCCCCTGCTGAATCCTATGTCAGATAACAGACAGAACAAAGTCATGCTGTGCATAAGTGCTCTGGCATATTATTTTCACAGGTGTCGCCACACTTGGGGGACAGACAGAGACAGTCTGAAAGTCATATATCATGTCTGTCTCAGTGCTGTCTGACTGCTGAGACCTAGCAGGAGCACTGGCTGCCTCTCTGTAGGCCTGCTGGGGAACAGATGAGAGGAACAAAGGCAAGAGGTTCCCCTATATGGACATTGCTGTAAGAACGACTCCACTGAACATCACATCCACATGGTTTAAATAAAAAATCATATCAACATACAGTATTTTAAAACTGTAACCCAAATGCTGATCTCAGCTGATTGCAGACTGCAGAGGCCTCTCTCAGACCCAACATCCAAATATGCTAAGGTCAAAATGTAAACTCACTGCTCCACCAGCCATTCTAGCAACATTCCTTAAATCAACCATTTTAGAGATGTTTCGATGACATCGCACGTCTTAAAAGGGATACACAGTACAATGCCAAAGAGGGAAAAAGTCCTACAGGAGACCCTAAGATGGTAATGATATTTCAGTGGCAATCAAGTGAAACAGAGCCCTCTCAGGGGTGAGGCGCTCGAAGGAAAACAAGCCAGATGACACTTACTAGATACATTTCGGAAAAATCTCAAACAACAGAAGAATGGGATATAAAAACAGGAGTTTCGTGCCCAGACTCCCTGGAGAAAAGGTGATTGATGTGGAACACACACAGCTAGGGCAAGGGAAGGAGAATTCAAGATGGAAAGGACGTTGTTCTGCCAAGAAACGTACATTCACAACTCATTATCACCATCCGGTAGTTGCTCCTCAGTCAGAATAATTAGTGATGCATTTCCCAGATGTTACCATGACAACTTGATTCCCTAGAAAACGCCTGTTGGTTCCCTAGAAAACCTGGCCTGTTCAGCAACACAATTTATTTCAACGGAAGCCTTTTTATATGTAGCCTACTGGCACATTTCTTTATGCATGGCTTATACTTTGACTGCAACTAAAGTATGCAACTCTACATAGTGAGGATATTCAAGTTCCTGTGAGGAGTCACGTAGACAAGTAGCTCTCCAGCTCTTCAGTGGCGATGGCCACGGGTCAGGGTCAGTCTGGGCAAGCTCTTTGTTGAGAGATGGGATCAGAGGCAGTGTACAGTAAGAAGGTGCATATTCCTCCCATTTAATGAATCCAGGGTGCTGAACACACATGGAGAGATTGGAGACTGCGGAGGTTGGTTTGACATTGACCTGTCAAAAGCTTTCTTTCCTGGCCTCTGGCCAAATAGCGACTTTATATTTTTGGAAGGGGTTCAACTATCCACCTTGCATTAACATTCACCATGAGATCATGTCAAGATGCTTGAACCACTGTACTGTACATTTCCACAATTAATGAATCTGGTTATTGGAACTCATAGGAAATAAGGGAGCGGGGGGATGAAATTAAGTCTATAAAGGTGCTGATATACTGAACAGTCAAATCCGAAATTATTTGCACCCTTCATAAAGATGAGCAAAAAATACTGTTTAAAATAAATAATACAAATACTGAGCTATATTGTATGCCAAACATTTTTGGGGAAATTATATTATTTTATATTAATACAATTGCTCAGAGAAAAAGATAGGTGTAAAAATGAATGGCACCCCTGTTTTCAATATTTTGCGCACCGTCCCCTTGCGAGGATAACGGCACTTAGCCTTTTTCTATAATGTTTTATGAGATTGAAGAACATATTGGGAGGGATCTTATACCATTCCTTAGTCTATAGAGAATTTTTCCCGATCCTTGATATCCTTCGGTCTGCGCTTATGGACTGCAGAGATGGCCATTGCAAAATGTTGATTTTGTGGTCAATTAACCATTTAATTGTGGTACTTGGTAGAGTTCATGATGCCGTTGACCTTACTTAACAAGGGCCCCAGGACCAGTGGAAGCAAAACAGCCCCATAACGTCAAAGATCCACCACCATATTTTACAGTAGGTATGAGGTTCTTTTCTACATCTTTTCTGCATTCTCATTTCGATGCCAAACCCACTACTGGTGTGCATGGCCAAAGAGCTCTATTTCTGTCTCATCTGACCATAGCACCCCGTTCCAATCCAAGTGCCAATGCCGTTTAGAAAACTCCAGGTGTTTACATTTGTTGATTGCTCTCAATAAAGGCTTTTTTCTGGCAACCCTTTCAAATAGACTATTGGCATGGAGGTGGCGTCTTTGTAGATTTGGAGACTTGGTGACCACAAGATGCGGCCAAGTTCTGTAATTGTCCAACTGTGGCACTTGGACTTTTCTTTGCCTCCCGAAGCATCTTTCTCACTGTGCGTGGGGACAAGATACACTTGGGTCCTCTACCAGGGAAGTTTGCCACTGTTCCAGTGGTTTTAAACTTCTTAATTGTTGCCCTAATAGTGGTAAGTGGTTTATTTGTTTTTTTGTACCCATTGCCTAATTTATGAAAGTCAACAACCATTTATCATTTGTGAGTTATTTGCCTTTCCCCATGGTGATGGATGACAAATGGTTTTACATGCATGTTACCTCATTTCTATAGGAAGCCATGATAGGCCACAATAAAGTTCCATAAGCTGATATGAATTGTATTTATAAGAATCTTTAGGGGTGCCAATAACTTTGACACTTACCTTTTTGAGACGTGTTTAACTAGTTAAACAAAATCTCTTTCTTTGAGCAATTGTATCAGTATAAAATATTATAATTGTTCAATTTTTTTGAAAATACAATATACAGTGGGGAAAAAAAGTATTTAGTCAGCCACCAATTGTGCAAGTTCTCACACTTAAAAAGATGAGAGAGGCCTGTAATTTTCATCATAGGTACACGTCAACTATGACAGACAAAATGAGAAAAAAAAATCCAGAAAATCACATTGTAGGTTTTTTTATGAATTTATTGGCATATGATGGTGGAAAATAAGTATTTGGTCAATAACAAAAGTTTCTCAATACTTTGTTATATACCCTTTGTTGGCAATGACACTGGTCAAACGTTTTCTGTAAGTCTTCACAAGGTTTTCACACACTGTTGCTGGTATTTTGGCCCATTCCTCCATGCAGATCTCCTCTAGAGCAGTGATGTTTTGGGGCTGTCGCTGGGCAACACAGACTTTCAACTCCCTCCAAAGATTTTCTATGGGGTTGAGATCTGGAGACTGGCTAGGCCACTCCAGGACCTTGAAATGCTTCTTACGAAGCCACTCCTTCGTTGCCCGGGCGGTGTGTTTGGGATCATTGTCATGCTGAAAGACCCAGCCACGTTTCATCTTCAATGCCCTTGCTGATGGAAGGAGGATTTCACTCAAAATCTCACGATACATGGCCCCATTCATTCTTTCCTTTACACGGATCAGTCGTCCTGGTCCCTTTGCAGAAAAACAGCCCCAAAGCATGATGTTTCCAACCCCATGCTTCACAGTAGGTATGGTGTTCTTTGGATGCAACTCAGCATTATTTGTCCTCCAAACATGACGAGTTTAGTTTTTACCAAAAAGTTATATTTTGGTTTCATCTGACCGTATGACATTCTCCCAATCCTCTTCTGGATCATCCAAATGCACTTCAGACGGGCCTGGACATGTACTGGCTTAAGCAGGGGGACACGTCTCGCACTGCAGGATTTGAGTCCCTGGCGGCGTAGTGTGTTACTGATGGTAGGCTTTTTTACTTTGGTCCCAGCTCTCTGCAGGTCATTCACTAGGTCCCCCCATGTGGTTCTGGGATTTTTGCTCACCGTTCTTGTGATCATTTTGACCCCACGGGGTGAGATCTTGCGTGGAGCCCCAGATCGAGGGAGATTATCAGTGGTCTTGTATGTCTTCCATTTCCTAATAATTGCTCCCACAGTTGATTTCTTCAAACAAGCTGCTTACCTATTGCAGATTCAGTCTTCCCAGCCTGGTGCAGGTCTACAATTTTGTTTTTGGTGTCCTTTGACAGCTCTTTGGTCTTGGCCATTGTGGAGTTTGGAGTGTGACTGTTTGAGGTTGTGGACAGGTGTCTTTTATACTGATAACAAGTTCAAACAGGTGCCATTAATACAGGTAACGAGTGGAGGACAGAGGAGCCTCTTAAAGAAGAAGTTACATGTCTGTGAGAGCCAGAAATCTTGCTTGTTTGTAGGTGACCAAATACTTATTTTCCACCATAATTTGCAAATAAATTCATTAAAAATCCTACAATGTGATTTTCTGGAATTTTTTTTCTCTATTTGTCTGTCATAGTTGACGTGTACCTATGATGAAAATTACAGGCCTCTCTCATCTTTTTAAGTGGGAGAACTTGCACAATTGGTGGCTGACTAAATACTTTTTTTCCCCACTGTAGATTTTTTTGCTCATCTTTATCAAGGGTGACAATAATTTAGGATTTGACTGTATTCATCTCTGCACCCAGAACCAAATCAGCTACTTTTAATGTTAAAGATGTAATATGTAACTTTTTGGGCGACCTAACCAAATTCACATAGAAATGTGTGTTATAGATATATCATTCTCATTGAAAGCAAGTCTAAGAAGTGGTATACAGTGAGGGAAAAAAGTATTTTATCCCCTGTTGATTTTGTACGTTTGCCCACTGACAAAGAAATGATCAGTCTATAATTTTAATGGTAGGTTTATTTGAACAGTGAGAGATAGAATAACAACAAAAAAATCCAGAAAAACGCATGTCAAAAATGTTATAAATTGATTTGCATTTTAATGAGGGAAATAAATAATTGAATACAATATTTTTGGTTATGGAAAATATATTTCACAGCGGTTTAGATGGTACAACGATTCTCTACACTCTACTTGCTTGTTTTGTCACATAAACTGAAATGAGGCAAACTATTATAATTTTAGACAACCAGGAAATGGCAGAGCGATTTCTGCATAGTGTATCTTTAAGGCTGTCACAACATTTACATTTTAGTCATTTAGCAGACGCTCTTATCCAGAGCGACTTACATCAGCAATTAGGGTTAAGTGCCTTGCTTAAGGGCACATAGACAGATTTTTCACCTAGTCGGCTCGGGGATTAGAACCAGCGACCTTTCGGTTACTGGCACAACGCTCTTACCCACTAAGCTACCTGCCGCGCTCACAAGAGACTAGGCTACTACACAAGTCAGTAACTAGTATCATGTTTTACTGGTTTTACCACTGATCATGTTTTACTGGTTTCTTAACATTTCCGTTGAGGTGGATTTCACTTTACACAAAAAAAACATTTTATAGGCCTAGTATATTACGAAATGTACCCAAATCGTCTTTCATAGTCCACCTTTACAAGCACAAAGCACAAGCATCCCACCAACGGAGCTGGCATGAGGTCTGTCAAGTAAGTACTTTGTAGATCTTTATAGGACTTGAACTCTGATGTTGACACATGATTTCCGTGCTGACCCCCAGGGCTGGCCTTGTGCATTGTGTTGCCCCGTCCTCCTCAGGGGCTGACAGGGGCTGGGGGGCCAGACTGCTCCAACATGACATTACAGCATGCCTGCAGTATGCCAGGGCCCCAGCTGGGTAGAACCTGCCCTGGCGGAGCCATACAGCCATGGCACTGTGCACTTGAAAACCATCAGGAGGAAATCCATCATTCTTACAGGACATTGCACTGTGGATCACAGGCAATAACTCAATCTGAGTGAGCCTGAGAGCTACTGAGCTGCTTAGCCCTTTCTAGTTGCTGCAGTTGGACAAAACTAGTTTTACAATAGTTTTACAAGAATGCAGTTATGAGATGCAGGTTTATCTTGAAACATTTAAATGGTCTCATCACTTATTAGACATTGTAGGTGGAGTATCCATCATAGTGGTGGGGGGGGCTCATTTATGAGTAGGCCACAACAATAATTGAGGGAACACTAGCCCTGTGTGTTCTCAAAGCAAGGAGGTAGGCCTAGGTCTGAATGTCAGTGTTGTTGCAGCCAAATCCACCAAGTGTGTTTGCAAAGTAAAGCAATACTCTGCATTTGGCATCCATAAAGGAAATCCAGACTGACATATGTCCCCTTTATACATTTGAGAATAATGTCATGTTAATTTTAATCTGGATTGACATCATAGACATCATAAAAGTTTTGGGTAGGGGTTGGTGGGTTGTCTACGCCAATATGAAATAATGCCATATGGTATATTCAGAGAAACAAGGCAGGCAGATCATAATAGTATAATGTATGTCATTTCTGTCTGCCTAAACCGATTAGTGATCAATTATAAATTGCTGCATCTGAATTCAAGGTTGAAAATTAAATAACCTACTTGGAATTTCGGGTTTCCCATGAGCTAGCTAATGGTTCCAAGGAAAGTCAGTGATTATTATTAACCACAACAGATCTCCCTTAGTCTCTAACAGGCCAGCCTCTGTCTGACTCCTGCCAGGCTAAATCCATTCAGCACCTCAGCTCAGCCAACTGTTGTTCTTGGATATCCCTGGCCCGAACCGTCGGTCCATAATTGAAAAGACACTGCAACTCTTAGTGGAGCTTTTCACAGCTCTGACTGGTGTTTGGAGAGCCAGGTCGCTGATGTCAGGATCGAGACCCCCAGACCAGGAGATAGCGATATAATTCAGGTTAGGGAGGATTTAAGTAACAAACCCACACAAACCAAACGTGGCCCTGGGGAGAGGGCTGGCTATGGAGGTCAGTTGAAAGTGAAGTAAGGATACAGTCAAGTCAATCAAATCAAATCAAATTGTATTTGTTACATGCTTTGAAAAACAAGAGGTGTAGACTAAGAGTGAAATGCTTACTTACGGGTCCTTTTCCAACAAGAGTTAAAGATTTAAAAAAATAGAAATAGTGGCACAAGGAATAAATACACAGTGAATAACAATAATGATTAAAAATAACATGGCTATATACAGGGAGTACCAGTACTGAGTCGATGTGCAGGGATAAGAGGTAATTGAGGTGGCTATGTACATATAGGTAGGTTTAAAGTGACTAGGCAACAGGATAGATAATACACAGTAGCAGCAGCTTATGTGGTGAATGTGTATGTATCTGTGTGTGTGTGTGTGGCGTCAGTATGCATGTGTGTGTGTGTGTGTTATGTGTGTGTGGGAGTATGTAGTGTTTGTGTGTATGTGTGTATGTGTGTGTTGGGGTGTCATTGTAAGTATGTGAGAGTGTGTGGGTAGAGTACAGTGTGTGTGCATAGAGTTGGGTCAGTGCAGGAGAGTAGTGGAAAGAAGTGTATGATCAAGTGTAATATATTATAAAAATAAAGCGAACTGGATGGAATACGGGGAAAAATGCACTAAATAATTTTTTCATCTTCAACATAGAAATGCTACCAAATATAGTTTACTGAAACTTGTTACAAATGGTGGAGTCACCAATGATTCACCAAAATACAGTGGGGGAAAAAAAGTATTTAGTCAGCCACCAATTGTGCAAGTTCTCCCACTTAAAAAGATGAGAGAGGCCTGTAATTTTCATCATAGGTACACGTCAACTATGACAGACAAAATGAGAAAAAAATTTCCAGAAAATCACATTGTAGGATTTTTAATTAATTTATTTGCAAATTATGGTGGAAAATAAGTATTTGGTCAATAACAAAAGTTTCTCAATACTTTGTTATATACCCTTTGTTGGCAATGACACAGGTCAAATGTTTTCTGTAAGTCTTCACAAGGTTTTCACACACTGTTGCTGGTATTTTGGCCCATTCCTCCATGCAGATCTCCTCTAGAGTAGTGATGTTTTGGGGCTGTCGCTGGGCAACACGGACTTTCAACTCCCTCCAAATATTTTCTATGGGGTTGAGATCTGGAGACTGGCTAGGCCACTCCAGGACCTTGAAATGCTTCTTACGAAGCCACTCCTTCGTTGCCCGGGCAGTGTGTTTGGGATCATTGTCATGCTGAAAGACCCAGCCACGTTTCATCTTCAATGCCCTTGCTGATGGAAGGAGGTTTTCACTCAAAATCTCACAATACATGGCCCCATTCATTCTTTCCTTTACACGGATCAGTCGTCCTGGTCCCTTTGCAGAAAAACAGCCCCAAAGCAAGATGTTTCCACCCCCATGCTTCACAGTAGGTATGGTGTTCTTTGGATGCAACTCAGCATTCTTTGTCCTCCAAACACGACGAGTTGAGTTTTTACCAAAAAGTTATATTTTGGTTTCATCTGACCATATGACATTCTCCCAATCCTCTTCTGGATCATCCAAATGCACTCTAGCAAACTTCAGACGGGCCTGGACATGTACTGGCTTAAGCAGGGGGACACGTCTGGCACTGCAGGATTTGAGTCCCTGGCGGCGTAGTGTGTCACTGATGGTAGGCTTTGTTACTTTGGTCCCAGCTCTCTGCAGGTCATTCACTAGGTCCCCCCGTGTGGTTCTGGGATTTTTGCTCACCGTTCTTGTGATCATTTTGACCTCACGGGGTGAGATCTTGCGTGGAGCCCCAGATCGAGGGAGATTATCAGTGGTCTTGTATGTCTTCCATTTCCTAATAATTGCTCCAACAGTTGATTTCTTCAAACCAAGCTGCTTACCTATTGCAGATTCAGTCTTCCCAGCCTGGTGCAGGTCTACAATTTTGTTTCTGGTGTCCTTTGACAGCTCTTTGGTCTTGGCCATAGTGGAGTTTGGAGTGTGACTGTTTGAGGTTGTGGACAGGTGTCATTTATACTGATAACAAGTTCAAACAGGTGCCATTAATACAGGTACCGAGTGGAGGACAGAGGAGCCTCTTAAAGAAGAAGTTACAGGTCTGTGAGAGCCAGAAATCTTGCTTGTTTGTAGGTGACAAAATACTTATTTTCCACCATAATTTGCAAATAAATTCATTAAAAATCCTACAATGTGATTTTCAGGATTTTTTTTCCTCAAATTGTCTGTCATAGTTGACGTGTACCTATGATGAAAATTACAGGCCTCTCTCATCTTTTTAAGTGGGAGAACTTGCACAATTGGTGGCTGACTAAATACTTTTTTTCCCCACTGTATATTTTGAAAGAGGAAGCAAAGTACTTTAAGCATATGTTTTAATTTCAGTCTCCTCCATCTTCACTAACCGAAGTTAATTGTAAGGATTTTTTTCTATGAATAAATAATAATTCATAATAAAATTAACAGCTGTACAGAAAGATTAATGTGAAGCCCAAATTACAGAGGAGGAACTTCTTGATGCAACCGAGGAGGAACCCCTTGGCATTTTTCCTATTTTGTTGCCTTACAACCTGGAATTAAAATTGATTTTTGGGGGGTTTATATCATTTGAAGATGCAAAATATTTTTCTATTGTGAAACAAACAAGAAATAAGACAAAAAAACAGAAAACTTGAGCGCGCATAACTATTCACCCCCCCAAAGTCAATACTTTGTAGAGCCACCCTTTGCAGCCCTTACAGCTGCAAGTCTCTTGGGGTATGTCTCTATAAACTTGGCACATCTAGCCACTGGGATTTTTGCCCATTCTTCAAGACAAAACTGCTCCAGCTCCTTCAAGTTGGATGGGTTCCGCTGGTGTACAGCAATCTTTAAGTCATACCACAGATTCTCAATTGGATTGGCCTAGTCAATTGGATTTGACTAGGCCATTCCAAGACATTTAAATGTTTCCCCTTAAACCATTCAAGTGTTGCTTTAGCAGTACGCTTAGGGTCATTGTCCTGCTGGAAGCTGAACCTCCATCCCAGTCTCGAAGACTGAAACAGGTTTCCCTCAAGAATTTCCCTGTATTTAGCGCCATCCATCATTCCTTCAATTCTGACCAGTTTCCCAGTCCCTGCCGATGAAAAACATCCCCACAGCATGATGCTGCCACCACCATGCTTCACTGTGGGGATGGTTCACTGTGGGGATGGTGTTCTCGGGGTGATGAGAGGTGTTGGATTTGCGCCAGACATAGTGTTTTCCTTGATGGCCAAAAAGCTCAATTTTAGTCTAATCTGACCAGAGTACCTTTTTCCATATGTTTGGGGAGTCTCCCACATGGCTTTTGGCGAACACCAAACGTGTTTGCTTATTTTTTTCTTTAAGCAATGGCTTTTTTCTGGCCACTCTTCCGTAAAGCCCAGCTCTGTGGAGTGTACGGCTTAAAGTGGTCCTATGGACAGATACTCCAATCTCCACTGTGGAGCTTTGCAGCTCCTTCAGGGTTATCTTTGGTCTCTTTGTTGCCTCCCTGATTAATGCCCTCCTTGCCTGGTCCATGAGTTTTGGTGGGCGGCCCTCTCTTGGCAGGTTTGTTGTGGTGCCATATTCTTTCCATTTTTTAATAATGGATTTAATGGTCTCCGTGGGATGTTCAAAGTTTCTGATATTTTTTTATAACCGAACCCTGATCTGTACTTCTCCACAACTTTGTCCCTGACCTGTTTGGAGAGCTCCGTGGTCTTCATGGTGCCGCTTGCTTGGTGGTGCCCCTTGCTTAGTGGTGTTGCAGACTCTGGGGCCTTTCGGAACAGGTATATATATACTGAGATCATGTGACAGATAATGTGACACTTAGATTGCACACAGGTGGACTTTATTTATCTAATTATGTGACTTCTGAAGGTAATTGGTTGCACCAGATCTTATTTAGGGGCTTC